CATCATGGCTCGCTGCATGGCAAAATCGCCTAAGCGACTGTCAGGTGGGCAAGAGCCGTTGGTCCCTCTCCTGCGGATACCTGGTTGGCCCGGCCCAACCTGCCCTGCAGTTCACCCCCCTTGTCACGAAACATCTAAAGACAGCCAAACATGACGACACGACGCTGGCAATATGAATGCCTATTGGGATCCACACGGGCCCTGCCTCCTCTACTAGCTGCGCATGCTGTTGAATGGCGGCATAGCCTCGCGGCCAATCCTATGCAACCCCTTTCTGATATCAAACATAAATGCAGATGTGAAATAATGGCTATCCTGGGGTTGGCTTGAAAGAAAGCACAAAAGAGGGCGGTCCCCTTTGAAACACATTCCGCAGGTGATGCGGAAGATGGCTCCCTCTGGCAATTGGACCTGGCACTTGAAACACACGTTTCAAATCAAAAGGATGTGGGGTGTTCAGGTTGATTGGTAGGAGAATGCCCGCTTGGAATCAATTCTCCGGGGTGAACAAATGACCTTGAAAAGGACCTCGCTGGACGGCCTGCCCACTTTGGCCGCGGGCGTGTCCAATAAAAAAGCAGCGCAACTCCTCTTGGGAACAGCCGCCAGCATCATGCAAACCCATGCAACAAACCAACACTAGGACAATGGGCAGCCTCTTGCAACCCGCAAGGTCACGTGGTGCCCACCCCTTGTACCAAGGGGTGCGTGGGGCAACTCCCTTTGCCAAGGTCACCCGGGACCCGCCTTACCACAAAGTTTCTTCGGCTGACCCTAAACGACTGGATATGTTTCCCAAAGTGGACTCACTTTCACAATGCTGCTTGGCCTGGGATTTAAGCTATGTCTTTGTTCATTGTGGCCAAGGGCAATGCAATATTTTGCCAAAGGCCAAGAACCTGGCAGTTCACTTTACCTTGGGCACATAAATCCAGATTTCGCCATGATAGGCGGGGGCGTTTGAAATGGTAGGCCCCCTTTGGTGGCTGAAGGGAAACCAAATAAAGGCTCACGAATTTGAGACACTTAGGGGGATCCAAGGAGTGTTGCTGTAATTTCAACCTTTACCCTCCCACCTGAGAGGAGGTCTCTTTGAAAGGAACATAGTCCAAAGTCAGAACCCCCAAACAAAAAAACAGTCAGGTGCCATGTCCATTGGTGAGAGTATGTACCCCATAAGACCCCCCCATGCACCCCCCATAGACCCCATGGACCCATAGACCCAACAGGCGGACGAGGCCGCGGCAGGGGAAGTTCTGCGGCAGCCCGCGGCTCACGTGGCGCTTGGCGGACCGCGCGGCCCGGGAGTTCCCGGCGAAGCCGCGGACGCGGGCCGCGTTCTGCAGCAGCGTCGGGCTGGCGCCTGGAGAGTCGCGAGCCAGCGGATGGGGCGCATGGTGCGGGCAGGCATGGGGCGCCCTCCGGTTCAGAACTTTGCGGGAAACGCGCGTCCCCTGGAGAAAAAATCGAGAAACAAAAACGTCCAGTGAAATTGGTTCCCTTTCAAACCAAGAGGGACCATTAACATAGCCTCAAACAAATGGAAGCCTCTAATATGTCCCCTTTAACCATCACCCCTCACTTTCAATTGACCCTGCTGAGAACCAGAGCTTCAAGAGGGGGGTATATGTGAATACCCACAAACCATGGTTCAAAGCGATCCAGTTGTGAGCAAAAGGCGAATCACCAACCCATGGAAGTTTGAAGAATCCCTTGCCTTGCAGGCTGGTGAGTTACCAGGGAGACCTATCCACGGTTCCGCGTGTCCGAGTAGGGCGTTTCGGGAAAAGGGGAGAATCACATGAAAACTACACGAAAACACAACCAGAGGAGTGGTTGAACGTATGGACTCACATCAATCTGAACCCTGGTGTGAATCCCCAACAACTTTGAACTACAACTCAATTCTGGGATGGGACACTAGGCACCAAAGGTTCATCAGCCCATCTCAGGGAAGAAGATAACTGCCAGGGTGTGTCTCCAAACGAAGACCTCTTTAGAAGCTTGGTCACATTGCTTCCTGTGGTTGAGACATATTTTGACGCCGGAAGGAAGCCAAATAAGCCAAATGGACGGCATACTTCCAAAGGCCCAACGGACAAAAGGACTGCCAAAAGGCCAGCCGAGATGATGCATCGTCCAGGCCGGCTAGCCCCCCTGCTTCCTACCAATGTCAAAAAGTTGCAACCACTTTGTCTGGGCCATTTTGTCTGGGCAAAAAGATCGGACCTTCTGCACCTTCAGCGTTGGCATTAATGTCTCCGAGTCTGGATCTGTTCAAGAAGAAGTTTCACAACCAAACCCCCTTCCCCCCAGGCGGAAGCGTGGTTCGCTTCGCCCAAGGCACAGTTGGGAGCGCACATTCGCGCCGCGTCCTCTATGAAGCTGGTGGGCAACAGAGTGTCGTCCCAGTCCTCCGGCGCTTTGCTGCGTGGGTTGCGGGTACCCAGGAATTCCAAACATGCGCCAAACCGAAACCCAATAGGGCAGAGGGGGAAAACGTTTCCAGTCGCAGTTGCCTCGGTAGGCGCAACTGGATCCGCAGGAAACCTTGAGTGAACATCTTGTTTTGCGAGCAGGCACTTTCAGCACAGCTTGCCCCCCCTTGGCTTAAAGGACCCAAACAACGCAAATAACACCAGAAACCAGCAGCAGCGATACAGGTAAGCCTCTTGGAACCCCAACTCAAGCCGCACCAAGACTGAAAACTCATGCGGTCAAAAGATTGATTAGAGATGCTGCAATGCTTCCGCTAATGAGCTGGTGGGACCCACGGGCTTCTGATTCCGTCTGTATGGTCAGCTCCCTTTCCATGCTTTATTTGCCGGGGAGAATTGGAACCGAGGCTGACCTTCTGCGTACCAATCAAAAGAAACTGAAAGGGTCCCTCAATTGAAATTGTGACCCATTCTGGTTCCATGTTGGCCTGCGCTCTAATAGACCTGGAATCTGAAAGCTACCCCCCCACCCCCCCCGTTTGGCTGTGCTTTTGGCACCTTTCCCTGCACCCCAAAACAGGACCCTCAACAAATCCCAGCACCCGCCCCAAGCCCCAGCCAAGCCGTCGAGGCGCGAAGATAATACAGGTCTCCCCCTTCGCGGGCTTGGCATCGTGCTCGGGCACCTCGTCCTCAAATGGGTCCAGATTGAATTTGGGATTTGTTGGTTCTATTATTTTTTTTGGTTTTCTGTCCTGGCTACTAAAATGCTGTAATTTACAGCACTTTCTCGTATTTTGGTCCGTCAACATCATCAGCATTGTTTTCAACATCCACCGCATGTCCAACCAACATCCCCAGCATCACCAGCAAATCGAGGGCCTTGGCTTCCTGCATCTTCAGCATCATCAGTTCCTCTAGGCCTCATGGTAAAATTGAGGATTCAAATACGGGCAAACTAATCCCTATAAAACACCTAAAACGTAGCGGGGGGGTCGTGGGGGGGGGGGGGCGGCAGCCCCCCCCATGATGATTTAAAAAGTGATGATTCAATTAGGGGCAAAAAGTCTAAAACATAGCGGGGGATGATTCAATTAAAGGCGCGCGGGGGTTGGGGGGATGGGGGGGACAGCCCTCCCCATGATGATCCAAAAAGTGATGATTCAATTAGAAATCCAGCATCCAACCGAAACCACTTGGGTGTGAAAGGATGCGAGGGTCGGGACCAATTAGATCAATATCCATCCCTACGGAGCCATGCGGCTATTCACACAGCAAATCAACATCGTACTTGTGTCATACTTTAAACATGATAACCAGATTCGCACCCTTGTTTCCTTATGAATTGCCCCTTCCCCCACACAGAATCAGTAAACGAGTACCTGGAGGGGATCGGGCCCCTGTCAGGCACCATTTTGGGACCATGGTATCCACGCTAGACTCATTTTTCCAATTTTCGAAACCGCTCTCCGCTCTCCTCGAGGGTGAAGCTGCTAAGAGCAGTGCTGCACTCAGAGTCCACGCTGAAGGACTCTTTGCCGCTCAACCTCGGAACTCTCCAAATGGCTGCGTCTTTTCGTGGTTGGGTTTTGAAGGGGAAGCAACAGGAAAACCACCTCTCTTTTTTTTTAAGACACCCAAATCCCTGCAACAAGTTCAACGTAGTGCTAAATCGGGGGTCTTGTTTAAAAAAAAGAAGAAAAACAAACATCCCCTTGTGGATTTCTTGACACCCCCTTGATAGGTCACTTCCCGACCACCCAAAAGAAATTCGAGACTTGTTTGCCTCGAATGGAACCTTCCCAAAGATCACGTCCAACAGCTCCGGGCGGAGTCTTCCGCGAGAAAAAACCCTTTGGATTGGGAGGAGTGCCGGGAAAAAGCGAGAACATCCAGGGTTTCAGGCCTCCAAATTGGCAACTGGTGGGTTCCAAGTGTCGAATCAGGACTTCCAGGACATGTCCACAAAAAAGCGCCCGCCAGTGATTGGAAGACCTCGATTTGGGTACTGGGGGCGTTTTGCTGGTGCCGGCAAGCAACTGCAGGCGCACAGGCTCAGCCAGCATGGTGGACATCTGAGAAATCGGATCTCGATGTCGGCCGTCTCTGCAACGAGAGCGGCAAATCGGGGATCGTCCGCTTTGGGGATGCCGCGAGCGCCGAGCGCAGCGCGGGAAAACCGAAATCCAAAAGGCGGCCAAAAGTGGTGAGCCGTTTAGATGGAAGGTACGAGTGCAAGTTGGCTGTTGGCAGCTGAGCCGCTGTTGCAATGTTTGTGACAAGGGCTCGCGGCAAACAGCCAGAACCAGCTGCGGGTCGGACGGCAGACAGTTGACCCTGCTTGATCCCAATGACCCAATGGTCCCAAAGAACAATCCCCGAAGCTCAGTAAAGCAGGAATAAAATACAGAGACACTTCACAAACGGACACAATAAACTCTCACAAACAGGGCATTTTCATGTGCAAGCCTGTTTTGCTTCCAGCGAGCTGGCCATGAAAGCCAGATAGGATGCATGGGCGCGCTTGCCTTAGTCGCAGGAAGCCTTATTAAGCAAAGCCGCCAGGGAGTCGTGATTGAAGCGAGACATAGTTTGCACCACCTGGCAGAAGACGTTGAGTCGGTATTGGCTGAGTTATGCAGCAATGACTCAGCACTATATCGCACATAATATATTCATTGGAATCACTGCATCTCCGGAACGTCGAGACTTCGTGGTCAACAACGTGCTGCCATTGCACTGGATGTGCCCAAACCACTGTCAAGAGGGGCCCTGATTGAACACTCGGCGAGGGCCACACACGCCCCAAATGGTTGCGAAACGCCAGGAAAGCTGAAAACTCCTCATGTTGTGGGATGCTTATTGCTGAACTTGCTGTGTTTGGCCCATTGCGGAAGCATCACCGGGTCCCAGTTCTACTTACCCAAAGGCCATGGGACGATGACTGATTCTGAAGGTCACCTCCTTCCTTCGGCTGTTGCTCATGGCATGGAACTCGGGGACAACCCGCTGGAGAGATGTCTTGGCCAAAAGGAAGGTTGCGTGCCGTTCAGGACCGTGACAGGGTTCCGGTTGAGAAGATACAGGCACTGCTAGCTTGCGACTTGCTTTGGTTGCAACTCGCTTCCTAACATAAATCCGAGGACAGACCAACGTTGCTCCAAGGAAAAGCCCTTCTTCAAGAGAAACAGCCTTGAGCAAGGGTCAGAGCTGGAGCATTGCCTGAGTCAAGGTGCGAATTTCGGTGGCTTTCGAACAAAGGCCTTGGATTGTGGTCTACCGCCCTCTCACACCAGCTATAAGAAGAGCCCCCTGTACATGCCAACAATGGTTTCGCGATTCCAAGTATGTGGCATTGGCCCAGGATTTTCCACAGAAGGCCACTTGTAGTTTTCCCACAATAGTGCGAAATGGACTTCGCCCACAGCATGGCTCGTTTCAGACACCCCCTCGAAGGGCCGTGCTTTGCGCGGCTCCGGCCGGGCGCTCCGCTCAAAACCCGTGGGCCTCAAAGAAGTTCGTGGCTGGAAGTTGTCGCAGCCTCGCCAACCAACAAAGTCTTTGGATTTGGGCCGTGCTTTGTGAACCCCGTGTGAGCCGAAAAGAGAAGAAGGGAAAAGAAGTGTGCGGTTCCAATACTTACCTAAACCAAGTAAGAACCTCTCATGAAGGGGTCCGTTCAATCAAACACAGCCTCCCCCCCGCCCCCAAACGTGAGTTCGATCCATCGCCGGACCGACCGAATGAGGAATCCGAGCGGCAAGTCTGGTATCGACTCAAAGTGCTGGACCCCCGGGAACCGGAAGTAATCCGAGAAGCCAACCTGAAGCTCCGCCACGCCCAAGAGCTGCGCTTTTCCCATCACCACACATAGGGACACATCACCCAACATGTTTCCACTCATGGCCATGTCCCTTCCAAAAAAGAACAATAGGGAAAATCATCATTCACCCATTCAGAGAATGGGTTCCGTTTGCTGGGCTTTTGTCTGGTTCATATCACTCTTTGCCCGTGTCCGGGAGCAAGTTGTGGCTTAGTCCGGTAAACTCCCCCATAATGCGGCGGGGGCTGCCTCAGCAATAGTGACTTGGGGCAGCATTCGGAGGGCCATGACCTGCTTATCAACCTTGCAGTAAAGCGAATATGCATGCTCGCTGCCCATGTCTGCTCGGCCCTTTTGACCCGCAAGCCGCGAGCCGCAAGCCGCTGGCGCACGTCAGCCAGTGCTTGGCTCCCAATACAACGGCAGCTGGTACTGGTTCTTGTGCAAGGCGTCGGATCTTTTGGACAAGGCCCGCAGAAGAGCGTTGTATGGTGAGCATACCTTGGATGCGCACGCACCTTTAAGAAACTGCTTCGAGCAAAATCTACTTTAGCCACCTGGCTCTGTGCCCCAAGTTGCTCAAGTGGCCCAAGAGACGGAAGCTGAAGTTGCGAATGCATGCTGCGAAGCTGCTTGGTCCGAATCGCCGTCTGGCCCCCAGCCAATAGCGTAGTCGAACCAGCAGCGTGCAGCTGCCAGTCTGGCATGCATCCTTAATTGCCCCTCCAACTCAAACAGTTAGACAAGTACGACGGGGAAAGAGCTTGTGAACTACTTGCGCCACTTTCTGCAATTGCACCCCCAGCAAAATGGAACCTGAGGGTAGTAACCATCTTCCCTGAGGTACCTTCTCTGAGTGTTTTCGTTCGCTCGCTTGCAGTTGTGCTTTTCATTGCAAATTCACAACCCTGCCGAGGCATCGGGGAAATTGCTTAAACTCAAAACCAGAAATGAGGCATGCTACGAAACGGGCATTCATGGGCAAGGCAGCGGTGAGCTTGTCAGACATTTTGCCCAATCCACCTGAACAAAACTTCGCCCTCTGGGATCCAAAAGGTTGAAAGATCGCTGCGCCTTGGCCCAAGTTTTCCATGAGAAAACTGGGCACCCCACAAACCATTCGGGTAAAGCTGAGCCAAGGCTCAACTTCAGGTTAACACATAAATCAAATAAATCCGTAAATGTGCGGGAGACCACTTAAACGGATGGGGGCACCACAACTGCAAATTCGGTGGGGGAAAAAAAGATTCGATTTTCGCCCCGGCTCAACTTCAATTGGCGCATGCTCACGTTCAGCAGTTTTCCATGCAGCTCCTCCATTGTGATGGATGTGGGCACCTCGCGAATTCCGATTCCGGAACGCTCGCTGGCGACTCGACCAACACCATCAATGGGGGTCGATGGGGGGTTGCAGGAAACATGGTGAAATAGGGGGGCCCCACAAACATGCAACACCCCTAACAAACACACAAACACACACACACACACACACACACACACACACACACACACACAACACAACACAACACAACACAACGCAACGCAACACAACGCAACGCAGCACAACACAACACAACACACACACACACAACACACGCAACACACTTACACACACATAACACACACACACACAACACACACACACACAACACAACACAACACAACACAACACACACACACACACACACAACACACACACACACAACACAACACAACACAACACAACACAACACAACACAACACAGCACAGCACAGCACAGCACAGCACAGCACAGCACAGCACACAACACACACACACAACACACACACACTTACACACAATACACACACAACACACACACACACACACAACACAAACAACACACTTACACACACACAAAACACAACACAACACAACGCAACGCAACACAACGCAACGCAACGCAACGCAACGCAACGCAACGCAACGCAACGCAACGCAACGCAGCGCAGCGCAGCGCAGCGCAGCGCAGCGCAACGCAACGCAACGCAACGCAACGCAACGCAACACAACACAACACAACACACCACACACACACACACCCTTGAAGAAAACTAGGCCAAGCAAAGTTGAAGGAGTGCCTGGGGGGTGGTGTGGAGAGGTGCGGTGGCGAAGTCCGCGTCACTTCCCTTGGGAACCTTTGGGGGTCTGCATTTCCACCCCGGGGCATTGGCTTTTCTGGCAACATGACCGTCCATGTTGCCGCCCATGTGCCCTGCCCAGGCTCGGTACCACCCCCGGCCCCATATTCTAAGGGAAAACACAAGTAAAGGTGCAAACAGCTCACCAGGTTCCTCAAGCAAGGTCTTCTTGAGAGCAAACCAAGGGACCAGCCCTCCCCCCCCCCAGCGAGCCCTAAGGCGCCTTCAAGGAAAGGCTTGGCCAGTCGATCTCCTCTTGGAAGGGCACCGACACTTCATCCGATAAGATCACCGGCACGCATCCGAAGAAGAAGGCCTCGTACAAATGGATGGTCCAGGCCTCAGACGTTTGATTTCCCCCCCCCCCCATTTCGGCCCACAACAAAGGTCAGCTTCCCTCGGTGTTGCTTGTTCTGATTGGTGGGTTGGAGGTGGTCTGGGGGTGGCAAACCCATTTACTCTCGTGGACCAGGGGTTCAACACCGCCAACTAACTGAGGGGTGCCTGAAATTGAAATGGGATACACAGCCGGATGAGGGGAGGCTGTTCAAAACAAGGGGTTCCAATGCAAAGGCATCCCTTTGTTTGAACCATCCCTCATGTGGTTTGACCCATCTTGACATGAATCCCAACGAAAAAACAACAAAACTGTTAAGGCAAGCCTTTTCGGGTTAGTGGACACTTTTTATGGGGAGGGGGACTTTCATCGTTGCCCCAGCTGAATCAGTCGTCCGGTGCCGTGGTTCTTTTTTTGTGGGGCCCTGAAAAGTCCCCCGAAAAGCCCACATGCAACACCACACGCTGAAGCCAATCACAATCGCCCACGCTAGGAAGCAACATAACTATTACGCGCTTACTTGATCTACCTTTGAAAGACGAAGCTGCTTTCAAGGCCGCACATCCCAAAACATTAAGGAGAAAAAACCAAACGGAAGCCGACCTAATCTTGGGCACTCAAATGTCTACGCATGTCTACACATTTCAATGTTCAATCGCGGACCCTTTGGTGGACGTCATTTACATAGGGGCTTCTGTCCGGACATGGCCAGCCCCGGCCCAAGTGAGGTTTCGAGCGAGCCGCTGTAAGCCCGGCAGGGATGAGGCAAAACCGGCTCAGGCCAGAGCGCCTGCCGCTTAGCTTCGGATAGCCTCTCCACAACATCTCTTTGCTGCACGTGTCCAGGGCCTTCTTCCGCGCTATTGACTTTGCGGTAGCGCTACTTCACTTTGACTGATCTTTTCTTGCCCGTACTTGACTTCACTGTATACTTTACTTTCCTTCATTGTACTTGGCTTCACTGTACTTCCCCCGGATGGGACAGTCAATGATCACACCATGTTGCATTTATGAATCTATCATGCTTCTCCCAGGTCCAAAACTGACAGCACACACACACACACACTTGCAGGTCTCTTCCTGAAGACTTAAATTCCTCTGACCTTCAAGAAGCACAACTTGTGTCTGGCCATCGTAGTTACCACCACATGCATTCCGAGACCTAAAATGATCTACCACTTCAAGCGAAACTACTGCATATATGGGCGTGTCTGGGTTCCAAATGCATCCAACGGGTGCAACAGAAGGCAATAAGTGACCTTAAATCAAAAGGAAGGCTCTCAACTTGAAGCACGTCTTCAGCTAGCCCCTGGCCCCTGCAAGTCAGAGATGGCATCACTCCCAAAGAAGGAGGAAGCACCTTGCCGATGGCTTGGCCAATATGGGCGCAAACTATCGGCAAAGGGCTGTTTACAAGAAGAAGCTCAAGTCAAGTAAGCTCAGCTCGCTTCGAATGGTTCAAAGACCAGCTTTGCGTAGGCGAAAATGGAAGTGCCAGCCTGCTCCAAGGAGAACCTCCGCTTCGGTGGGAAAAAACCTTGGGCTATCCGACCCTTGGTCCTTGAGGTTGTCTGGTCAAGCCTGCAATGGAAAGGACAGCTGGCGGTATTCGCTCGATGTCACAAGAAGACCGGGGTGCTGCAAGGAAAACCCTGCGAGGCTTTGCAACATTGTCACCTGGCACCTTGCCACATTGCCACGGCTAAACAAAACCAACTGACAAACGTGTGAAACTGGATTCAGTTCGGCCTTGGACCATTCCCACCCTTTGCATTGGCCAACTCAGAAGATTCCACGCCCCACCCCCTGTTTCCGTCAGGCATGTCCGCACGGAAACCAGTTCAGGCTGGGGAGATTATGAACCACGCCCGATTGTGTCGACTCAACCCCCGCCGCCTGAAGTAGTCCCGCACCGGCGGCCCTGCGCTGCACTGAGGCTCTTTCCCGAAGTAGCCGATGATACGATCACGCACCTCAGGGTGGTGATGGACGGGCCCCCTTCTGCCCCTCAAACTCAGCTCCTTTTGAGCTCGCGTTTTCTTGAAGGCTTTTCTTGGTCTGGATGTTCTTGCAAAGCCACCAGGAAAACCACTTGTTGTTGTTTTTGTTTTTGGTTTTTGTTTTAAGCCATACCCTTGTCACTATCTTCCCTGTAAGCATCGCCCCAGGATCGGAAATATAGAAGGACTCCTGCCGCTTGCAAACAAACTTGGAACATCTTTTTTGATACCATTAAGCAACCGACAATAAACTAGAAAACTGCATGGTCAAAAGGGCAGCTTTGAACCAAGCAAGTGCATCTTAAGCTTAAGAGTGTATATTGGCTAGGGTACGGCCATGTGAGGTCCCCAGTAAATCAGACTTTGCTGCTGGCCAAAGGTTGTCGTGAGCTGTGTCCGACATCCACGTTCAATCAACAGAAGACAGGCTTCAATTGCCACTGCAATGAGGAAATCAAATGCAACAGGTGCCACGCGTCCGAACCCTTCCCAAGAATGCCATTCTCTTTTCCAACAATGCCGAATGCAACTTCCAATGAGGTAGTCAGAAAGGACAAATCTGCTTCCTGCGACGGGCGCTTCTTCTCTGCATGTTGTGCTAAGCGGATCAAATTTGGATAAACTTGCCAGAAATGGACGCGTACCTATTCAGACTATGATTTCTGACACACCCAGTCAGATTCGACGACTGGTTTTCTTTTCACACAGTGCCTTTTGACCGAAACACTGACTCTTTGTGGGCCCCAAATCCCCCCGAACCCTTTCCAACCAACACTTAAAGGAGCGTCCTCTGTGACGTGAGCGGCGTATTTTGCTTCCTCCGTCTCGCAAAGCCATAACTCTAGGGGTTGATTCCCCATTCTTTTCATCGCTCTTTCCAAAAAACCAGCAATTTTCCCCGGGTTTCCGGAGGTTTTCTAGAAAGAAGGATCCCTGGGTTCAGAATGGAAGTGGAAGGTAGCCCAAGCCATAACGCGCTCGCTCTCCGCCCGCCGCCCGCCTCGGCCAGAGGGGAGCGCTTGTACATGTGCCCCACCAGCGTGCTGCTGCTGGAGTGCCCGTGGAAGGTCGCCACGATGCTTCGCTGGTACATGGGCCGGTTGAAGGCCAGCATGGCCTCCACGCCTCGGAGCAAAACCGAAGCTGCAAGAAGCGATCTAGGTCCTCCAGTAGAGAGGTTAGAATAAGGGTACCCTTTTTCCTGTAGACTGGGGGACCTAGGACGCCACCGTTCCGCGAAGGGAAGATGCAGAGGAAAGCCAAAGAGGCGCAAAAGGCAACGATGGGTAGTCAAAAACATGGGGAATGGGGGGATACTCTCCCACTCCCCAAATGGGGTTCCTGAAAGGCAATGTTCCTCAAGGGGTTGCTGGGCTGGCGCTTGATTTTTGTTCCAGCTGGATAGGGACGAGGACAGGCTCTGAGAGGATTGAGTCACCAAAGTGACCACAACTTCAAAATATTTCACCGCCTCGGGGAGAGTCGGCCTGGCTGGCCAACATCCACACGTCACCGGCGCCAAATTGCCGGGCGACATGACGACTTTTGGAAGGACAGGAAAACACCTGGACTCTGCCAAGAAAACCCAATTTGTTTGGCCCCGGCCACGAAATGTTGCCCTTCCGCGTGATCTCACTGGCTTTGCTTCAAGATCCATCACTGTGGTGCGGGGTATTTGTTATGCCCTGTTTGCAGTCAAATTGTGCACACCATGCCTGAATCCAAACGCTTGGTATGTCACGTATTTCCCTTTCAATGGTGGCTGCACAATCAATGGATAACTCAGAAGACCGAGGGCTTCGCTGTTGGTATTTTTGATATCCTTGGCAATGCGGTCACCCTTTTGTCTTTTTCAATCTTCCGCCTGGGGCCACCAAGCGCTTTGGGGAAGACTCGAGCGCCACAATGACGCGTGTGTGCTTGGGGGGCGGGGTCCCGGGAACATTCCATGACTTCGGATAAATCAGCTCCAGATTGATCAGGGACATGTTCCTCGGCTGATGCGGTTCAAGCAAGTTCTTTCCTTCTTTGGTGCGGTCATCCAACAAACTGACACGTTGATATACATATATAAATATATGAGCGGAGTGACGCCTTGGCCCTACATATGGCGTCCAGATGGTGCTTCAGCTGTCACCTGCATCCTGGCTACCCAGTAGGCAAAACTTATTGATTTCCAAAAAACAACATCTTACCTCAAGATCGAAAAAGAACTGGGCAATTACTTGGAAGAAGGAAGCCAAATATAAAGGCTTTGGCCTGAATATTTCGCAAAATGACTGGGAACCAACAACTCGGACCCCGTCAAAGTAGCCGACAATCTCTCGCCAAAACCATTGTTGAACTTGAATACCGCGGTGGTAGAAAACTTTTGAAACAAGGAATAAAAAACATATTGCCCTGCAGGCGATCCACAACGGCTGTGGAACATGATCTAATCTGGCATGCGAACGTGGGCCATCCCTGTGGCTTTGAAGGGGATCGCATTGGTATCACAGAAGAGGCAACCTAAACCCCAACATTCCTCAAGGCCCCCAAAAATATCCAAGCCTTTTGGGCAAGCGAGTCTGTGTGTCTGGGCCGCCATGTGCCAAGGTGCGCCAAGCAGGGATGTAGCCCGGGATGAGCACGTCTTTGGCGAGCACCAGCCATGCCAGCCTCACATCAGGACGAGTACACAGCAAACAGCTCCAGGTGGCCCTGATAAACTGTTCCTGCGGTCAAGGATCCCCCCTTATATCGCTTATATGGGGGGATCCCCTTATTGGGGCTTATGGTGACTAGGGTCTAAATTATGTTGGGGGTTAATAGGGTGTTCTTTGAGGGTCCCATCTTTGAGGGGCCATTTTCGGGTCCCATCTTTGAGGGGCCCTGATAGGAACAATGGCCTGGTGCTAAACCCGGGCAACATGTAGGTCAGAACGATTCAGATAACAAGGGAACCACCCAATTGATGTTTGTTAAGACAAAAACCGGGAAGATACGCAAACATCACAGCAGTTGCCGAGCTTACACCTGAAGGCCTGTGTTGGGGTGTGCCTGGCTTGCTGCAACGCAACCCCCCTTTGAACGTTTGCAGAGGGAAACAAACGAGCAACCAACCACCTATAGAAGTCTCTAGTTTTGAAACACATTGGGTGTGATTTGTAGTCTTGAGATGATGGACAGCTGCAACTTACCCGAAAGGGGCAACCTCCAAAGCACCCGATTGCTGGCGAACATGTTGAGGGCTGTGCATTTCCATGCAAACCTTCTGGTTGAAATGCTGACGCTGTCGCTTGGAAACAGCGTGGACCGAAGCCAAGGACATCGGCCGGGCCGCATGTTGGGCCCTGCAACGTTGACTGCCTGATATGACTCCACCGTGATCATGATGGTGTTCCTCACCGGGTCACAACACACGCATGAAGTTCCAACCTTAGCAAGTCACTCATTTAGACCAACGTCCACGTGACCAGCACTCAGAGAGCATGTGGATGTTTGCCGACAACAGTAATGATCCAACTCCCCGACGAAAACAATAGGTAGGCACGGGGTGGAAGAACAGTTCCAGCGAAGTCTGAATCGCTGAAAAATGTCCCGTAATTACTACCCAAATGGCCCTTGCTGAATGGGACAGACAATGACCAAGACTGGACTCAAGCTGTTATGCTTCTTAAGGCCCTTGGTTGACTGGCCAAGACCAGTCCAACAAAACTCTTTGCAAGAGCCGGCTGGCTTGACTTCGACGATTCGAATCGGCCTGCCCACTCAACACTGGCAATCATAGATGCACCCAATGGCGAGTCCAACAACACTCTGCAGCAGAGCCACCCATTTCATAGAAAAAAACATATTTGAAGGGAGGTCAACCTCATCCTATTTAAAGCACAGGGGGCTGCAAAGCCCAGGTCCTTGCGCGCATCATGATGGGATCCATGAAGGGCAGCAAGTTGCAGGCGAAGACGAAGATGTGGTCCTGGCCAGGGTTGCCTGTTGACGCACTGGCTGATAATGCAGCCCTAGAGTTAGCCTAGAGGTGCTCTCTACACCGGGGTGTGTGTGTCTTCTTTATCTTCACGAGATGGGGAAATACACCCTGTCTGCTTGAAGTTGTATGGCCCTACACTTGCGGTAGATGGCACATGATGGCACCACATGTTTTCCAACCAAAGGCAGGGCTTGCACATTCCCCGTGCCAGCACTGCACCAAAACTGGGTCCAACAGGTGAGATGTTTTTCTCAGGGGATGGGACAAGGGGTCAAAGTGACCTGGTCCTGACCCCCACGGCGGCTGAAGTACGGGAGATCGATGGGATCGAAGTGATCCGGAAAGCAGCGCTCCGTGTCCCGCACCCCCGCGCAGCTGGTCTCGTTGTAGCACGCCTCGTAGGCCGGGAAGAAGAACCTCAAATCCGTTAGGAAAACCCAACGGAGGATACCCCAAACACCAAACGCATATAAGGTATCATAAGGCTGGTGTGTCACCATCCTTGTCAGCTGAACCTGTAGCCGGGCTCCAACAAACCTCATCTTTTGGCAGAACCGGAAAGCCAGAAGTGTCCAAAGGGCCCGTATGGCCCGAGTCAGTCGCTTTCGCCACTGTCAGCAGATTTATTACGCTATCAAAGATGTTCCAGGGCCCCCAAAAAAATATTAATAAGGAAACCCGTTTGACACTCGCATATAGAGCTTTGTTACTCCACATACTTTTGACTCAGCCGCAGGTCCGCTGTATCAGGGTCATCGGTGAGGCAGCTGCCGCGCTCCAGCCAGCGGTGAAGGTGAACCGAGGCAGAGCACTGCGACATCTTCTGGGAGCATTTCAGCACCGGCTTCAGCATGTGGCTATATTCTGGCAAGCGGTACCTGGGTTGAGTTATCAAGCTGTTTGCGATTTTTCCCTCTTGGGGCTTATAGGGTTGCTAAAGACACACCAACAAAGAAATCTGACTGCATAATGAACCCATCTCAACAGCCCCTAAGCAAAAACCCTACGCACTCTACAAAACTTTCAACCTACAAAAACCATGCAAGGAAGGGAAGAAAATGGTCTGCCACAAATTCTGGGAACATGAAGATTCTCAAGCTGCTGCCGTGGCAGCTATGCCTGCCTTCCAAGCCAAGCAGTCTTGGCACATGCTCCACCACAAGGTCCTCCGAAGAAACGCCAATGGCTTGTTCAAGTGGCACCTCCACGCAAGCAACTTGGGCCTAATGGCGTCTGGGGTCAGATTTTGACTGAACCCAACGAAAGGATACAAGAGGCCCTGTAAAAACAAAATTGCTTTCCAGCTAGGTTTCATGTTGGGAGGCGGGAGGGTGACTCATGTTTGTCTCTGGACTTTGCAGTGGAACCAAATGTCAACATACCTTGAGAAGCTGCTGGGGCTTCAATCGCAATCTGCCCCATAACGGGAATGCTGTGGCCCCCATGTTCGCCAACAGGTGGCTGAAATGATTTGCCTTGCCTCCGGGCAAACAAAAACTGCCTGGCCCGCTGGCGGAAGGCCAAGTCGCCTCGCCCAATTGCTGGAAACCGTTGATCCCCCAAACAGCTGCCACCAGGAGTCTATGTTGCAAGCTTATTCCGCAACCAAATCTTGTTAGGCTCTAGTGTTGCAAAACCGCCTTCAACGTTCAAGGCACCTGCTGCGTGAAATAACCGTTTCTGTGATGACAAAGTGTGTCATTTTTATGATTGCTTTGCCACAGAACAATCCAATTGGCAACCCGCAGAACGTGGCAACTGACTCCCCCTCCATTTTTCGACAGTGGTAGCCTAAAACCAACTGTGTTTGATAAGCATCTGCTCTGCTTGCCATAAATCACCTGAATGAAAACAGCCTTCAGCACAAAGTGAACTCGATATACTTCTAGAGCCATGTGCCTGTTCTCCGCCCCGCCCCCGCTGCAACGCTTCAGAACAAGCAACATGTATGGAGCAAAGGAGGGCAGGCAGGGAGGGGGCTTGGAGTCTGTTGCCCCCTGTGCAAAAAAGCTCAGACTGTGGGAAAGCCCGCATCTCTCCCGAAAAACTAAGCCTCCTGTCCACTAACATGAACCTGACTGAGGGGCCTGAAAAACCATTTTCCTTCAGCAGGGCAGGGACAATTTCTCTGCTGGGTTCCATGGTGGACAAAAGGGTACCCTTCCTTCCTGCCACAGACAGGGGGGGTCCCTTAAAAAGGAAATCGATCTTCCGGGTACCCTGCCACAAGTCCTACGTTTGTGGAGGGAGGGTAAAGGTTCAAGATCCGACCCGATAGCAGCCCACTGGCCGTCCTGAGACCTCCAGGGAACCGTCTCCGACCGCGTCGACGGCCGGGCTTTGGCAGCAAGGCCTTGGCGCAAGGCAAAGGCGGCCCGCGCCGTGGACTCGTCCACGTCCCGGTCGAGCGCACTGACGGTCAAGTCAATGGCGGCCTAAGGGGCAAGCGCAGGGACTCATAGCCTCCCGCCCCCTTTCCCGTGGTTGTCACGAAACCAGCTGGACAATCTGACATGCACACCGCTGAGTAACGACATAGCCTCCCAACATTTCTGCCTCGGGCCGGAAATTGCGCATCTGAAAAAACGCGGTAGAGGGTCGAAGACTCCCAGTTGACTTGACAACGGTTCGTTACGTGAACCGGGAAGCCACACTCGAAAGTGTCTGAGCGGAGGAATCCCTGCTTCCTTTCAGTCAAGGCAGCAACATGAGATGTGTTCACCTCGGGATGTCGACGCTTTGTTCAGGATGACGGTTCAACATCTTCACCCTGAACCGGGCAAAAAGTCGCCCCCCTCCATACACTAATCTGCTTGCATCAACCATGGGTACATTTTGAAGCGAACTGATTTGTAAAGCGCAGTGCGTTGGAAAGGACATCCTGTAACCAAAAAATGACACAGACTACTTATTGTTTCATGTCTAGTGCAAAGCAAACATGCTTGAATTATGACTTGTTTAAATTGCACTTGGATTCAGATTGATATTGAGGAGACATTGATACATGTATTAAGTATAATGCCATAAGAAAATAATTCAGAGGTCCCCTGTTTTAACATACTATGATTGTGTTCAAATATTGCCGAAGGACAGTTCTATTGGGCAGGAAGTTGTGTGAAACTTAACTTGAAATAGGCATTGCTTCAATTCTAGTTTGAAAAATGAAAGTCTAATTGGACTCTGTCTGAGTTTAATTATGTTTAAATTCTGATAGAAATTGAATAGGTGTGCTTAACAAAATTAGCCCCAGCACTAGAATGGTCAGAAAACACTGTAAATAAAACAGAGTGTAGTGTAGCGTTTTCGGTACTAAAATCACATCTTCACCACCGGCCGCCGGCCGCTCTCTAAAATTCAACTACAATTTTAGCATTTCACTGGGACTCAATAAGGAACTACGTATTCCGACTCCAATTGGAAGTTCCATCTTAAATGTGTGATTCTACATAGAACTCCATGTCAAATTGCCCTATCATGCTTTACAATTCAGTGAGATTGCAAATAGAATTTCACAAGGAAAGAGTCCAACTTCTATGTTAATTATTTTAAAATTTAATACGACGTACTCCAGCTCATGCTAAACTTTACACAGGCATTCCTTTGCAATTGTTTTGTTGTTTTTGATCAGCTATATCTAAACACAACTTAGGCAAGCCGAGCTCAGCTCGAAATTCCAATTGAAACTGGACCTTTGAGTAGGCTGTCCTTCCAATACACAAAAAAGGGATCAGCCCGGCTGGACAAAGACAACTGAAGCAAACGACACAAGCACAAAACAAATCAACCAAACAAGCATTCTCCCAGAACTCTTGGCACAGTGACGGGCCACTTCTAAGCAAGAGTGTCTGAGGTTTGTTTGCTTTTGTTTCTCTCTCTCTCTTGTGCCATCGAAGGTCTCGTCTGTTTGTTTTTGTTTGTGGGGAGTTGTTGTTGTCTTGTTTCGGGCAGGCTGGATTCAATGGAAAGACTGGCGAGGAGTGGGTTTGTTGGCTCATTTTGCTGGTTTTGATTGTTTGGTTGTCTCGGGCTTATTTCAGAACAGCAGAGACGACAACATTTACTATACCTCAAAACAACACAAACACAAAACACGCAAATACACTGGTCCAACAATCACAAAACATGCACTGCCGCAGTCCCCTGTTCTGTACATTTATGGGGAGGGTCCATTCCCTGGCGACCGCATGGATCCCGTCCATACAATGCTCAACACCGCCAGCAGGCAAATCGACAAGCCTGCTCAGCCCGTACAAGCGCCGCAAAACGCGCTCCAAGTTGGCTGTCTCTTTCGGGGCAAAGGAAAATGCAGCCAAGGCGCAATGGCGCCTTCAGGACATTCAGCGCTGTCCCGCTCCCACTCTTCAGAGTCCTTCGTCCAACGAAGGACCTGTTGAAGCATCATGTCCATCTGCTCTGGCGTCGGGGGCTGGCCAACCTGGCCATAGGTGTGACTCATGTTCAGCGCGGTCGAGAGGCGCTTGACATCATGCCAAAAGGCCTCGGCGCAGACACGAAAAGGCAGCAATCTGTTCCAAGGAGCCTCGGAACAACTAAATGTTCCTATGTCTCGGGCGTGACCCTCTCATCAGTAGTCGCAACCCATGCAAACCAACAAGACACACAACATTACCCCAAGCGGATCCAGTTATCCACATGGTGGCAAATCCGATTAAAAAAATTAACAACCCCAAAGGCACAAACGTCACCCAGCTGCCCTAGGCTCTGGCCAGGAAAACCATCAGCTTCACAACTTCAAAACCCACATGGCAGTTGCATGAAACTCAACAAACCTCTGGCCATCTCTGGCCGTTCTGGGGTCCACGCTCTGTTTCGCAACTCAACATTTTTCCCCAGGCCACCCTCGTTTGTTGGCCGCTCTTGGAGAGCCACCTCCATTGTTTGCTGGTTTGTCGGTTTGCTGGGCTCTCCACATTGGGCTGGATGGGCTTGGATGGCCAACCCTCGGCCTATGCCACATCTAAAGAACCGCCAGCTGCACATGTCAAGAGCGCCACGGCGGTTACCTACTGCGGAAACGGAAACAGGGCGGCTGAAGCTTGGGTCAAGGCATAATGCGGTCAGAGGGTCAAACAGCCTGCCCTGGCAATCCGACACATCACTGGTAGTGTGCGTCATCGCGCGGGCAAAGGCAGCACTGAAGTCCAGTTGGAGGACATTCACCTGAGGCTGGTTCTCTCACGTTGGAGTCCGTCTTTCCTTCATGCAAAGCCCAGCTGCCAAGTGACCTTACCAGAAAACGGGAGCCCTTTTGGGGGTGGATTGAGCAGGTTGAGGGAGAACCCAAAAAGAGAAGTGCAACTGAGCATGTGGGAATACATTGACTCGAGGCTTCCATTGTAAAGTGATTCGACTGAGCAGATGCGCTTCCCTCCGGGTGATCAGCCGCGTACACCCTTTCATGCAGCCAACAGTTCTGATGGATGTCTAGTGGACAACATGGGTCACCAATGCTCAGCAGCACTCCAAGAAACCACATGACGAACGGGCGAGAACGCGACGGAAAAGCAACTAAGTATTGGTCCATGCATGTGCATGTGATGTAGCATAATGCAACGATGTATGATCATTGAGAGCAGAATGGTTGCATGCACTGATACGTAGATATATATATATATACATTACAACATATCTATGTATGCATCGCATTGTGTGCATGTTGGGGCGGTTGCATGGATGCATGGTTGTAATAAGTGTGTGCGTGTGCCTGTGTGTACAATTCTGTTGTCACGTAACGCAATGCCTTCATGCTGAATGTTGCAACCGTGCATCATCGATCCGTTGTTCCGGCGGGCCGAAGCGTTGTGCGAATTTCAAAGCTGCTGAAGCATTGTGCGCGACAATCAACCATATTTTGAACACAGCATCACACACAAGAAATCCGGTGTGCAAGATAGATGCTTTCGAGAAAACCACATATTATTTCAGCAAACCCAGGATTGACAACCCGCTGGTTGATCTTGAATCGGGGGGCCAGCTCCTTTGGGGGTTGGCAAATTTTGCGGGAGAAGCACACCTCGAATAATCCAGGAGGTTCAGTATTTGCCCCGGCCAAGCCGCCGAATGATCGTTGGGGTCCAGCTCCTTGTCTACACAGCACCTTGCAGGCGCGAAGTTGGAATCCCAGCACCCGTGCTTGGGCTCTTCTTTGCCTCAGCGACTCGACGCCCAGGCTCCCACATGATTCGCAAACAAAGGTCCGCGCAACGAATAAAATGGTCCCCGCATCCAACATGTTGTTGAAAGACATACCAAAGTGCCATGTGTCCATGGACAACCCAACACATATTCACAGTCAGCAAACTGGTTTGGTTGTTCGTGCTTCAGTCTGTTTGCTCTTGTGCTCCACCTAGCCTGCCTGTCAAAGACCAGGGTGACTTGTCGCCTGTTGCAGGGGTGCGCGGGAATCTCTCTGATATGACCGGTCTCCCCACCCGTTTGCTGCGTGGGGTTGCGCTGCGGATGCAGCCCATGCCTTCCAGGAGCGGTGCCAAAATTACCCTCTTTCTCGCGATCATGGCAGGTGTCGTTCGGCTACTTTATTTGGAAAAGCTTGTCCGCTTTGATTCTTGGGGATAGGGTGGCGCACCATCAAATTCCGCATCACCAAGTGCCACAAAGGCCGTGAGAGTGGATGCAGTGAACTGCAACCGACATCCCCGAACACCGCGAAATATGGGAAGAAGAGAAGATGAATGCGGGAACACCGGGGGAAGACTGGGAAAAACTGAAGGGAAACATGTCAAACATCCACTGTGGGCTCAAGCGCCGCAAGCGCCCCAAACCATATCCCACCAGCGGAGAAGCGTCTCGCGCTTGGATTCCTTCCAGCTATCGTCATGTGCATTATGAGCACTGCAGTCAATGCAGTTTTCTTACTGTGGATGCAGCCACCTCTGCTCAAGGCTAGACTGACTGGGCACTACCCACATTTCAAGTTGCTCCAAGCTGCCGTGCGGCAAGTTTATGGGACCTGCGCAGGCTCTACATAGCCTGTTTGCTGGGGAATTGCTACTCGTTTCTGCATGACCTCTTGTCAGTGAGACTGCAGGGTCCCGGGGCGCGCGGAAAAAAACCCAAGTGCCTTTGTTGGTTGGTTGCGAGCAGTGACGCACATGACCCCCCATGCTTGGTTGTTCAACAACAGGGGAACCCTAATCCACAAGTCAGGGGAAACCACTACAGCCCGGCGGAATGTGCGTCGGGCTGCAGCACTCCTCGTAGGAGTAGCCGTCCATCCAGCAGGAGGGATCCCCCCGCGCCTTCCGCGTCTCGTTGCCAAACTCCCCACCGCAGCAGAGTTGGCGGGTGTACATCTCGTCCCAGCAGGCTGGGTCGTTTCGAACGCAGCACCTTTCTTCCTGGGATGCGCATGCACTAAACTCACCTCGTGAGTGGATTGGTAAGAAAAAGTCCAAACTTATTGTTTACCACTGAAAGTGCTTTTGGAGTTGTCTATTTTTTAAGGAGGCAACTTGACGTCAAAAGAACTTGAGGGGAAGACGGGAATAATCCAGTGGCTCCCTGGCTCCTTTCCAACTTGCTGGATGAGAGGTCTCAAAATCGGCCTTCCCCCGTGAAGCAAGTTCCATGATTCCGGCACCTCATCATTTACCTGGTGATTTCTTGATTGTCTTGATTGCTACTGTCCACCAACCATTCTTGAGGGCGTTCCCTTCAAAATATGGGGCAGGTTGCCTCCTTCAATGTCCCAATGTTCCCTCCAAAGCATCAGGGTAGAGAGTTGGTCCAAACAAAGCATACATTTGGGTCTGCTTTTTAAGGGTACTTTTTTTTCCTGGTTTTAAAGGGAAACCAAAAGGAACGGGGGGTTCCCCCTAACACACCCGATGATTGGTCACTGCCAGGGCACGTTGAAATCTCCATGCCAGCACGATTGGCCCAACGACTGCGCCAGAACTGGGAGCAGGAGCACCTGCCGGGTGCGACGTAGGACGTGCTCAACCTGGTCGCATTGCTGCGCTGGAAACATTGGCATTCCCCCCTGGAAACATTGGCATTCCTGCACCCGTCTGGCCCAAGCCAAACATAAATGGGGGCTCCCTTGGCGCATTGGGACTGAGAGCAGGGCCCGGTGCATCGTCAACCAACCGCCATCGGTGGTGAGATGGTCCGGCTGATGGTCGAGTTAAAGCGAGCAGCTCGAGCTGTGAGGGCTGTCTAGGGCTCCTTAGAGTTCACCCAGCGCTCACTAAATCCTAATGTGCACCACCACCATCTGCTTAAGTCCCCCGGAGCAAAAAACAGGTGTCCCCGGAGCAAAAAACAGGTGTCCAACAGTGATAGTTTAACATAAGCAAAATATTAACATATGCTTAAGCAAATGCAAGAAGGTTTACAAAAGGTTGCCAGAGGGGGGTAACCACCCGAAATTCAACTTGCAAGCTGTCTTGTGCAAGCGACCGCGGGGAACAACAAAAGGCGGCCAGCGCTTGAGCCCCAATGGCCGGAGTCCGAGAACACGGATGATGAACGGATGTGTGCAAAGGATCGAACTGGGACCAAACTGGGAAAACCCAAAGGTCAAAAGGTCGGCTTTGAACAACTGAGTAGCCGTAACAATGACAGTGGCGAAAAACATGCATATAGTAGTCACACTTCTCCACCCTGTACCATGTGCCAACCAATATATGGCCAGAGAGGACGAGCCAATAGGTCATTGCCAAAACAACAACTGCTGGCCTTAGCGAATTGGCAGTTGTCAGTTTCAAGATCTGCTGGATGTGCTTGGACCCTCTACGGTCACCACTGACGATTCATGTTGACCCAGGATGAATAAACCCATCCCATTATTAGGGGGGTGTTCCCTCCAAAAGCGATGAATCCCCACTAAAAGGGGACACCCCCTATTAATCAACCAGGGGTTTATTAATCCGGGGTCAACATTACTCCTTTGGTCAGAACATATACAACTATTTGCATACGCATGTCGAGCTGTCGTCTCTACATCTTCATCTAGCTGCACGCAACCGGATTCCCACGCACTCCACGTACAACCTATCCGCCTTCAAATCCCCGTTTATAAATATACTGCTCATGCAGCGTTTGGGCCATCAGAAGCCCTTTCGGGACTCCCCCGGTTGGCCATTTCGCAACCCGGCCACCCGCTTCCCAACAAACATGGCCGAAGATGGCGGTTTCAGGGCAACCAAACCGCTACATAGCAACGATCCAGGGTATATATATATATATATAAAATTGGAGTTTGCCGAGGACATCCGAGGACCCCCCCCCTGTAAATTCCACATAAATCTGAAGGGGAAGCTTCCCCTCAAACGTTGCAGTGTCAAGCCACTGCAACCCACATGGGTCTATGTCAAAATGAAGGTGGTTGGTTTCCTGTTGGTTTGCCTGTAAAACCACGCAGACATCCCCCCCAACTTCCCCCCTCAAGGGCTTGTAGTATGAACCCACTATAGCTCCCACACACACACACACAGCAAAAATAAGCATGGCATGATTATCCCCATGCTCCCTCACTTCCTGAGTGGATTAGCCCGAAAACAGTTCAAACTGTCTATTTGACACTAAAATGGCCTTCCCAAAACGTGTTTGAATTCTAAGAACTCGGGAAGTGAGTTCAAAACGTGGGGGTTTAACCCGTCGGCTTCCCCGCTGTCCACCCCGTCGGCTTCCCGTCGGCAGTGGTGCAGTGGGGTGCCGGGCGATGAGCCGCGCCGCCGTGGGCGAAGATTCCTCGAAGGGGCTGGCGGCCTCACCGGGCCACAGGCCGCTCTCCGCCTGCGCCAATGGCCGATCCATCGAGCTACCGGCGGTCTGCCGGGTCCGGGGCTCCCGAAAAGAGCGGGCCGTGGGATTCTTCTGGGTTTCGCATGGGACGCTCAGCGTGCTTTTTGTAGCTGATATGAGAAACATCGGGCACTCGGCTTTTTTTGACAGTTGATTCTCTCTCATGTTTTTGTGCAAGAGGAAACAAGGGCGCCGCTGGAGGTCTGGGTGAACCAACCAGAAAGGCTTTGGAATCCTGGGATTGTGAACTGAAAGCAAAAAGCATCAACTCGACGCGCCGAAAAGCTGGCCTGGCATCTCCCACTGCGGACATGAGGCAGGTGCATCTTTCCCTTAAAAGGGTCGCCAAACCCCAAAGGATGCTTCCCCTTTTCTTCGATCTCTTTTGAAGGAAGGTGCTCTTTGATCCAGGGCAGTGATTCAGAGTCTCGCATGCCGGAAGCTCGTGGCCCATGCGACCTTGGCCCCGAGTCACTAGTGACTCGCCATGGCTTCCGTATGGCTCCGCATTCTTGGGGGAAGGCCCTGTTCTCATTTGGAAGCGTTTTCCTCTTGTATCACAGCAGGCGGCGGCCCATGTCTTTACAAGGAATGCCAAGCAAAGCTTTTGTGGTGAGCTCGCTTTCCTTCGGATTGGTGGAATCACTCGCCCCAAAAAAGGGCGGACGACGTGAGCCGTAGGTTTCCCTTCGGAACTGAATCACGAAACACAGTGTCCCGCCCCAACAACAAACAAACACCCAAAACCTTGATGCCCTCAACCCACATCCTCCGGGCGCTGGCCCCAGCGATAGTTGTACGAGTCATGGTCCTGAGGCGCATCCACGCAAATCGCCCCATGTCGGAATTACTTGCAGGAAAAGGACGCTTCTGCGTTCATTCTGGAAATCTGAAAGGCCCTATCCCTGGCAAGGAAAAGATCGATGGGCATTCTGGAAATCTACTTGAGGCTTCTGGAAATCCAGGAGGGCCGGAAGAAGGATCGGGGTTCTTAATTCTTAAACGCCCCCTTTGTCGGCAGGATCGGGGTTCTCAATTGTTTAACTTGCCTCTTTTTTTTCAAAGCTCGGCGATTTCAGTTTTGAACTCAAGCCGATTTGACCTGGTGGAAGGGGTGTTCCCCTCCACAAAAGGCATCTATTGAGTACAAAAGGGGGTATTCAAGAATTAAGAACCCCGATCCTTCTTCCGGACAAAAGGGGGTATGTAAGAGTTAAGAACCCCGATCCTGCTGGAAAAAGGGGAGGATTTTAAGAACTCTTTTCACCATGTCGACATCCGGGCTCGGCGAGATTTCAGCCCAATCCCAAGATGATCCAAGGGGCGCCTGGTGCAGCAAAGTCCAAGTCTTGTTGACCACGGAGGCGCAAAAAATGAAAAAAAGCTGGTGGATTGATGGCCTGAAATACGCCGCATATTCAAGCAGATTCCCGAGCTGCAAACACACACCTGAGGATTGGGCAATGCAGGCTGTGGTTCATGCTCCCCTCAAAAGAGCTCAAGAACCGCTGCCAAGTCAAATGCAAGTGGGACTAAAACGGAATTCTCAATAATTTTAGTAATCACTCATCATTAAGAAAAAACAACCAACTAATGAGTTAATTTCAGGCGAGGTCCAGTCGTGGATGACAATCATGTTTGTTGGTAACTTTCTGAAATGGCTTGCCGCATGAAGCAGGGTAAACTGTGCGCTCTCTTGGAAACCCCGTTTCAGGCAGGTTGATGCAGGCCCCCCAAGCGCTGCCTGCAGCCGGGCCGAGCCAGATTTTTCCGGCCTTTCCCTCGCCATCCCACTCAAAAACATATTCCGATCTGAGCAACGCACAAAGTTTCCAGAAAAACAGCTTCTGCACAACTTGCCATTCACCCACCAAGAAAGCCCCACAGCTTCATGCAGCTGGTACCAAGTGATATGTGCAAGATGGGTTTTGGTCCAAAGGCTTGCCCAATTCCATGGCTTCCGGATAAAGGCCAGCAATTCGACGCACGGCTCCTGGTGGAACAAGTACTTCGAGAGGTGCGCAGGCATAAAGAGAGGCATGTTCATCCCTCGGGCGCACGGCCATTGAACTTTCAAGCCCTGGGGCATGGGGGAAATCATTTGCATCGATGGTGGATATGGGAAACCAGCCACTTTTGAGCCGCACATGGACATGATTTCACACATGGGCACGATTTCAAACATGGACAACCACAAATTCGGCCTTTGATAAACACAGGCAGCAAACGCTTGCAAGGCCTTGCAGCCCACAACTCCAGTCACAGCTCCTCCCCCACAGCTACAGAAGTCCAACAAGGGTCTTTCAACATGCTACTTCCTGGGTTTGCGTGTGTGTTGGAATGGTTCCCCACATGGTTTTGTGTTTGTTTGAGGGCACCCTTTTTTTGAGGTGATTGAAAGTGAAACCAAAAGGACACCTACAATTTGTTGGGTCCCAAAAGTTTGGTTGACACATTTACGCATTTGGGTATTTCCTTTGATTGGCCCTGCAAGACGGCTGACCTTGATTTTCGAATGGGATCCTTTACCCAGCGCTCAAGCTGGCGAGCATACTGGCTTTGCCAGGGAACTGAAGGATTTTAAATATGTTAATACCGGAACCACGTGATTCAAAAAGCGCACCCGCCGCGGAAGAAACCACACGTTCTAGAGACCAGCGGCCGTAGAACTCGTAGAAGGTAATGAGGTCCATGTCATAAGGCCAGAGCACCACAGCCCGGAATTGCGCGAAGCTGCTGAATGTCTTGTCCGTCAGGGCCTGGCGTTGAGATAATTTGAGGCATGTGGCATGCTTTCCCGCCCGCGGCCTTCTCGGGGCTTGAGGGCCTTCTCGGGGCTTGATTTGCCATTTGAAACCTATCCGCAAAGAAGCTGGAAGCGAAAGGTTGACTCTGAGTAACTGAGGGTGGCTCATAGTACCAGGAAAGCCCGCAGGTCGAGTAGCGTCCCATTCCAGGAAGTCTTCCCTTCAGAAAACCGCCAGCCGAAACCAAAACCCAAGGAATCAACATGGCGGGTTTATGAACACCATGGCCCATGGAAAAGCAAACCCCAAGTGCTCTGCACATCCTGCAGCGGGCGGATCCATCGGCCCAGGTTGGAAAAGCGCTTTCAGAGCCGCGCAGACTTTTTTGTGAGGGGGGGATTCGGGTTCGCTTTAAGCATGGCCCTGCTTCCACGCATTCAGGACCTCAAAAAAATCCAAAGCCACAAGGTTGATTTTCCAAAAGGCACCGGTGGGCCTCTTGGAAACTTCAGAACCCAACCTCCGGCCATTCATCCAAGGCGCCCTGGTGATGAATCCTGAGCTTCGGCAGCTTCGACGAAATCACTACATCTTTCACTGGCTCGAGAAACAAAACTCGGTTCTAGCGGCCTGACCCTGGCTCGATGTTGGATGTGCCCAAGCTACAATCCAAAACCATGTAAGGAAACAACAGTGAGCCTGTTGTCTTGTTGTCTGATCGGAACCTGACGGAACACAACCAGCACCGGGCATGACAAAATGCAAACGCGCAGTCAGCTGAAGCTGTTACCAACAGAGCTGCTTGAAACCAGCAAGGTCCGCTGGTATTCAAGATGCCTGTTTCCAAACCACGATCTGCTTCCGTGACCCCTTTTCTTTTCTGGGTGTTCGCTCGAACTGGGGGCTCAACCAAGGAAGAGCAGGTCAAGCAAGCTGCCAACTTCAGGACACGGTCTTCATGGCTGCCCTCCCAACATGTTTTTCTTCAGCATTGGTCACTGGTCGGTGATTGGCTGCGTTCAACTTCCCAAGCGGAAATTCCCGCTTGCGCACCGGAGAACTTGGCTGGTCAACACGGATTGGAACCGGTCAGAAAACCATCTTTCTGCACATTTGTTCATGGCCTTTGACCAATATGATCCAAGCCACCCTGAACTGCCCTCACTGGCAACTCAGCCCTCATCAGGTACAGGCTGTTTGGCCCACATGGGCGTGTTTAAAACAACCCCCCCCTTGAACGTACACCGCCTTGACTGCACACTTTGGTTCTCAAAAGATTGCAACCCCCCCCCCCAAAAAAAAAAAGGCTGACAGCCTGCAAGTTGCATTGTTCTTTGGTGTGCTTGCCTTCATTGCCTTCATTCCAGAGAATCAACTAGCTTGGTCAAAGGCCGGCCATTTGTGGTTTCACGTTGCCAGTTGCGGCCGGGGCCAGGCTGAAGACAACTAACCGAGGAGCTGTAGGGGTAGGTCTCGCTACTGGCCGCTCGTAGCCGACCCTCGGACAGCGGCCACTCCTCAATGGCGTCAAGGTGTGTCTCTAGGTTCGGGGAACCCGAAAGACGCTTGGCTTCCTGCTTTCCTTCAAACCCTCCAAAAGGACATCCACCGTTTTCAGAACCAATGTGCAGTAAGTTATGCCTTGGTTGAATGGGGACCCATATAAGAGGGAATCCGCATTATTTGTTGAGGCAACGCCTCTATCAATCAGCATTTTGGCGTTGCAGGATTGGTGCTATGAGGTGCTAAATCGCTACTCCCATTTGACACTTATGATCATGACAGAATTTGGCTTGAAGTACCCCACAACCCATTCTAATTGCGTGGGTTCTCACAGTACGATTACTGCTGCAACTGAACAGGAGCCCACAGAGAACGACTGCAACGAAGAAGAACCCCTCTCGGCCCCCGCCTTTCCTTCAGCCGACTGCCCGCCAATGATGCTTAAAAGGCACCAACAAGGTGCGTCCACGCCAAACTGGGTATGGGTCAAAATAAAACCACCAGGGGACCGCAGGTTTTAGTCCATGCTTCCATTGCCAGGGTTCAGTACCTTTTTTTGACCCACAGCCAACTCTTCTCTTTGTGCCCTGCCAGTTTCGGCAGCTTTCGTTGGGGCTGTCCCCTGGTCATGGCTCCCTCCTTAACATGGCGTGATGCACAAGCCACCTTTCCAATGAGAAAGTAGCTTTCCGTGGGTGTCGACCCGCGATCGGTGAACCTGGTGCATTGTTGGAAGCGTCCCCCCTCACAAGTGACAAATTCCCTCTTGAATGGCACTTTTCCGTGAACCAAGAACTTTACCAATGGGTACCCATCCGCATCGCCACCCCTCTTTCAGGTGATTTCATCGCAAACGATGCCACAAACACCCCCCAACAACCCCAACCCCACGACCACCCCCCAACAACCCCAACCCCCACAACCACTCCCCAACAACCCCAACCCCCACAACAACCCAACAACCCCAACCCCCACAACAACCCAACAACCCCAACCCCCGCAAACAACCCCCCCCAACCAAAAACAAACGAAACCGGAGCCACACCTGAGGCTCGCCGCCGGCCAGGCGCTGCAGCGTACAAAGCAGCAACGCCTCATGCGGACCTCACGCTCCACGGGCTTTTGCGCAGCGGAATCCAACAAAAAGTCCACGCCATGCGCCTCCTTTCCGGCGAGTGTCAAAAAGGACACCCCGCTCCAACCTGCCAATAATTCTGCTTAATACTTCCAGGTGAGCTCGTTTTACCCCCCTCCCCCCCGAAAAGAATGCGCAAAAACATCCTTGCGCTCCGGTAGGTCAAGCTGGAATTCAAAAACGCTAGCATTGTCCTTCTTGTGTTCCATGAGAATCTGCAGTTGAGCAAGCTACTTGAAACAATTCACCAGCGGCCCTGCAAGCACAAGGATTATTGAGCCAAGATAAGGGCAAGTCCAACCGTAGTTCAGCGTCTTGAGAGTACAGGGCCTCTAAGTTTGGAACATGTCTTCCTCTACCCTTCTCACTCTGAAGACTTTAGGGGGCCTGCGTTTTGAGCTCAAAGCTTGCCGCAAAACTCGCATTTCGCCTAGCTGAGGTTGGTCAAAAACGTGCAGGCTTATCGAAGCTTAGTGCTTAACGCCAAAATGTTCTTCCGTTCTTCCCGAAAATCCCTGGTTTCACCCAGGGTATTTTCGGGGTTGCAGTGGGCCGATAGTTCAACTCACGGGAAACCGTGGGTTACATGATGCACATCTCCGTGTGCTGATTGCTGGTTGCGCCAAAGCCCCGGAGCAGCTCTTGAATGTCTCATCGCCGGTTGCGGTGGCTTTTACGACGCCTGCAATGGGACTGGAGCAGAACTTACAGGATTCATGAAGCAGGAATGTCCGCACAAGCTTGGACTCATCAACACCGCCATCCTTCTCCTCCTCCTCGTCCTCCTCCTCCTCGTCCTCGTCCTCGTCCTCGTCCTCCTCCTCCTCCTCCTCCTCCTCCTCCTCCACAGCATCATCATCGTTGTCATCATCATCATCGTCGTCGTCATTATCATCATCATCATCATCATCATCATCATCATCATCATCACCATCATCATCGTGATCGTCACCATCACCAGCAGCATCAGCATCACCATCACCACCAGCACCAGATCAGCACCAACACCAACACCAGCACCGTCACCAGCAGCATTAGCATCAGCATCGCATCGAAACGCCGCTTGCGAAGCTTGGCGTCTCTTGGGATGATGGTTGTGGAAGGCTCGAAATGGTGCAATCGTTCTCAAACGCAACAACTTGACAACCAAAGGCAGGCCAGCAGGGTGGTAATATGTGAGAGCCCTTTGCCACGAACCAGATCAATCCGGAATTTGTCGATCCTGAAGTTCGCCTTGTCAGGCTGGTCAGCCTCTGAACAGCTACCCCCAATTGAGAAATAGACTCCAGCGCGCAAATTCGCTGCTTGCTTAATACTCACCACGCAACGGATTGGCGGCCGCTCGTTTCAGAACCAGAAGCAGACTCCTTTGCGAGAGGTCAGTGGTCAGTTCGGTTCATGTCTCAGACTGCCTTTCTGGCTTCATTCTTCCTCGTTCGAAGTCACACCTGAACTGGGTGCTAAAACAGGAGATCACAACAAAATCAAACAAAAACTAGTCAGCCCCTTTTGGCCTCCTTTTGGATTTGTGAACGCGGGCGAATACAGCACCCGCTGAAGTCAACAGGTTCAACGGAAGCCTCGGTTTTGTCCGATTTCGATGCACCAGCTTCCTGGGGCCGCGGCGGTCCAGAACCTCAGCGACCCGAGACCCGGGGTCGCCAACTATGTCAATGTTGCTCTGGGCGTGGTTTTTGAGGGGAAGCCAGCACGAAAGCCATCATGCTGAGCACCCCAAGGAATGCGTGGCCCAAATGGCAGCAAGCACCATCTTAAATGGGAATGTGTAAGGACTCTCCTGGGCTCAGAGGATGCCAAGATTAAACAATCCACGTGTACTTCATTTCGGCACGGAGCCATTCGAAGCCGTCGCGACCTGACTGAAGAGCCAAAAACGTTTTCTGACCCAAAGGGCTTCAGAACCCACGTCTCAAGCGGACACCGCATATATATCATATGACGGACAGAACGCCTTGGTTTTTTTTTTTGGGCGGGTGAAGCAAACCCATTTGTTGAGTGGTTCCCTTTGGCGTCCCTTTAAACAACCCCAAGACAAACAGGCCCATAGTTGATGCATATGGCTTTAAGAATCCATGGAATGCCCCCGAGGATCCATGGGTCCATTCCCAAAACCTCTCTTGACCCCTACTTCATGGACCTGCAAGGGGGGTAATTGGGGTCCCCCTGGATAAGCCCGGGATAGCCCCCCCTAAACTAACCAGGAAGTCGGATGGAAACCTTTTCACTCTGGTTCAAAGAAAAAACCAAAGGACAACACCACCTATGTTCCTCTGTCTTCTTGTGAATCGCACCCCTTTTTGCTTGATCTGAAAAAGGAAGCCGAATGGACAACCACCACTTGTGTCTTCTTGTTCTTTTCTTTTTTTTGGGGGGGTCCCCTAGAACAAGGACAATGGAACACCACCATTATGGGAGGTCCCCTTAAACAAAAACAGCAAACAAAACATGTTGGGCGTCCAAAAGAAAATGAAGACGTCACCCCACCTCCGCCTTCCAAGTAGCGAGCACCTCCTCCGTGCGCTGCGGGAAGTGAGTAGCTCCCGTGTAGAGCGCGTGGGTGCGTATGGCCGGCAGCTTCGAGCCCAGCTGGTACTCAAACCTCACTCTCCACAAGTGGCTAATGCTGACTCCGTATTAGTCTGTACCCTCCCCGCAGAAAGTCGGAAGTTATGAATTGCGAAGTATTGGAGAAGGGCACTGGGACCGAATTAATAGGGGAGGGGTTCCCAATACGGAGCTAACGCTAGCCTCCCAATTAGTGGTTACCCTCATTGACATAAAAATTACCTGAATCAAGTAACTCCCAAAATGGCTTGGTAAATGTAAACATGACCTAAGACGCGGTCCAATTCCGGGTGGATTCATTTTAGCCCTTCCACCAATTGACACAAAACCCAACCTGAGGGTCCCTTCAAAAGGAAGATGGTCTTGGGACAACATCAACCTCAATTCTCCCACTCACTTTTTGAGTGGATTGGCCCAAAAAAGTCAATTTTAACCCTTCCACCAATTAACTTGCAACCCACCTGAGGGTTCCTTCAAAAGACAAATGGTCTTCTAGGGCCCCCGAACGTGAGGTTCCATGCTAGTTTTTTGGGCGGGTCGCGGGTCTGCTGTTAACAGGTGGGGGATGTGTCAAATCCAGTAGATGAGAAAGCTTATAAGCTTGTACAGCCCCCGATAAAGGACCTACAGCCAAACACTTTGCTGCTAAGCCTCGCATAGATGAGGAGTGTAGAACATTCGGTAGACCTCTTGGAACATTTCTGAGCTTCACCCGAATCGTTAACCCAAACTACCTTTCAGCATTTATCAGAACCACAAATTTTGAGTCGGACCCCCTTGTTGGAAGTAGCTCGCTTCCTTCAGGCGAGTTTGTGCCCCGGCTATGGTCTGTTTGCGCGGCCATGCAGGGAAGAGCCAATCGCCGCAAGATTTGGGCCATGCATCAAATGCTGCGTGTCTCATTTCCGGGACACCAAGCAGGCAAAGAGTCAAGCATGAAAAAAGTCCGGCAATGCCTCGGAAGTGGGGAAATCACTCGTAGGCTCCTTTGCCAAGAGGCTGCATCTGCAAGAAAGGATCGCTCACCGCGAACTCCACGTGATTCTTCTTCCCCATGTCCGTGAAGCGCTGCCAGTAGGAGTCCCTTACCTCTGGGTCATCTGGGACCATGAACCTTGGATTCCCAGCGGCTTGCTTTCTCAAGGGACCTGCTGTGGGAATGCTAAAGTGGCATGCCATCCCTATCTTCACCTTAGGTGGTAAGGGTTCTTTGGGGTACGGGTTCCTCATGTTCCTGGCCGAGGAACAGCAAGGGATGCCCGAAGTAGCCCAGGGTGGGCAAATCAGCTGGCTCCAGCAGGAGGCACAAGTAGGGCACCGTGCACAGCAGAATGTCCACGAAGTTCAGCCGCGCAGCTGGGCCGTTCAAGCGAAACAAGACAAATGCTGGCAGAGTTGGTTGAAATGGGTTCAAATAACGCACCCCGGCCCCTGAATCCTTCTTGGGCAACTAACAGGAAGTGGTTCAAGCAGCTGTGGCTTAAACATGTTTAAACAAGGCTGTAGCACAACCTTGCTTGGGATCTGATGAGATTTCACTCCAGCACAATCTTTTTGGAAGGCTGCAATGACGTGACACAGGGTCCCCTGCCAACAAGCCACTTTTTGTGAGATGACAGCGCGGTTTTCAAGAACCAAAGAGCCAACAAACAACCCGTCACATATGCCGGCCAAGGTCCCTGAACATCTTTCTCCCAAATAAACGTCCTGAACATCCCAAACCGGAACCCCGAAACAACCAAACATCCACAGTCGGAACTCCGTCTCAATAGATTTAACAAAATGTCTGAAAATCCGTCAATTGGCAGTTAAGACTTTTGAGTGTCTTAGCACCAACAGTTGGCGACAGATCAGGCTCGGCCTTTACCAAACTCTGCCACACAAGAATGTGGGGGGTGTCTTTCCAGTTCTTTCTATACAGTCACCCCTTTTGGGGGCCCCACTCTAACACACCGAAAGCCAGGAACCCAGACACATTTTTCGGATTTTTGTGGTTCAACTCTACTGGGACAACACTGTCTTTCTCCAACCAGTGGACTGTGGAGCAAGGGCTTCACATCATCCATCCGCTGTTGGCGTCCTTGGAAGTAACAACTTCCCTGGCTCCCAACATGGAACATGACAGGAAGGTTTAGAAGCTTTGACCCTTTTCAATATGCGCATAGGACGGATGCACTACCTCCGATGTCTTCAGCCTCGGCCCGCTCTCCAAAAAGGTGCCGGCAAGCTAATTATCCTTCTCGCGCGGGGAAGGAAACGTGCATCCACGGAAGAGGGTTCCCTACATTTCTTCCTCAAGAATCACCCCAAAAAGAAAGGGAAACCCGAAAGGTGTTTCACACCGCAAGGGGAGCTATGGGGACCTCTTTCGAGGGCGCCTGCCACCTTCTCAAAGTCGGCGATGAAGCCGTCCATGTCCACAATGGGCTCCTGAACATCTGTCAATCGGGTGAACAACTGGCTGGTGATTGGACAGCTCCATTTGCTTTGCCGTCCCCTGGGAAAAAACGGGCAAATGTTTCCAGTAGTGTAGATTCCCCGTAGAATCAACAGGAGGGAAATAACACATATTCGTAACCAAATGGCCGGACTCCTCCATTCTGCAACCTTGATGGTTTGTAAGTCTGATGGTCATGCCCTCGTTTGCCCGTCCCTGAAACGCAGCCAGTAAAGGTGACTTTTTACTTGGCCACAGTGTATCGCTCAGAAGACCCTGTGGAACAGGAAAAGGAGTTGATTGAACTTGGAAGCTTTGGCTTCGCCAGGAAGAAGTGCACCCAGCGTCTCAATCTTGCCCACAACCCTTGAGTCCCATTTGACTGAATATATAAAGTGCAACCCCAACAATTTAGGAACCCAATAGAAAACAGGTAAAACTTGGTTTGGTGTTGGTTAGTATTGGTTTAGTATTGCTCTGTGCTGCCTTAGCACTGGCTTAGCATTGGATTGTATTGGTTTAGCTTTGCTTTGTGTTGCCTTACTAATGGCTTAGAGTTAGTTTGTATTGGAACATAGCCGGTTTTCCACATCTTGTATTGGGTCCCCCTTTTCATTTCGGGGTGAGGACTGTACTTGGCACCCCTTGGGGCTCATGGCTCGGAGAGATTTCAAATCCCTGAAGACGTGACCCTGTTCGGCACATGGAACTGTCCTCCTTTTAAAATACCTTTTGTAGGGTTGGTTCAAGAGGAAACAAAGGGGCACCCGCCATTTGAGGGGTTCCCCGGTTCCAAAAGACACGCAATAAAACCTGCTTGTCAACCCCAGGTCAGGTGGGACGTATTAAACACTGGTTCGTCCCATTTGTTGCGGCCTCAGTTGTGTGAAGCCCAGAGATCGGCGAAGAAAAACTAAAAACACTTGTGTGATGTAGGTTCCTCCTTTTCAAGCAGGGCTCCCAAAGAAAACTACTTGTTGTTGAGGCAACAAGTCGGCATTGGGAGGTAGCGCGGGCGCCTGGGATTTGTGGGAAATGTGTGGGCCCTCCATGTTCTCCTCCAACTAGCTAAAGCCCAGTGAACATCCCAATCCCCACTAAACTAGACTAAATTGGGTGGTGCACCTCACAGCCACGTGGGTATGCGCCCTCACACGCTCCCGCGCGTGTCCGTCCTTTGAGGTGGCGCTGTTGGGGATGCGCCGCCGGAACAGGTCCGTGATGTCCTTAGGGCTTTCCATCTGGGGACTTGGGTCGGACCCGGTCGGCCGTCAAGGCGAAAAGAGCAGTCAAATGGACCAGTTTTCCTTTTGGTCCGGTGGAAAAGGTCTATCTTATCCTTTTAGGAGCCCTTCCAAGGTGGGTCCTGGGAGGGGAGAAGGTACTTCCTGTTTTTAATGGCCAAGCTGTGTCTTCTGAGAAGCCGTGTCTTTTCACAGAGGTGTCCTTGCCAATTGCGGGAAACCGACCTCAGCTTTGCCCAACCAACAATCAGATGTCAGATTCTGGTGAGCGAACCGTCCAACTTGACATAACTTCACAACAGATCTCGATCCTAACGGGGGGCTGAGCTCTCTATGCCTCTCTGTTTGCCTCCAAGCCTCATCTTCCAGCTGAATGCATTCCAGCTGTGGGTGCCAGTACAAAGTCTGACACTTGTCCGGCAGCCACTGCGGGTATTGGTCCTGGCCGAAAGTGATGTGTCCCCCGCCCCCCGCCCTGCATTCAAGGCTTGCCATGTTCGGAAGGCGGCCTTTTGGGACCAGGGTTGCAAGCGAATGGCTTCCCGGCTGGCCCTAGTGGTTTCCCGCTTCTTGACCAAAGCAAACTGCGGGAAGGAGGTGGTTCTGGCATCTTTCTGAACCGGGGGCTGGCAAAAGACGTCCTCTATGGCTTTGAATCATATGGGGTATTTATTAACCAGTGATGAACTATGCAAAATGTAACAGAGAAAAAAACAAAAAAAAACACTGGTTCTAGCTTCCTTCCCCAGCTAGCCCCTTGTAGACGGAGGAAACGACTTTGTGGGGCCATTTTTTTTTTGCAGGCACTGAATTGTGTTTCACCACCAAAGAAGGTTGAGTGATTGCCAGGACTTGGGCAAACTGGGGGATCCCGCTTGGGCGGGACACCGCTCAAACAGCAAACTGGGCCATCCCTGAGCTCCTGGATGAGGTTCCGATACTTGAACTCGGCCCCAGACAGGATCCGCGCCCACATCTGGATGGGCTCCGCCGAGAGGGAGGCGTGCACCCCGAGCTCCCAGACCTCGATGCGGATGGGCGGGTGCTCGAACTTCTCTGCGATGCGCCTTGCGGAGTTGGAGCGAGGAAGGCCCTTGCCAGGAAGCGAAGGGCTCCCCAGAAGAAGTTGAAAGGAGCAATTATATCAAAAGCCAACTGGAGTAAGCGGCGTTTTTGTTGTTTGGACTTCTTTGGTTCGTGTCTGTGGGGCAATATCAATCGTATTCATCAGCCTGTCTCTTGTGCCATTGCCTAGATCAATGGAACTGGGGCCGGTTCCAATTCGCAAAGGACGAAAACCAAGTCAATGGGAATCCGGGACTAAAGCAGAACCCCCGCCTGATTCTAATTGGATGGCGTCCAATTGTTGATGCCAAGAACATTCCGCGCGTTCTCTTTAGGCTGAAGGCTTCAAGTGTGTGACCAACAGCTAAGGTCAAAAGCAGCCAAGGCGCAAAGAGCTCAAATTGGCACCTGCCTTGGGCATAGCGAATTGCTGCCGCACCTCAGCTCTTTGCCATATTTTTGGGGACTGGAGTGACTGGAGCAAGAAGGAATAGCTCCATCGCCGTTTGGTCCCCTTAGGGGAATGAACAAGCATGGGCCATCCGGCACCCAAGACGTTTGGGCGGGTCGATCTGGGGAACATGCGGAGCCAGGCCTCGGAAGCTCCCAATTGGGCCAAGATGTTCTTGCAGGGCTCCAGTCGGTTGGTAGGTGTGAGGGTATGTGCGCAAGGCAACCAACACGAAGCCGCTTCCAAACAAACCCGTGTAGTGCTGATTTGCGCGACGCGGCTTGGAGATGTGTGACCCGATAATGTTGACCCAGGATTAATAAACCCGTCCCATTATTAGGCGGGTGTTCCCTTCAAAAGTGATGAATCCCCACCAGGGGCTTATTTGTCCGTTGTCAACATTAGGCTCTCAAACAAACGGATTTGACGGAAACCAGCTGATGGAAAGGGGCAAAAGTGGTTGCCCCAAGGAGTTCCTTAAAACAGGGCTGTCCTCAGATCCCCCGCTAAAATTTTAACTTTTAGTGCGTTAAATGGAAATCTCTATTAAACGCTAAAAAGCTAAACGGCTAAGGAACCGAATGGCTGGGAGCCACCAAGAAAAGAATACATCCAAAAACAGTGAATCTCGTTTGCTTTCTGCTCCTCTGCAAAAAGTATATTTTTTAGTGGTTTAATGGACAACCCATTAGTTGGCAAAAAGTTAAAGTCCTAACATCCAAGCAACATGTAACAAAGAACAGCTAAATAAGAGCGGATCCTCTTGGGCTCTGCGCCTGAGCGGGCAGCAGAAAGTCCTGGCCGCAGGTCCGTCTTAGACAAACCCAGCTACACCTCTGAGGTTTGGGCTATGGAAATGTCACATCTCCTGCTGTTTTGTGACACCCCCCAAGAAGAATAGCTGCCTGAAGAGAGGGCTGGTCCCAATTTGGGTCATTGAACAACTGAATCCTTGGGAAGAATGGGAATAGTACCTTCAAAATCATTCTAGTGGCAAAATCAGTCTAGTGGTTCCCAATTTCAGCCTTCTAATTGGAGCCCAGTCGGAGGTGTCCTGGACCCGCCCACCCTGACTATTTGAGGGGATTCCTACCCTCCCACCAACTCACATGTGCAAAAAGCCCCTTCCCAAGAGGAAAGCAGTCCTTCTACGGGGGTCTGTGCACTTCCATGTTCGCTGGTGGGAGGGGATTTCCCCCGCGCCGCCCCCCTTTTCCTGAAAGGCTGGGTCCTGGCCCTTCTTGGCCGCCTCCAAGTTGGCCACGATGTCCACCAAGGACCTGGCAACCACGAGAACCGCTCAACATCAACATGGGTCCGACCAGGGTTCCACCTTTTTGACTACCGCAAGATGGACTTAAACCCAGGGGTTCTCCTTTAGGACATGAACCACCCCTGGCTTTAAGTCTACCTTGGAATAGTCAAAAAGTGGAGCAACCGGAAGATACACGCAAGGGCCTCAAGGGCCTCTAGCTTCCATTGGAGGGTTTCCTACCATCGCAAGCCCAGGTCCTTCTGTTTCTCAGTCAAGTGGATTGGCCCTGCAAAACGGGGGCTTCCCAAAATGGAGTTCACTCAAAACCGTGGATCCAGCCAAGCCGTTGGTTGGCAAAAGCCGAGGGACAACGGCCAGTCAGAGCTTTCCATGAAGTCGAGGACGTGGTTCATCGTGGAGCCCAGCCTAGGAATCCACGTCGATTCCGCTCGAAGGGTGGCCACAATTCTGGGAACCAACCCCACACAAACCCTCATTGGGGGAAGCCATTTGGAACCACTAAGAATGGACCAAGAGGAAAGCGAAAGATCAGATCCGATCCTACTGGGGTAAACCAACATACTGGTTTTTCTCCTTAAATTGGAACCGCAACATGCGGGGGTCCATTTCCCAACAAGAGATTGTGTTGTCCGATACTTTTGCGGGTTTTGCTTGGTTCCATTTTCAATTCGTAGGCTAACCAAGGATGAGCCAACTTTCATTGACATGTTGATCCCTTTTACCATGGGCCGTCGCGTCTTAATTGTAGAACATGACAACACCAATCTATGTCTCCGTGTGCTTCCCATTCCTGATCTAGGGTTTGGTGATCATTTGAGCATGTGACTGGGTATGCAAGTGGAGTACATTGCCCCAGTAATTACTCCAGGGGCACGTGATTGAGTTCTTTGAATTCTGCTTCCCGCAGTAGAGAAGACAAGACCAAGGGTGTTTCCTTTGTTCTTTGATGCTTGACATGAAAGGGAACCCTGCCATTTTTCAACCAACCTAGCTAAGGGTTCTCCAAAGGGCAGGAAATGGAGGAGGGGGGGGATCGCCCGCCTTTTGCTGGCTAATGGTGGGCAATTCAACAAAACAATGGCAAACCACAGATTCCGCAGCTACTGGGAGGAATCAATAAACAATGGCCAAAAGGGTCGAAGGAGTATGTCTTGCAGATCTCCATGTAAGGGACCTTGGTTATTGGGCCCGAGCTCGTCTTTCCCCTGGTTGAACTTGCCATGAAAATAGGCAAACAGCATGCCCTTGCATGAGATTTGCTTGTTTGACACGCTCCTTTTGCCAATGTGTGGTTTTCCATTCAGGTCACTTTTTGCCTGCACTGTATTTGAAAAGGGTGACGCCTCCAAAAGGAAGAAAAGCGCCACTCAAGGCCTAGGCAAATTCAAGCTGTTCAGCACGTTGAGCTGAGTCGCAGGAAATTTGCATGCTGCAGCAGGTTAATCCGGTTTGTGTGGTCGTGGCGGGCGATAATCCACAGGGCGCACACCGCCCCGTAAAGGCAAAAGCCCTCAGCAACGTCCCCAGGGTGGGCGTTGCAGCTCTGTTGGAACCTGACAGCGCAATTCGAAGCATTCGAAGGTTCGCACTGAATCCTATCACCCTATTTCTCACTTCCGACCGCCGAGCGGATTGCCCAAACAAAATCTGAACTTTATTGTCCATTCAAATCGCCTGGCTAGCTCAAGACCAATCGTCTCCCATTAACATGGAGGAATCGATCCCTGGAATAACATGTTCCTGCATTCTGGTCCCCTTGCCAGGCTACTTGGCTCAGCGACGCATCCTTCACCTGGAAGATCTGGACGGTTGCCCAACGGTTGCACATCTTCATGCAGCGGCTGGAACCATCTGCTAGAGCCTTTTCCCCGTGAACACATGTAACCAGCAACCTCGATCTAGGCAATGTCGGGGAAAGATGCAAGGGGCAGCCCAGCCGGACAAACCAAGAAGGTCAACATGGCAATTCCAAACAGACAGCGGAGCTAAGCACACATCCAAGGAATGTGTGACGGCAGCTTTGCGAAGGGCGGGAATCGAACCCGCTTCCGTTTCGTCCAAACATGTGCGAAATGCACCTGTGGATCAACTAAACCACATTCTTCCACGTCCGAATGAGGAAACCGGACAATCACCCCCACATGAAAACAATGGGGAGCGGTTCTGCCAAGCCACCAACCAAAGGCTGCCTGAGAAACCCAGGAGAGAATTGAAGGTAACTTGAAAACCAAATCTTGGTTGCTTTCTGAGTTAAAGTCCTAACATCCAAGCAAAATGCAACAAACAAATGGAGACGTTCCCCCCAATTCCGCCAAAGCGGCTGGCGCATGCCCACAGAGGCCCCATATGCCGCCGCAGGGTCCACCGCCATCTCCATGCCGAACCTGCGGAAAAATGCGCCGCCCCCAAACAAGCAAACAAAAACACACAGCCACACTCCCACACACATGTTTCAGCCAAACTCAAGCAGAACACGCGGTTTGCCAGTTTCAACCAAGCCCAAAAAGAAGCAGCCAGCATGAAACCAAGCGAGGGGAGGCGACCCTAAAAGAACATCTGGTGCCAGGGTTCCATGTTCTGACTGCCCTCATGGTCTTTAAACCCCTGGGTTAATATAAATTAAGGTTTATGTCTGCCGACATCTACGGGTTTTTGGGTGTCTACCACAAAAAAATCGACACCCCGTCCCGCGGCCATGCGGGCGCGCGCGCTCGCTCGCGATGGCTCGGCGCCTTTGGAGGAGCTGCTCCGCGGCCACGGCGAGCCGCGGGTCGTTGGGGAAGTCGTCGTTGGCGTTCTGCGCCAGCAGCGCCCGGAGCCCCGACCAGGCCTTGCTCGAATCGAAGGTGGTGACCCATTCGCGAGGAAAAACAGGTTGGAGTGGTGGATATGGTGGATATGGCGGAGTCCATTTTCCAGAACCAACCCATAGCTTTGTTGAAACACATGACATGCATGTGACATGAGCTACACCTGGGCTCAAGTTGTTGCTTAGATGCATTCAACTATCAGAATGCCGCCCGCTGCCTCGTCATCTTCGCAGTTCAGAAACGCCCGCGCCCGCGCTGCCAGCGTCACAGCTGCCAAAGCCCACGCAAGGCGAAACATGGCGGAAGCTGGACATGAGTCAGTCGGACTCAATCTCGAAGCCGTCAAGCTGTGTCTAAACTCAGTGCTGGCTTCAGGTCCCTGGAGGATGTTTGGCACCATGCTGTCGAGTCAGCTGCCAACTTCTTTGCATCCCTTCAAGGTAACTAACCCTCGGATAAGTGTCAGTGTTGGATTAGGAAGGCAAACATCTGCACACGCATTTCGGAGGACTATCTTTGATGCGAGTTTGGCCCATGTTTTGCTTCCATGGGGCCTTCAACTCTGAAGCTGAAGCCGCGGCAGGGTTGCGCTCCAAAGCCCCTGTTTAACCAAGCAGAAACCACGGAGAAACCTGAAAGTGCACAACCTCGTTTGAAAACACAACTGTCCTTCCGCAATGGACACGTGTGTGTGTGTGTGTGTCCGTGCATTGGGACCTGAGTCGTGCACCGGCAAAAGTTCTTGAGCTCCTGAACTTTAAACTTTTTGGGTAGACTTTCTGGCCGATCTAGCATGTGCGACCGCCTTGCCCGTTCCGAATATCATCATGGCTCCCCACCACCGAAAGTGTGGCTCGGAAGCAGGGGTACCCCAACCCCGGATTCAAATAAGGATAGGAATCAGTGGGGTGACTTGGGTATGTCTTAGGAAGAAGCCCGCCCACACGGGCTATTTCCGCTTGCATGTCCATGTTTTACTTGCCCCAAAGAGGATATCAATACAGTCCTGTGCCGAGAAGGACTCCGTCCTGGCAAGCTTGCCGACGTCAGTCTGGTTATACCCTCCTTCCAAAGAAAACTGAAAGACAACATTTGGGGATTTCTGTAGGAAAGAGGGTAACCCACGTAGGCGGCTTGTAACCATGACAAACCGAGGCATGGGCCGCTACCCACTTCCCAAGTGAGTGCGGCGGCATGGAGGTTCAGAGGCGGGGTATGGGGATACTTGTACCTCATGGCATCCAGCCCAGTGACCCTGGTCAAAATCATCTTTAGGGAACATACCAAATAAACAGGGGTTTCGAGGGTGCCCATTCACTGGCCAGTTTATGAGTGGGCGGATGACCAGACCCGCATCCAAGGCTGGCTTGACCAGAACGCGCATGGCTACTACAAGGGCATTCCTTATTGGCATGAGGTGGCGCGGTGCTTGGAAATCATGATCGCCTCAGAGCAATGAGTTTTGCATCTTCATTTGGGCAAGAAAAAGTGCGCACAACGGAAAAGTGCGCGTTTCAATCAAAAAACGCAAAGTTCCCAGAACTGCGCTGGTTTGGGCAAAGGTGCGGGGTGTGTATAGCCTGGACATGAGCCTGTCAAGCTGCTCAAAAACAACTAGGCAAGGATACATGCGCCTTTTCGGCCAGAACTCGCCTAGATGATCCAAGGAACCAGAGTGCATTTTGGCTATTTACCTCCGCAAGGAGTTGAGATTGCAAGAGATCCGAACGGATCTTCCAAGTGGCGCTGCTTCAACTGACGACCACATGTGGCTCAAAACCGATCTTTTGGTTAGCAATTCGGGCGCTTTAGACATCTTCCGCCTAATTACAAGGTCGAAAACGAGCGCATGCATGCGCACACTTTTCGTATTTGCGCGCAATTGCGGATATTTGCGCGATAGTACCGGATTTTTGCGCGCAAATTGCGGGCTGGCAAGGCGCCGAAAATCGACTAATTTCACCTATTAGCGACTTGTCTCAACAAAAAGTGTGGCGCAAGCACAGTTCTGGAGCAAACAGCGGATCCGTGCAAACCCAGGCAATACTTGCGGGCTTGGAGCTATTGACGGAGCCAAGCGGGTTGCTAAATCAATGGCCACAAAGTGTCAAGTGCAAGTGATAGCTGGTACTTGTGCCGGGTGCCATGTATGCCACAAGTTTCCTGCCTAAAACAGGCTTGGGTGGAGACGAAAGAAGAGCTAGATATACTGTAAACATCAAGGACTTCAAGAAACACCTGCGCCGGCACGGGCACGAGCAGCGCAGTATCGATCGTTTCCACAAGCAGTACCGATTTTGGCTACCAGAGGAGTTTCATCCGAAAAGTGCGCAAATCCCTCAAACGCGCACAAATTCCAAAAAAAAGCACGCAAACACACCACAGAACGCGCAAACAAGCATTTGAGCAGAAACAAGTGCTCAAACGAAGATTCAGGGTAACGTGGGATTCGTGGTTTGTTGGCTGTACTCCAAAACGCCAGGTGGGTCGCCATCTCGCTATGACGCCACTTGGGAGGAGCCCAAATGAAGAAGTCTCACCGCCTGGCTGCCGTGGTGTTTCCGGCACAGGGAAGTGGAAGGACACCAGCATGAATAGGTCTTTTTCTAGGGCTTGATCGCCTACTCAACCATCCTTTCGCCCACATCTGCTCGCCCCTGCTTTCTTTTTGGCTTCTTTTTTTTCCGGGAAGGCGTGGCCCTAAAACAGGGTTCCTCAAGTGCTGCTTTAGCAGGGATCCTCAAATTCACCTGGTATTTGAGTGATTTTGACTGGCCCGAAAGTATCCTTTGGCTAAACCCAGTGAAAACGAACAAGTGCATAAATGGAGGTTGTAAAACAAAAATGGGGGCGGGGGGGAAGTTCACAAAAAGGAGCAAATGTAGCAAGAAATGACACATGGTGTGTAGCACTTCCCCTACACGCTTACAAATGGCTTTGGAGCAGGTGGCCCCTGGAGTGAGATTTATGCTTCAATTTCCCTTTGGTCAAGATGGAAACGTCAAAATGGCCCTGGGCCCCCCTCCCCCTCTTCCCCCATAAAGCAAGGGGGAATTGGACCTGATCCAGCACTCCGCTCCTGGAGCGGGCCTCCTTGCAAGCCGCAGCCAAAAGCGCTGCCTAGTGAGACAGACTTGGAACGGCAAGAAACTACGCTACAGATCATGGCCACATATCAACAGTACTAGAATATATATATATATGTATATATATATATATATTTGAGTCATCCAATGTAGAATTCAATATATGTGGGTTTGTCTCAAAATTAGGGAAGCCCTCACAATGTTGCAAAAGGCTAAACCTTTGGGGGCCACTAAAAACAGGGCAAGCCATTGAAACCCAAATGGTACGGCGGATCCGCTGCCCTTTCGAAGTGCCGGGTCCAGATGTTACAAACCAGGTTGAGCCTAAAGTGACATGACCTGGGAAATAGCTTCATGTCCCAAACAGCTGAGGTGAACGCTAAAGCCACCTGCATTGATGCAGAGCTTGCCATCCAAAGTTATGTTTGATGAAGGGCACTCTGAAGATTCCGTTTTGCAGAGCTCTCCGTGAAGGGCCGGGCTTGCCACGGGTGTGGAAAAATCCTAACAAAAAAACAACACACACACACACACACACAACATGTGACTATCCTAGTGGAGGACCCGATTTGGGGCTTCCATGTTAGATTCTGATGGTGTTACTCGCCGTCACATGCAGAGATCAGGAGAGACAGGTGACTTCCATGTTGGTGCGAAACTCCGTCAGAAAGATTCAGCCACATCGTTTGCACTCGGCACCAAGCCTCGCGATGGCGCAGGAGGCCCAGAGCATAAAAGACGTTCGAGAGCTCTTGCGCCTTGCCTGGGCGATGGCCATGGCAAGGGCGGGGTTGGCAGGCCCCTTTCCCATTTTCCACCTGGAGACATATGCAACATCTAACTTTAAAAAGGGGAACTCGAGATGTCAGTGGCCAGTTGCCCAGTAAACATTTGAGAGGGAATGTTCAATAGTTTCCAGACATATCGGCGTGTACATCTTGCTGCAGTGGGGGCAGACAATAATTACATCATCTTGGCTTGGGGGGAGAGCCGCGATAATAAAATACAATTCACCCCTATTTTTGCTACCACAAACAGCGCGCAAACTTGCATTGCCGTTTTGACACCAGCCATGCCTTTTGGCTAGACTCCAGACCACCTTTCAGAACTGCCACGGGAAGCTAAGAAGGCATAAAGATGGCATAAAGCAGACGAGCGCTTCCTTTGTCTTAAGCTGGTAGTTGTTGCTTATTCCTGGGGGTCAGGTTTCTCCTTCATTTCCGCCTTCTGGCAGGGTGGCTGAGTACCTGGTTGCAATAGTGGCAAACCTTGGTCAACGCTTCCCGTCTTTCCCTCGACCGACGGACCGAGTACAAGAGGGTCTCACAAGCTGGGATATGAACTGATGTCTGGACATTCCTTGGGGTTCACTGAAACATCTTATCTTGGTTGGGGACACACATTAGGCTACCAGTTGCTTGTCAAAGCTTGGGTCACTGGAAGCCGAGCACGTGCTTGCTCCTGTTTGCGCCGGGCCTTTTGCAAGTGATTCCTTTGTCTCAGGCATCAACTTACCAAACCAAACAAACAAAAAACAGAGTGCCACTGAACACACCGGCCTGAGGTACTTGACATCAAGGCGCGAGCTCCGCCAATCTTCTCTCAAACAGCCAGCAAAAAGTTGTCGACCACTCGGGCACATTTTTGCAGAGGCACAGCTAAGACGCCTCTTCTTGGTACGGCGCCCATAGTCTTGCCAATAGTTCCATGCTATGGTCTCCGTCTCGTGGTTTTGTCACCACTGGCGGGAGGGGATTCGTGTCTGGGCTGCCGACACTCTGAGATCAGCTTCGTGGTCTGCGCGCAAAGTGCCGCCAAGGGCCTTTCACAACGCTCAGCCATTGCGCGCTCGCATTCGAACGCTCGTCAAACGGATTCGGCCCGCTTGGCTAGACAACTGGGAGGCCCAAAAGCCATAGGGGCTGCTTGGGCTTGTGGGAGATGACATCAAAGAAACGAGCCATCACCAAAAACTGGCCGAACCTCATCTACTTCATCTACCGCAGCTTTTGCTTCCGCTCAAAAATGACTGCCTTGCTTTTGGCCCAAAAGAATACTGGACCTCAGCATGCCAAGTACTCCCAAAAAGGATCCTAGTTAAACACATTTGGGCGTCTTTTTCATGCCCCCCCCCAAACAAAATGGTGGGGGGGTTCTTTTTGGGTTCCCTTAAAAAAAACAAGTACCACCCCAAAAAAAAGACGCCCACAAGCTCATTCTCAGCACGCGGCCCGTGCACGTTGCGGAGCTTGGCCCAGGCGTAGAGGACGTTGGCGCAGCCTCGGGCCTCAGCAAGGTTCACACGAGGTTGGCTCCCAGGGTCTGTGGATGGCTCCGAAATCCTCTTAGGCACCACCCAAGAAACCATGGTTGAAACCATTTTTTTTGTGCCTAAGATCATGGGGGCTGGGGGAGGGAGAGGCAGCCCAGAAAGACCCTAAATAAGGCCTGATTAAGGGAACTCGCCCCCCCTCCCCCCCAGCCCCCATGATCTTAGGCACCACCCAAGAAACCATGGTTGAAACCATTGCTCCTTGGCATTTGCAGGAAAACCGCATCATCCCTGGTGTTTCTTTTTGGATGTGCGAAATGGATTTCGTCCATCCACAGTAGGACCACCTGGTTTCCCAGGCCAGAAAGTCCAAAGATCCGTTTATAGCAATAACGAATGGGTTCCACTGGCGGACTGGGACTATGGGGGAAACATACCTCAGCTTCCCTCTTGGTGGTTTGGAGGTTGGGGGGTGGTTTCACATTTAGCATCTACAAGAACCAGGGGCTCAACATCCTAATCCAAATCACCAATCCAAACCAACTAAAGGTTACTCCCTTGCAAACTTAAAATAGCTCCAAAAGCAGATTCATCTGCACATCTCTACACAAAGCGGCTTGCGTACTTGAATATCGAATGCAGAAAGCGAGCGCTTCGCTCAAGGCCAAAGCCTCGAGTGCCTATTGCTGTCCTATCGTGCACGCACCCACGCCCCGAAAGCACAACAATGTGCGGATGTTTTCATACTGCCGCCGTTATCTGGCCAATGGGATTGAATGGTTTTGTACGTACACGCCACATGTGCTTGGGAGACCCCTTCTCGGATTCTAGAAGCTAAGTTGCCTGGAGGAACCACCACCCAAACAGCAAACCAACCAACCGGCCAACCAAGCAAGGAACCAGGCACACAAGCGGACAAGCAAGCAAAGAGCCAAGCAACCTAAGCCACGGCACGGGCCCACGGTTTCCGCCCCATCCCCGCCGAGCGGCGTCGAAGTTGGCAACACCAATGTCGACCAGAGCCTTCGGCGTTAGGAAGCCGCGAGCCCGCAACAAACCCGCCATTCGGTTTCCATACGGTTTCCGCTTGTCGCGCCCATTCAAAGCCGCTTTCCCGGACACCGATGGACCATGGAAAAGCGGAAAGTATGCCACGGAACAGGGAGCCTGGGCTGGGCTGGCAACCTTGCAGCCACAGGATCAAAGAACCAGACAAGATAGACCACCACCCTTTTTGAGGGGCCGAATTGAGCAAATCATCTCCCACTTTACACATCCCATCCGACACACGAAGAGGTGCTGAAGACATCACAAAACGGTTTTGGAAGCGTGTGGGTCACCCTGTTGTGTTTTGTATGGGGTTAGACGTTGGACATGTCTTAGAGGTTCATGTTCGAGAGAAGCCTTGGTCTCACTAAAATAGCACTGTGAAGATGCCTGGAAGACCAATCTCCTGTAGCGGCTGGGGTGGGAATACTGGGCTGTCCTCAGATCCCCTGATGAAACAATAACTTGTGGCTGGGAATCGCCATTCGCAAAGATTTGGGGCCCGTCCTTTTTTGGGGGAAGGTCCTCCCCACCCAAAAAAACAGAAGTTATGGATTTCCTGTTGGAAGCCCCTGTAAAAGGTATGCAACTCCCTCGCTCGCGCCTCGTTCAGGCGCTGCACCTCCAACTTCGTGGCCTTCCCGCCGCTCAGCTTGGCTAAGCGGTGCCAGGCGGTGGCGTGGGCGAAGGCCGGCCACCTGCGGAAGGAGATGGCCGTCTCTTGCTGGTGCTCAGTAGGGAATGAGGGAATGAACCTGGCGATTCCCTCAAAGGCAGCCATAGGGGATGGTTTATAGGGGTCATTCCCTCACTCTCTGAGCACCAGCAAGTTTTTGGGGGACCCCCCAAAATTTGTGGTTCCCCTTTAAAACCACCAACAAAAAGGAGGTACCATACCCCGAAAAAAGACAGACCCATATGTGGCTTTGAAAAGAGGGCCCTGCCTTTGCCAGCTCACATCTTGCCTTTTGGACACAGAAGCAGGTAGAGAGTCCAAGAACAGGTTGCAGGGGTGGAAAAGCCGGGCCACAAAGTTCCTTCGCATGGGCCCGCGTTGACTGGCATCCTGGCTTAGAAAGCCTGGGGGTAACTCATGGCAAGCCCATCTGCCAGGCCTGTGCAAAGGCTGAAACCTCAGCACAGGGGCACGTGTTTGGTCTCAACTCATTGCGGAGGTTGTTGTCCAACGTGGACATTCAAACTCTGTGGTTACTGAATCCGCACAGATCCACAAAATATGACATCCCAAAGTCACATCTTTTGTAATCCCCCCGGCCAGCTGGTGAATGTGATGTTCAACACAGCAGGCGCGAATCCTTTCAGAAGAGAAACCCTAACAAGCGTTCTACCACCTGCATGGCCTTGAAGGCAAAAACCATGTTTCACGCCCTTAATCTGCGATTTGGATGGGGAACTTTTTCCCAGCGTTGCCGAAAACAGAAACGAAAACAGGACAGTGGCCAACAAGGCGGAAGCCGAACATGGGCTTGTCTCACAGGGGAACCCTTAAAAACAAGGGCGCTGGGATCCAACACATCGGTCAGTCGTATGGGGAGCCACCTGTCGCCATAGGTGGCCTTTTGGAGAACCAGATGGCCGTGGTAAATGGAATAAACCCCATCTAAACCAGGGCCCTCTATTTTGTTTAAGCAAACCAACCAAGAAGGCTTGTCGCACGCAGCCGAGGGTCTCCTGCAGCAGCGCCTGGAGCTGTCGCAAGTTGGAGGCTTCCGCCAGCAGGCGCTGCAGGCCCCGCATCCGATGTGTGGCCACGACGGGGCTGCTGGTCGCTGGGATGGGAAAGTGGCGGTGTTGGCCAGTTAGTGCTTTGCCAAGTGGAAAAGCGGCCATTGTCCCGCCAAAGGTTCGAGGTTGAACCTTAGAGCACGCAAAGCTTAAACCTTGGTTCTCCTTCCACAAGGAATACCCATCAACCTGAAAGAGCCCATTGCGCAGCATCTCACTGTCAGTGACCCAGCTATTGCTATTTGACAACATTATGCTAACAACCGAAGTCAAACATGCGCTGGTTGTGCAAGGCGTTTGGGGAAGCAGGACCCATTGGTTATAATCAATGACCCAGAGCAAATCATCATGACAATGACAAAGGTCCAGAGTCCCACCCCAACAGGGACAACATATGCCTAGGCAAATAATACATCAACGGGTCGCACTCAAAAACACAACATGGCCAAACACCTTACTTACTTGGAAAGGCCTTATCCAGTTTAGGATGCGTTTTGAAGGAAGCCAAATGGAAAAAGCGGGTCACACAAACAGGGACGCATTGTCATGAACACGCACTCCAGGCATGAATGGTCTTGTCTAGCTGTTGCGGTCTGATGTTGCGTGTTTGTTCGGAGGACAGCCATGCGATCTGCCAAAGCCAGCACACCTGACGCTTTGAAAGTCAAGCTTCGGAAAGTGTGCCTGTGAAATTGAGTCCACGCCTCCCACAGGGTGGCAATGAAACAGCCATCCCCCTGTATTTATGAGGTCCAAAGGGACAAACCATATATATATATAACTTGATACCGCATGAAAATTCATACCCTGGCCCTATCCGAATCCGGAGGTGTGCAGTGGGTGTGAAGAAGAAGGAAAGTTAAAGTTGAGACAAGTCAGTTTCCGTGTTGCAGACTTGCAGGCAGATGCAAAAGCAGCGAAACCCGGCCAAAAGGCATGCGAAGCGGCCCCAAGCGGATGCTTAAAAGCGGGCTTCCGCGTCTTCCCCCATGATCCCACCTGGAGGAAGCTACAACAGTTTGTCCAACAAGGAGCCAAAGCCTTGCCAGCAGAACTCTCCGGGCATTTTCAGACTGCGTGGGGAGCCGAAATCAATGTGAGCCGGGCTCATGCCAGCTGGAGGTCTCAGATGTGGCTCCCAGAGAGGAGCGGTACCCACGTGAGCCTGGCAAAGCTGAAGCATCCTGATTGGGCGGGGTAGGTGGGGTAGGTGGGGTGGGTGGGGTAGGTGGGGAGGGTGGGGTAGGTGCGGTGAGTGGGGTAGGTGGGGTGGGTGGGGTGACTGATTATTTGCCACCACGGTTCAGCTTTCAATTGGTGAGGAAGGGTCCCATTTACCCTCTACCAAAGCCAGGGCAAATCCCCAAGTCATCAATCCAAGCCACCAACTAAGGGTTGCCTGAAAAGTGGCATTCGCCAAAAAAAACAGGGTTCCAGAATAAGTGGGGTGTCCCGGGAAAATTGCAATCATCGCTAGTGGGGACAGCAAGGTCTAACGCAGAAGCCAAAGTTTAACATAAGGGGCTACAAACGCTACTGAATTGAAACAATTGTCCCCTACTACTTACAACCCCATTCCAGACATTTCGGTCTTCCAGCAAAAAGAAGCCGGGCCTTGGTAGTAGGAGAAGCCACCCCCCTAAGCTCCAAACCACCAATTAGCGGGAAGCTGGGAAACTTATAAGAACAGGGTTTTTTGGATTTCCCAAAATCAAAGTTGATCAATTGACTGGTGGGTTCCATTGAAAGGATCGCCACTGTTAGAGAATCCAGCAAGGGGCCTGGAGGAAGCACTGAAGAAGCCATCCCGATTCCCGAATCGAAACATTCAACTCCATGGCTCCGGCACCTCGGTCTGCACGTGTCCTGCGCGAAATGTTTATCCTGACAAACCACGGGGCATTGGAATTGTGATGCAGGTTTGCATTGGTTGATTGTAACAGTGGGAAACAGCCTGAATTGTTTTTCACCAATGGTAGATCCAGCGGGTTTGTGTCAAGACCAGTTTTCTTTGGTCCATCTTCCAGCTGGCTGCATGACACATGCAACAGAGACAAGCCGCCCGGCATCTCTGCCTTTATTTTGGGCGGAGTTGACAGTGGGTGAAGCTCCATGGCCGGACTGTTCCCAGGTTACCTCGCCAGTCCAGAAAGCAAAGGACAAAAGCAACCTTCTGAGCAAAGTCAGTGGCGAACCAACCAGAAACATCAATCCATGTGACTCCTGTTTGGATTGAACTTCACTTTGTGGGGCACTGCGGTGTCCGACCAAAACAAACCAATATAATCATGTTGAAGGGGAACTCAGCATACACCTCTGGTTGGATCAAGGGGGGCTGTCCCATCAGGCACTGTTGGTGAAAGCACCCCCTTGTTCATGTGAAACTGAGCGCAACCCTAAGCACACAACCAAAAACCCAAATTGCATCTTCCCCGTTGGTATGATCCTTTTGACCCCAACGACCTGTGCCCATGGAACCCGTGGAACCCCTTCTCCGGCTCTCCTCCCATTGCGCAGGCCACGTCGGGAGAAGCGCACGCCCTCCTCCACATCGGGGTCTGCGCAATACGAGAACTCCTGGCAGAGTTCGCCCCACAAAGCGGCCCACATCCCGCGCCTCTTTTCCAGCCTCGGGAAAGCGGAAAGCACCTTTTGCATGAAGGGACTTGAGGGTTGATGGTGGAGGGCCTGATTGGCTTAGAACAAAAAGGTCTGGGGAGCTCTGCGGAGCCTAAGCCCTCAACAGATTCCCCTTCAACCGCCGGCGTGACAAATCCTGATAAGTATTCTTACTAGGGGTGTCCCGACGTGTCCTGCTTTTCTAGAAAGCAGGATGCTGGATATTTTCTACCTGCGCCCAACTCTGAGTTTTATGTTTCAAGGACCGAGCAAACCCAACTCATACCTAACCGCCTTGCCCTTTCACAACTTGCCCCCAACTTATTGGCTTCAAGACCTGATTTGGAAACCAGAGGAAGGTGGCTCACAAACCCCCCCGTGGCTAGTGGCAACGAGGCTCGCCCTGTCAAACTAAACACCGAGAAAAAAAAACAAAGGATCAAAGGGCACCGAAGGATGTTTGGGGGTCTTTCCACCCACCTGAGTCACAATCAAAACCTGGTATCAAAATGCTCGATCCCCAGAACCATGCCCAGGAATCAACAAATGCGGACTCTCTCTCTCTCTCTCTATCTCTCTCTGCCGTTGCATCCAAAAGAACCCACTTCATGAGGCAACGCACGTACAGCCTCTGCCATACCGACAGTGGCCAAAGGACCAACAAGCACTAGCCAGACCGCCTGCACCCATTTCTTGGGCCCATATCCCCTCGCCTTCAGCTCCCCAAGTCGGTTTTGAGCCGAACCGCGGCGGCGGGAAATGCGCGGCGCGCCTCGATGAGCTTCTCCGGGTCCATAGCGGTTTTGGAAAAGCAGGGCCGCGCCTCCACCGCCTCGAACCTCGCTTTGGGTTACCAGGGGGTCACCAAACGTCCGGTGGCAACCAGGGGATGGGACCTACTGGGGCGGAGGGGGTAGGGGGGTTCACAAATGCTTAAAGTTCACTCTTTACTTGCAACCTCTCAAGAAATTCCACAGAAGGAAGCCGCGGTGCGAAAGTCATAGTGAGGTCTGCGATTCGTGGAAGCTTGCATGGTGGAAGTTGCGGCATGGATTTCCACTACTGCAAGCACTGCCATGTAAGGCAGGAACCTATGTGATACATCATCCGCCATCGGCCACTTGCAAGTGTTGGGGCTTCTGTTTCCAAGTGCTAGCTCGCGGGATGCCTATGATGCCATTGGGATGAAAGCACCGGTGGAACCACCGGCGGCGCTTACATGAACTCATCCAGCAACAATGGGCCCCACAAAGAACCAAATGACCCCCAACGGTCGAGGGCTTCAGCCAAGGCAAACAAGGCAAACTACGGCCCTTTGCGCGGGACATCTTGCTGGTCAAAAGGGCGCCTGACAATTCTGACGGCCACATCATGCGTGATCTGGCCTCACTGCCTATGGCTACAAGGCAGTTGTGCGAAGGTGGCTTAAATCTTAAAGCGTCCCCGACACTGAGGCAACATGAACACTGTCACCACTGGTACAGCACACGTCACCTTTCGTTGGCTGCTCAAGGTGGCTTCCCGACAGGCTTCCGCCCCGCGCCGAGTAACTCACATCTACCTAAATCTCAATTGCCTCCAATGCTGGTCAAGATTGCCTGCATGCCGCTTACACGCGAATGTCCCGGTGCCTAGCTAGCAACGCAACTTGTTCCCCGGGAACCACGCGCAACAGGTGTTGCTTGCTTTGTGTTTAGCATATCCACCGCACCATTGAAAGGCCACATGGCAAACCCGAGGCCGGTGCCACACTTGAAGCCTTGAGAAGGTGGAGGGATCAAACTTGCCTGCCATGTGCGGAGCTGAGAGCCTGCCCTATGCCCGGTACCCTCATGCAAAACTTACATTTGGGTGTCTCATTGATGAATGTTTCTCCCTGACTTATGCTCCTCAGACCCCGTGTCAAAGTGGACCACAAATTGAGACGTTGCATGAAATTGCGCTCTTCCAGTACTGGAGAGGGTGGTGGATGATCGGGCTGCTCTGAAATGGGCTAGGGGGGGACTGAGCTTGAAGGGGTGCCCCTTATGCACTTGTCAAATCTGGTTCTAGTTGCTTATGCTGAACTAATGGAGATCTGGAAGAGCAATCCTTGGAATTGTTCAACGGACGCAGCAGTGGCTGCCTTGAATAACTGAACATCGCTTTTTTAATCCTTGGGCTTTTTAAATCCTTGGACTTTTTTTGCGAGCAAAGAGCATCCTTAGGAAAGGATCTTCGTCAGGGGGGAACCTGGCTTTGAAATGCAGCTACTGACTGAAACTGGGCCATACGACTGAGACGATTCAAAATCGGTCAGGTGGTGTGCGGAAGCTGTTGAAAAAGAGGATACTCCTTCTTATTTGCTACTTGATCTTACAGCGTAACCCCAAACAAGAAGTTGAACAAATCCGCCGACGCCAGTCGAGCGTGTAGATGGCAGTCCGCAACTTGGTCTTCCTTCGGATCTCTTATCAAAGCCGAAACCATTTTTGGGCATGGTGTGCTGGGTGTCCAAAACCCTGTAATTTTCAAGTTTTCTGGGGCTTGCGTGCTAAAAATCTGCGTTTCGCCTAGGTCTCTAATTGGGGGGGTGGTTTCCCCCGGGCGCGCAGGATCTGCATCCCCAGCATCATCAGGATTACCTTGCTGCCATGAATTTGTCTCTTTTTTTGCAGATACTAATGGTGTTTGGCTGCTTCAAGCGATGTTGGAATCGGCCTGTTAGGGGTCTGGGTGGGGCCAAGTGCAAACTGTTTGAACTTCCAAAAATGAGTGTTTGGCAATTCCCCAACTGTACGGAGCAGTTACTGCGAAACATCCCCTGCATTACCGCGTTGTTGGAAGTCTATTTTTAGGGTATTTGAAGGGGGTTGCTAGCATCTGCTTTTGATTGTTGATTTCGGGGAAAAAACTGATTTTTGGACTTTTTTGTGGCCAGCCGGCTGCATTCCCAGCATTCCCGGCATCTCTAGTATTTTCTGTGTTTGGTCAATTTTGCGTGTCTGAAAGTCTTGAAATTTTGGATGCGAAGATTGGGTCTGTTCCTGTACGTTGTGTGGTTGCATCCCTTGCATTTCCAGCATCCTCAGCATCACTTCCATGAAAAATGCAAAAGGTCTTAAATTCCCTTGCACCCCACTGGCGTCGGCGTATCGCGTAGCGATTTCAATAAGACTGCTTCTTTTTATAGTTAGTCTTCATGCGGAACCCCAAACAAGTTGCTCGAAAAAGAGACGGAACGCCACTTGAGAAAGTTTTGGTCGGACTGTTTGTCGGATCCGCTTCCGCTTCCGCAAGCAGGCCATAGCTGGCGATATGCCCGCAGCACCGTGCACATGCGCTGCCACCAGGGCGCCAGCACCTGAGACCGGATGATGTTCGGTTTGGCTTGGCTTGGTGACGGCCTTTTCGGGCATTCCAAAGCGGCTGCTGGTGGATGCCCACCTTCTTCCGGTTTTTGTTAATGTTAGCTTGTAAGGCAGTACCCCATACCTCCACAACCCATACCTTAGAGTGCTCAGCTGAGTCTTTTGGATATGGTTTTACGAAGGGTGTGAGGGAGAACAAGTATGCGCTAGTTGGCACAGCAGGATTGAGCCCTCAGATTCTGTAAGAGCCTCTGTACTGAAACCGCCCCTGCTGAACATGTGTTTTTCAAGAAAACGGGACCCCTTCTGCATGTTCGGATGAAAGGGGAAGCCAACCTGGAGTTCGTTTTTTGTCACGAGTGCGCAAAAAGGCTCTTTGGAGCAAAATGGGTCACATGCGCGATTCGTCTCTGCTGGGGTGTGACGTAGGGCAAAAAACAGCGCTGTCAGTAGCTGCAATCATCATGAGTGTGTCAGGGTCTGGCTTTGAACAAGGAATTTATGTATGCCTTCTATTACTGTGACGTGTAGTCTGCTTACTTTCGTAACTGCAAAAGTCGGACTTACACCAAAGCATGAACCACGCTGGGGTCACATGTTGCTACACCAAAGGGGCAAAGCTACAACTGCTTTGAACTATAGCAAGCACAGCAGACCTCTGGGCACACTCTGCCACGCGCAACGAAGGGGTTAATACCTGCTGGCCAAAGTTGTGTCAGTTCACGCAATTACAACAGCAGGCGTGCCAGCGGTAAGCGCGTACTTTGGCATGATCTGGGGCGCCGCAGCGAACGATAGAAAAAAGCGCGGTCGCTCCTGCACTGTGGTCACCCATGTTCAACGCTATCTGTGCGCCTAGACGGCGTTGCTAATGAAATCCACCAAAGCCACTGCAAGGCATTGGATATACTCTTTCGAAACAGAGCGGTCGCTCCGACACAACGAGGGACGAAGCAACACAGCGACTTCCACGTTCGTAGGCGCGCTCTGTCACGCAAGTGTTTTATTGCCAATCAAACCATATATGCACGGTGCCAAGCATTGAGTACGAAGGGTCAACACCAGCAATATTCGTGCGCGTGTCATGGGACTACTTATTGCGAAAAGTGAGTTTCAGCCCTAATGTCCTTTGAGGCCAGCTGAAACAGAAGAAGCAATCCCAAGTTTGCTCCCTCTCCAAGACACAAAGCAAAAACGGGCACAAGCTGCCGGACGCGTCCCGGACGGACGGTGTTTTTTCCTTTTTGGGTGCCTTTTGGACGGCTGGTTTGGGACCATCAAAGTATGCCAATACGGAATGGGGTCCAGCTGGACTGGGTGGATGGTGGACGGACGGCGGACGGACTGCGCACGTCGGAGTGCGGATGGAAGGCGGATGAAGGCGGATGGACAGAGGCTCCGAACAATCTGCCTTTCAGTGCCTGCTACTGTTGAACGTGTTTGGCCGTCAATTCTTCACTTGAGCCGGAAAGCCAGCGTTTCAGATGCCCACAGCAGGCCGGCTCTAGATTTGCATGAAGCCCGTTGGTGCCTCAAAATGCACACATTTTGTGCCAAAGAATTGCCTCGTTTGGAAATAAGCAAGAAAGCTTCCTTGCCAGCATGTATCCTTTTGTAGTTCTAGCGTTCGGAACTTTCTTGGTGCTTCCCCAACCCCCACAAAGCCAGAAAGCATTTTAGAGCCAAGGCTGCGGGCAAACAACCACTACAGAACTCTGACGGACGCTTGCGGCTGTCTGATAGCAAGCTTGGCGCGCGCCAGCTCACCCTTGGAAACGTACCCTTGTCGCCTGCCAGCACAAAACTTAAGTTGTTGGTCAAAGTAAGGGACATGCTCATCTGCTTCTTGGCACCAGCCACCGTCTCCGCATACTGCGCGAATCTGCATATTGAGCAACTGTTGCATATCCTAGTGCTTACAGGCAGGTGTGCGGGCTGTTGGGAATACGCTGTTGCTGAATGCAGATTCAGGCTGTGCCGTCGCCTTACTTGAAAGAAGACGCTTGTCAAAGCAACCCGTTTGGTCAGCATACCTTCAAGAAGCTCCAGCGAGTTGCCACAGCGTGATGTTGTTTCTGAATTTCAGCAAAACGTCTACTTAGCACAGTAGGAAAAAACTAGGCCACGGTTGGCCCGAAAGCATAACATCGCAAGCGAGGTCGGCCCAACGCTGCAGGATGCGTTCTTTTTCCCTCCACGAAGCATTTGTGAAGCAAGCGCGGGACAGCACCAGGCAAGGTGCTCTGCGCAAACTGGTCGGTGCAAGTTGGTCTGCGCAAGTTGCTCTACGCAAGTTGCACTGTGCAAGTTGCTCTGCGCAAGTTGCTCCGCGCAAGTTGCTCCGGCAAGTTGGCCCCTGCAAGTGGCTCCCTGCAAGTTGCTCTGTGCAAATTGCGCTCCCTGCAAGTTGCTCTGTGCAAGCTGCTCTGTGCAAGTTGCTCTGTGCAAGTTGCTCTGCGTAAGTTGCTCTGCGCAAGTTGCTCTAGGCAAGGCGCTTTGCGCACACTGGTCGGTGCAAGTTGGTCTGCGCAAGTTGCTCTGTGCAACTTGCTCTGCGCAAGTTGCTCTGCGCAAGTTGCTTTAAAATGCAAGTTGCATCTTGCGACGCCCGCCCGCGGACCAGGGAGGAATCGAACCCGCGACCCGCCGGTTCCGGGAGCAGGCGCGCGAACCACGAGACAACTCCCGAGGACCAGTTCGAACAACAAAAGTCACAAAAAACCTTGAGGTTTTTGCACCTCGACCACAGCAGAAATCGCAAAAAACCATGGGCTTTTGCACCTCGACCACGCCGATCCCCGCAGAGGGTCGCGCGGGAACTTTAGAAATCGCAAGAAACCTTGAGTTTTTGCACCTCGACCACGCCGATCCCCGCAGAGGGTCGCGCGGGAACTGTAGAAATCGCAAAAAACCTTTTTGCACCTCGACCACGCCGATCCCCGCAGAGGGTCGCGCGGGAACCTTAGAAATCGCAAAAAACCATGGGCTTTTGCACCTCGACCACGCCGATCCCCGCAGAGGGTCGCGCGAGCACCGCAGAAATCGCAAAAAAGCATAGGTTTTTGCACCTCGGCCACGCCGATCCCCGCAGAGGGTCGATTTTCGTGTAGTGTCGTCGGCACTACCCCGCCGCCCTAAGAAGAGATTTTTATCTCCTCGCAAGTCAATTGCACTTGGCTCCTTGCACTTGCAACTTGCGCTTAACTCCTTGCACTTGCAACTTGCACTTGACTCCATGCACTTGCAACTTGCACTTGGCTCCTTGCACTTGCAACTTGCACTTGGCTCCTTGCACTTGCAACTTGCACTTGACTCCTTGCAACGGCTCCTTGCAATGACTCCTTGCAATGACTCCTTTTGCAATGACTCCAATTGCAATGACTCCAATTGCAATGACTCCCTGCAATGACTCCTTTTGCAATGACTCCTTGCAATGACTCCTTGCAATGACTCCAATTGCAATGACTCCAATTGCAATGACTCCCTGCAATGACTCCTTTTGCAATGACTCCTTGCAATGACTCCTTGCAATGACTCCTTGCAATGACTCTTTGCAATGACTCCTTGCAATGACTCCTTGCAATGACTCCTTGCAATGACTCCAATGACTCCTTGCAATGACTCCTTGCAATGACTCCTTGCAATGACTCCTTGCAATGACTCCTTGCAATGACTCCTTGCAATGACTCCTTGCAATGACTCCTTGCAATGACTCCTTGCAATGACTCCTTGCAATGACTCCTTGCAATGACTCCTTGCAATGACCTTGCAATGACTCCTTGCAATGACTCCTTGCAATGACTCCTTGCAATGACTCCTTGCAATGACTCCTTGCAATGACTCCTTGCAATGACTCCTTGCAATGACTCCTTGCAATGACTCCTTGCAATGACAATGACCTTGCAATGACTCCTTGCAATAACTCCTTGCAATGACTCCTTGCAATGACTCCTTGCAATGACTCCTTGCATTGACTTTCATGATGATAATTTCTTGCAATGACACCTTGTAATGACTCTCATGAGAACAACTCAAGTGAACCCAGCGGAAAAACCCTTCGCCATGCTTTCGGGAAAAAGGTCACATTGTAGCGATACAAAAAAAACATTTTCGCAAAATAATGCCAGTTTGTTAGTGTGACCCCAAAATTAAAGGCGCAATGGAGACTCCAGGAAGAGCAAAAACCAACCAATTCGAGGCGTCCTCCCCTGGGACACTCCTCCAACAGGCCGTTGCCAAGGATCAGCTCGTTGCGCTTTAAAAAACACATGCACCACATGGAGGCCTGCAACTAGTTTTGATACCAACCCCCTGGAAAACCAACTCAGCTCACTTGCCGCCTGGAACCTTTCGGGGCCCGTCATGAGTCTGCCACATGATTCGCCAGCATGGGGAAAACCCAACGGGTTACAAGTGAATACCCGGATATAGATCTCGTCCAAGTTCCGAGCGCAATCCGCCATGGAAAAGTCGTCCCCCAGGAAGAACGGGCCTCGAGGCGATGCTCAACCCATAACATACCCGTAGTCAACATATGCGGTTCCGCTGCGGCGCATTTGCTGAGGTGATTTGTTCGGAGTTCCCCATGACCATGGACAGGACAGTTTGACCGAACCTCGGTCGTAAAGCAAGGGACGCAATCATTCAGTGAGTTTCTAGACGTTTGGGGGTGTCTTTATTTCCAACCCAAAAGGGGGATGTTAAAGCAAAGCCGAGTAGAGGCAGGTCGAACTCAACGCTATGGTGGAAACAGCTCTTTCGGTCACAGCCCGCCAGCTTCTTTCATTCTGACTCCGCCTCCTTGCTGGTTTGGTTTCTGGGTGGCTCGCTCATCCACCATGTAGACAGCGAATGGGTGTGTCTGAAAATGTGCGCCTCCGCCCAAAATAGTGGTCCGCTTGGTTTCCCAGTAAACCAGCCCCAAAAGAATTCTCCGACGGACGAGCCAACCCTGTTCCAGCCCACGGAAATAGGAAGGATCTACGGGGGGCCCTCCTCCCTCAATTCTTCAATAACGATAGGAATGCAAAAGGGAGCCAAAATAGGGCATTGACTTCCCCAGTTCTGGGATGTGCCGCACATGGTTGCTACAGGCCTCCCATATTTCTACAAACACCCAGCAAAAGGCGGCTCACGCTCAATTCTCCGAAACGGTGATGTTTGAAACACCGTGGATGGTTTTTCACAAGCCCGACAAATATGTAGGTGCGCCCTTTGAGGTTACCCCACGGGGTTTAAAGGGAAACTCACGTCCATCTCAGGCTAGTAAAAGACACACCACTACCGCGCTGCCCAAAGCACCCCGCAAAAAGAAAACAGCTCACCTTTTGAGACCTTAAATGTGGACAAAGGGGACAAGGAAAAAGGTCAGATCCGGTCGATTGAGCAAGTGATTGCCCGGGGAACCTGACCAAACACCCCGATGCTTAAGCCCAGCCTTTTGCGAGTGGTGCCATGGCAGCCTGGCGGATGATGCGCATGCAACGCGATTTGTCTCATGCGGAATCAAAGGCCAAATGGCTGGACAATGATCCCAACCCAAACTGTTCAAGGGTCCCTTATAATTGAATGCACAACCATTTTGGTAGCAAAATAGGGGCTGAACATGGCGGCTTTCTTTTTGGCGTCCCTTTGCAAGCGGAGAAGGGGCTCTCAAAAATCACGCACCTATGTTCGCCCATGTTTCAATCACTGGAATGAGGGGTCCTTGCATGTGTGAAGGGCATGTCACATACTGGCAGTTTGTGGAGAATCCAAAAGCGACAGGCCACACTACTTTCTCGGGGCTCACTTCGGATGTCTGCCTCTATGGCAAATGCGACGCTGGAACCTTGTTGGGACGGCGTGAGGGTGGCACTGGGCAAGGTTTGGGGAAGCTACCTGTGGAATCGGTGGCACGTTCCAGTCATGGAGTCCGAACGGCCTGTTTCTGATCCCACAAACTGGAATAGGGATGCCATCCTCCCTAGACCACTTGCCACCTTTCCTCTTTCTTTGCTGGTGGACAAGGCGCAGTCCCCTTCACCTCCAGATGCTAACTTTCAAGCCCTGTGGATGGACATCGATCCGGCCTCGAACTGAGACAAGGCCTGCAGCAGGTCCTGTCGGGACGGAAAGCGTCTCATTCGGTAGCCATACTGACTTGGTACTCCCCTATACACACATACGTATATTCAATATATGTCCACATCAAAACTCACAACATTGTCTATGGACGGGAAAATCCCTTCGGATCATTCATGTTTTTGGGCCTTTGTCGCAATCTTAGGAGCATCATTCTTGGAACTTTTTAAACAAAAGCTCTGCCAGACGAAGACCTATGCCCAAGTTTGCCTGTCTGTAGCCTGTAGAGCAAAGGGGCACCACTGGTCTGCTCTGAACGGCACTGGGAAGCCACCCACGCGATGGCAATGGGATGAGCATCGCTTTGAAGGCTTAAGCAACCCAGAATAAATGAACAAATAAATAAATAAATATATATATATATATACAACTCTGGAGGGTCACATGCAACTCCCAAGGCAAGGAGGATCTCAGAAGGATGTGTCTCCAAATAATGAGTTGGGGGGAGGGGGGCGTGTCATGGGCTTAAGAATTAATTGTGACTCAAGCAAAGCTGCGACTAGCCTGCAGCAACCAACGAATGCTGGTTCGGCAGATGCATCCTAGGAAATAAGCGAGCTCCAACTGACCCAGGCACCTTCATCATGGAGTTCCTCAATTTACCCCGGATTGCGCTGGCCATAAGCTAGGAACACGAGTCCAGCAAGACCTTGTCACAAAACCCATGTGGTTCCCACGAATTCTAGTTTCTGCTGCATCAGACTTGGTGACTAGTAACGTGTGCACTAACGGTTGGCACGTTGGGATGTTGGTCCAAACCGGGACCCCAGAACGTCAGGTTCCATCTATAAATTGGTGGAAGGGTAGCCAGGAAAAGTTATGTGAAAGCCTGGTGACCGGCTACAGGCTACAGGACTTTCTAGCCACTTTGGTGTTTTGATATCGTCTTTCAGATGCGAACCTCTCGAATCGGGCGAAGACTTCGGCCCAAAGTCTACACATAGTGTTCAAGGTGTTTATTTTGGACATAAACTCATGCCTTTAACTACTTTTTGGATAAACGTGATAAATTGATTCATCTTTGTCTCCTAGAGTGGGCCTTCCCAAGTCTCAAAATCCAACTCCTCCGGTGACCTGCGAACTTGGAGCCCACCGGCGTGCTCGCCTCCCGCGCCATGGCCCGAGTCTCAGGATCGTGAGCTGCCAAGAGCCTGTCGCGAGCTCGAAGCTCCGGGCTTCGGTGCTTTCGGCTTCCCAAGCCACACACAGGGCCAAAAAGACCCGGAAAAAGTAGGGGAAAGCCCTGTGGAGCCAAGAGCAACACCCCAAGGGAAGCACTCAGTTTGGCATCACCTCCGGGGGCTTTGACTTTGATCCCTCCGGGGGGTTTGACTTTGACCCGACTCAAACTGGGCAAATGACTTACGTGCTGTTTGGGCTTGTTCGTTCCGAATGTTTGGCCCTACGCTGCTTCCTTGGAATGAATGCCTTGTTCAATCCGGAAAAAACATGTCGGCATTAGCTTGGCGCTTCCAACATCTCCACTCGCTCGGCTCTGCACTGGCGCGTTGGGAGCGAGAACCCGAATGCCCATGAGACCTCCAACTGACGCCTGGAGAAGAGGCCAACCCTTAGATCCAAACCTGTTGGAACGGGTGCGCACGTTTTCTGGGTACCGCTTTTTTCATTTAAGCGAAACCAAAAGGAAAACCATCCTTTTGGGGGGTCCCTAAAAAGACACACCCAAATACATATATAAATGACATCCACCAAAGGTCCCGAACCAAACATCACACCCACACGCCTACTAGAGGGCGGCTTTGGCCTAGAGTGCGGGTTGGCGTCTTCGTTTAACCACACCCGCACCTATCAAAGTTGGGCACGATGTGCAGGTCCACATGTTTGCTCCAGAGGCGAACCTGGCGAAAGCTTAAAGCCATCCATGATAGAGGGACCCTTTCGCCCCCTTTTGGGTGATTCCGTTGGCTTGTTGGGATGCCACCAAAGCAGACAAACAGCGGGAACAATTCCTATGTCCGTTCCACGTTTTGCAACGCCAAACGAGGCGGCACTCTTGGTTTCCCTGGCTGGACTCCTGACAGCACAGCACAAGAAAGTAGCGCCCTACCTCAAGTGGGCGGTTTGCAAGTACCTTTCACATAGCTTCCCGACAGGGACCGTCGATTCCAGGGGCCAGGAAACACAAGGGACCACCTGTGACAGTAGGATATGTCTGTGCAAATGGATTTTTGTAATGTCATGTACATATGTATGCATACGTGCATGTATATCTGTCTGTCTGTGTGCCGGTGTGTCTGTGTTCGTATGTGTGTGTAGGTGTGCATACGTATGTTACGTTATGACATGTCATGTCATGTTATGTGTGTTCTGCATGCATGCATGCATGCATGAATGCGTGCGTGCGTGCGTGCGTGCGTGCGTGCGTGCGTGGGTGTGTGTGTGTGTGTGCGTGCGTGCGTGCGTGCGTGGGTGTGGGTGGGTGGGTGGGTGGGTGGGTGTGTGTGTGTGTGTGTGTGTGTGTGTGTGTGTGTGTGTGTGTGTGTGTGTGTGTGTGTGTGTGCGTGTGCGTGTGCGTGTGCGTGTGCGTGTGCGTGTGCGTGTGCGTGTGCGTGTGCGTGTGCGTGTGCGTGTGCGTGGGTGTGTGTGTGTGTGGGTGCGTGCGTGCGTGCGTGCGTGCGTGCGTGCGTGCGTGGGTGTGTGTGTGTGTGTGTGTGTGTGTGTGTGTGTGTGTGTATGTGGGTATGTGTGTATGTATGAATATGTGTATATATATATATATGCATCTATGTATGGATGGATGCATGCATGCATGCATGCATGTATGTATGTACGTACGTACGTGTGTATGTGTGTGGGTGTAGGTATGTAGGTATGTAGGTATGTAGGTATGTAGGTATGTAGGAATGTAGGTATGTAGGTATGTAGGTATGTAGGTGTGTAGGTATGGAGGTAAGTAGGTAAGTAGGTAGGTAGGTATGTATGTGTGTATGTGTGTATGTATGTATGTATGTAGGTAGGTAGGTAGGTATGTATGTATGCATATTTGTATGCATCCATGCATGCATGCGTGCATGCATGTATGTATGTATGTATGTACGTCTGTAATCATGGTGCATGCATGCACGTGTATGTGTGTGTGTGCTTGTGTGTCACGTGCATTTACTAATGTATGTGTAGGTGGGTATGTAAGTAGGGTTGTCTGTCTGTCTGTTTGTCTGTCTGTCTGTCTGTCTGTCTGTCTGTCTCTGCCTGGCTGGCTGGCTGGCTGGCTGGCTGGCTGGCTGGCTGGCTGGCTGGCTGTCTGTCTGTCTGTCTGTCTGTCTGTCTGTCTGTCTGTCTGTCTGTCTGTCTGTCTTTCTGGTCGGTTGGTCGGGCTGTGCGTATATCTCCGCGTCTGTATGTTTATGTATGTCTGCATGTCTGTGTGTGTGTGTCTGCGTGTCTGCCTCTTTGCCTGACTCCGCGTCTCTGTGTGTATGGTTGTATGTGTGTATGTGCGTGTGTCCTGTGTGTGTGTGTGTGTGTGTGTGTTTCATGCATGCATGCATGAATTCATTTATGTATGAACATGTTTATGCACACATACATGTGCGGATTGTATACATAGGCTTGGCTATGGCCATTCCTACAAAATGGCCAAAAGGAAACAAAGGTCAGCTTTGCACTGAGCGAGCCTTGGCGCGGGAGTATGGCGAGCTTGGCAGCAGTGGCGGCCCCGCAAAGACCTCATGGACGTACCTGAGGAATGGGCAGTTAAATCATGGTTGTGGAAGAACACATCAGAAGTTGCTGATAATCGGCCGCATGCTAACTTGCAAAGATCTGTGACATGGTGCTTCAGCTTGAGAGATCTGGAGAGGGTGAGGCCTCGAGCTTTTGTGCGTTTTTTTTTCGGCAGGCTTCGGCTGACTGGCTGCTAAAGCCACAGGCTATCATAGGCTCCAGGCTCCAAGAGCACCGTGGAGTCGTACATCTGCTCTCCCCCGTGGTCTAGCGCCGGAAGCTGGCCGCGCCTCAAGTGTCTGTGAGGCAGCTGACTGGGCCAAACCCGAAAGGGAAGCACCTCACCCAACTTTGGACGTTCGCCGTGAACTTAGATCTCCAAAACGAGATCACGAAAACCGCGTTTTTTGGCCCAAGGATGCAGCTGCGTCCGTAAGTCTGTGCTTAACTTTAAGTAACACTGAGAGAAACATAATACGAAGTAAACCATGCAGCTGCTATGGACAACAAGCAGTGGCAATGGCAGCTGGAAGGCGAAACCAGTGTGGAGTGGAGGCTTGGGAATTGATATATGAAACCAGTGCGTCCCTCTCTTGTGGTTCGCATAGGAACAGGAAACCAACCGGGCCCAACCGGCGTCCAGCGAACAGGTGCCCAGGAGCTCACAGGTAAGATTTTTACTCAGCTGCCACCAAAGGACTTCCTGAAAATGAAAGGTTGACCTTGAGGGGACCTTTGCTGAAATAGAGAAAGGGGAAAGCAACAGCTCCGATCCGGCCGATTCTCTTTGGACTGAAGTTCCCCAAGGATTCCTTTGGTGAATCTTGGGCAGCCCAATCGCTCTTCGCATTTGGCCGCACCCGAGCCTTGGTGCCTTGCTTCGGGCTCGGGAGAAACATGTGTTTGCCACTTTCTGTACCATGTGTTTCTGGATAAAGCCGCGTGGATGGACCAGTTTGGCATCACACGGGTTGGGTTTCACGGTTTCACCACCCGAGCATGCAAGACAAATGGCGAGCCTGTTTTCCCAACCTGGTTCTTGCATGTTTTGCGGAGGTTTAACAGAATTGGGTGCCGAAAACGAAAGCTCCGTCCTTTCCATGGGAAACCCGGTGCACAAAAGATACTTTGACCGGTAAGCGGGAACCAGACCACTTCTCAACGAAGCCCCTACCTACTATAAAAGGTGCATATATGGCTGTGGCTCAAATAGATGTACCAAAATGGCACCGTGGTAAATGGAACCAAGGACTAAACGCTGCCATACCCATGGGTCCTTTGGACCAAACACTGACACTCCGTTTCCGTGCTTTCTTCACCAAGGCATGGGGAAGCCGTAGAAAGGCCATTGCTCTCTGATGGACCTGATTGTCCCCACCAGTCACCGTTTCGTCTACGTGGCCATGGGATACACATGTGAAGATTTAAAAAATGACAAACAAAACTCAAAACCAAAAGCGTATGTGCTAGTTTGGCCACCGCACCTTTTACACGGTGTGCCCCAAAAATGGCAAAGGGGACCTACCGGGCCGGGGTTCAACATGCTGGGCTGTCGGCGGAGAGGTGGCCACAAAGGCGGGATACTGCTGCTTCAGCTCCTGCGAGCTGACTTTTCGGAGGTCGCGAAAAGGAAACCGGAACCCATGCCAAAAACATGGCACGATTCAGCTTCATATCAAACTTCAGCTGCATGGGATTATCGGATTTAGTGCACCCTCCTGGAAAACCATCCTTCCAGAACCGATCCCTCAGTCAGGTTCCGTGTTAGTGGACCGGAGGGTACTTCGGCTTGTCATGATAAGCAGTTGGGCCACTTCTGGTCGCCCCCCAAAACCCGAGCGGCTTCCCTTACTCGATTCTTGGGTGTAGGGTCAAGGACCCATGCCGCTTGGATTTCGTTGGCCACTCTGGAAAAATGAGCCCTCACTATACGCCAATGGACCTCAAAAAAGAAACGAGGCGCCATCACACCCGTAGCTGGGGCGGTTCAAGTTGGCAATCTCGGTCTTGGCTGAAACGTTCGCGGAAAAATTACCGTGGGTACCGTCTTTGAGGTGAAATTGGACTGGAGGTCGTAATAAGATGATGGTCGTAGTGTCAATGTTTTGGACTAATTGGGCTGCCGTTGCTTGCCTGGACTTGTTTAGACGTCTTTCTGTGTTCCATCTCTGCGCAGATGAGAACGAACTAACGAACAGCTTTTGCTGGCTCCACGCAGTGTCTGCGCAAACCAGCCAGCAAGCGTTGGGGCCAGTCCTGTAAAGGTAACAGCCACCGACCGTGGCTGTTCCCATCCCTCCGGTACCTCAGGCATAGCTGGAAAAGGGCAAAGCAAAATTTGGTTGACCAAATAGAAAATACCCCCCTTTAAAGGAAAGCCAGAAGGAGGCTGCGCAAACAATTGGATGATTCAAACCCTGCAACAAACATCTGTCTTGGCGCACAAAAGGGGAATGTGTTGATCTCCAAAAATGAGGGCCCTCAGAAAATGGCTGGTTTCCAGTGGTTTTGTGCAAACACAACCAAAGGTCTACAATTGGTCCCAAAGCCAACGAATTGTTAAACGTAGAACAAGAGAAAACCCGGAGGTCAGGTTTGCCCCAACCCTGGGATGGGAACTTTGCTTGAGACTCGCGACGCTGGGCCCCGCACAAATCAATCTCTACCTGGCAGGTGTCCAATCAAATCCCCCCCCCCCTCCCCCGGGCTAAAATGAGTTGCGGGACGGGCAAATTTCACAAAAACCATCTCCAGGAAATTCTTCCCAATACCCACAAAAGCCAGAAAGTTGGGCAAACTGCCTCGAGAATTTCCCGGAGATATAACATAACATAATTTATTGGAGTCGTTCGCCCAGAAAAGTCCGACCAAAAACCGGGACGCCAGGCGCAAACCTCAGGCGCTGGCCTCTCCCATTCGGATCTGGACATGGCTCAGGTCCAACCCCCTCCAATCTCCCTATGGAACCCAAAAAAACCGGTTTTTCAAGAGAAGGCTCCTCTATAAATGGATGTTTTTGGGGTTCTATGCGAATCTGCAGGAGAGACAATCTGACAACTAGAGTTATCATTTAAGAAAAGGGCAGGGATGTCAGATAGTGCCAACATTGAGCCAGGCGAGTTGGCAAAGATGCCGGGCTGGCCCACTCGTATTCCACCGCCTTCTCCTCCAGGCCAATCCACACCCTTTGCACCTCGACACCCATGGACTCCAATTCCAGCTGTGGGTTCTCGGCACCCATACAATGCTTTCTCGCCAGCCTTCCCCCACACGGAGGACCAAATCGAGCCGGCCATCTCACCCCCCGCCCAAATCCTGTTGTAAAGCCTGTTGTAACGGGCGGGCATGCCCAAAGGCGAGATGCCTTCTGGTGAAGCCTGCTGGGCCACACGTCAACGGTGGTCCTTTTCTTGCACGGAGCAATGCGCTGTCACGGTAAGCAGGTTTGCAAGCAATGGGCAAGTCACAAGTGTCCACTTGCAATAGCCTTGGGGCTTTCTATAGAAAGCCCCAGAGAAGATGACGACATAACATCATGACATCACATTGGTATGGCTTGAAGGATCGGCATAGGCTTTGGGCAGGTGAAAAGGCAAACTTATTGCATGCGTACACTCGGGCCCATCCCGATTGTTGTGGTTTGGACTCTTCGAATCTGGGTGCAGGATCAAACAACAATTATTTAATAAACACATAGCGACACCCGGATCAAAACATTATTCAAGGGGGCAAACACAAATTATTCGCCCAGCCGCCCAGCACCGCTTTCCTATTTCTGGCTGTGGGGGGGTGAAAAAGCCTGCAGAGAGGGGCCAATGGTTTAGTCACCAGCGGACTGCTGGTTTTGGAATTGGCTTCTGCTGGGTTTATGGTCGGTTTCGGGGGTGGGTCTGGTTCGTTGGCTCAGGGTGGGTTTAGGGATGGCTTTGGGTTGGTTTAGGGTAGGTTTAGGGTTGGCTTGGGGTGGGGTTACGGTTTAGGGTTGGTTTCGGGTAGGTTAGGGTTGATTGAGGCTGGGTTTAGGCTAAGAGACCAGAAGACCAGGAGACCAGGAGACTGGCGACCAGGGACTGGGACACCAGGAGGCAAACAGACCAGGGGTAGGAGACCAAGAGGCCGGGAGACCGGGAGATAATTTATGGGAGGGTTACCTGGAAGAAAATCGTCCTGCAGGGAGCAATCCCCTGTCAGGTGCTACGTTAGTGGGAGGGAGGGTAGCATTCATCTTGCCAGCCGCTAGCTGTAAAGCTCCGACTGTAGTTAGCCATGTCGCCAAGGCGCGTAAGGGCAACGGCGGCTCGCGTAGAAAATCACCGAGGCCGTCCTGCAAGGCGGCTCAATGTGTTGGCAGGTTTGAGGGTTTGAGTCACGGCAAGTAAGGTAGGTTGCCTTTGACTTCGTTTTGCAATGATCCCACAAGGGGTGCCCGGCAGGGTAGGCTGCGTTTGGCTGCTTTTTCTATGGGGCCAGTAGCAAGCATGGTCTTATGGAATGGGATATTGGACAAGCAATACTTGTATCAGCCTCGAGCCCGGGCAATGCCAACCAGACCCGACCTAGCAAAATTAGGTGATTGGCAACAGTGGCTGAATCTGTTCGACAAACGTATCGTGCAATTGCAAGCTCATAATTCAACAAATTAGATCATAAACTAGATTGCAAATCGAGTTTCTTCAATGTTCATTTTGTCTTGACCAGCGCTCTTCAAACTCGTGGCACGTTGAGTGCGACGTTGCTTGCTGTAGCCAACTAAGGATGGCCCACGTTGACAAGGACCGAAGTGGGACAAGTGGAAAATCCGGGCTACAGCCTACAGCCTATACGTTGCTCCTTTGCTTCATGCGCATTCCTGGGAACATTCCAACTATTTGGGGAGAAGGGGTTAGTTGGCACTTGTCTTCTTCAGGGTCACCTGGGAGCTGGATGGCGCCACTGGATATACAAATGATCTACTTGCCACCTACACCTAGCCATAATCATGAGCTCCACCTCCTGATGTCTTGGTTCGGCGCTCATGAGCAGCTTGGAAGCACAACAAAAACTCACCTTCTCTCAGATTGGTGGTTTGTTGGATTGTTCGGAAGTTCGGGGTGCCTTTCCATTTGGTGTCGAGCCATTTCGGACTTAAATGTCTTGTCCAAATGCTTCAGGTGACAAGAAAAACCACTGCCTTTGCCTTTCAATAAGAGGGGAAGTGAGGCCATGTCACCTTCTCGCTTGCCCAGTGACCCTGCAAATCAAGAACATGGAGCCCTTTTGGGTGTCCCTTTTTCAGGGGGCCCCCGAAAATGGATTTTGCTGTTATTTTTGTTTTCTGATTAAAAGAAAGTCACGCCCAAAAAGAAGCCCGGAGTCAGCGAGCACGGGATGGCTTGGTGGATTGGTGGATAAGGGTAGTTTGCCATGAACCCTCTACAAGAACCAGGGGTTCAGATCCGAATCCAAACCAACCCACCAGTTTAGGGGGATACCTGATTTTTCAGTCTACCCGAAAATATAGCGCATATGTTTGGACAATATTTGTTAGTAGTTGCTTAAGGCCCTATTCTCATGGTTGTGGGAAACGACCACTTCTGTGATACAATAAAATATTGGCTTCCCAAAGACTAACCCCCTCTTTTTCAGGGGGAGATTCTCAAAAATCTCACAAAAGTGATTGGATAAACCCCGAGTGAACCACAAACCCTGCCAACCCTGCCCTATGTTGATACCTATGGAGCCCTTTGGGCCTTGAAAATCCGTGCGTGGATGAGCCACCGGCGTCCTGGCGTCCGACTCCTCCGTGGCTAGCGCCATCCTACGCGATATGCCGCGCACTCGCGATAGGGAACTTCCCGATGGTTCGCCCTGGCAAAACCCACTTCTTTTCGAGTTGGTACCCCCTTTGTTGGGTGACTCGCTTCAAGGGGAACCAACAAATATATATATATATATATATAAAACGGAATCCATTTGGTGGGAGGGGTTCGATGCCTGCTTCAAGACTCTGGTGGTGCCTTTTGGCTTGCAACATGGCAAGGACAGTGGCCTTGAAGCCAGGGACGGGATCAAAAATAGTCCCCTCAACTTGGGTGCTGTACATCCCCCAGCAAAAAGCTTAGCTTGTTGCTGGCATCACTGGCTAAAAGGGAATATGAGGGGAATCTAAAAGGTTAAAGTCTGAAGATCCAACGCGAGCATTTTTTGAGACCACGAACGAGCCACAACTGGAAAGCTGAAAGGGTCCTGACTCGTCGATTCGCTTTGCGGCAATGAGTTAGTGGCCTTAAGGTTCTCTCCCCGTGCCATTGTCAGATGCGCCGAGGGACCAGGAAGTGGAAGGCTCAGCACCATGCCCAATGTTGACCCCAGATAGATCAATAGCAGGGCGTCCCCTTTTAGTGGGGATTCATTGCCTTTGGAGGGAACTCAGTGGGGATTCATTTCTTTTGGAGGCAACACCCCCAAATTCCCCCAAATAATAGGACGGGCTCGCGCAGGAAGCATGTATTTGGGCGGCCTCCGCAAAACTACTTCAAACAAGCCGCGCCTTTGCCATGCATGAAGCAAGCCATCCGCAAAGCTCACGCAGGCAAACGCTCAGCCAGCCGCAAAGTCTGCTCTGAGATGTTAAGTGGGGGCGAGTCATGTCAAGCATATGCCGCTACCAACCTTCCAGCCAAATACACGGTACCTGCTCCGATGTACGTGCCTGTTTCTATTTGCATGGCGCCAAGAAGCGCAATCGGCTTGAGAAAAGACGCTTTGCGGAGCCAGGCCAATTTTGACCACCACGGTGCAATGCCATCCTGCGGAACTCGCATGCAGCACCCTTTCGTTGGGACTGCCATCCTATGCTGAGCAACAAGCTAATTGCAGCTGACACTTGCAAGACCCCCCCTTCCCTTTTTTCCGCTTGCATGCGCATTGCCCTGTAAAGCACGTGAAGTAGGGACTGGCGCTCCGCATGCCGGCTCCTGTCGCCTTGCAGGATTGGGCCAGCCTGTTCAAACATGTTGAAACATCCACATCCGTTGATTGAATATCCTTCTGATTCTAGGTCCTCCAGTTGAGCTGATAGAATAAGGGTACCCGTTTTTCTGTAGTCTATTTTAGTATGGGAACCCTCCCCCAAAAAAGGCCAAAAAGGCACTACTGGGGTCCCCCAGGATTCCACTCCGAAGTGGCGCAGGCTTTGCAGTTGCTTGATGTATCGACCCATTTTGCCCACCCCTGCCTTGCACAGCTACCGCCTTCAGCGGGGCTGCGCCGTCCTCCTCCTCCCCATGGCCAACCACCCTGGCCTCGACCTCGCCGGCAAAAACCTGAAGGCATTTGGAGGAGACGGCAAGCGTGTTTGGTTTTTTACGGGTCTATGGTAGAAGCCAACCGGAGCTCATGTCCAAACGGAGAGCCCTTGAAAACAGCCAGCATCGCGTCTTCCTGTCAGCAACCTCCGAAGAAGGGTGCCCAGTGGCAACTTTGAAGCACTGGAGGAGGGTCAACCAGGCAGGCAAAGCCAACAAGCAGGCAAGCAGCTGGAAGAAAACGTGTCTCTCTTTGGTCAGCATCAAGTTCCAAGCCAACGGACGGATATCGCCGCCTTTTGCTGGTCGTGAAGGAGCAGGAGTCAAAAAGCCTTCCAATGGCACAAAGTCACAATGGGAGCGAAACTACTTGGGGGAACAATGGCTGCCAAATTGTGTAAGTTTGAGAATGAAACACCCTCCCCCCCTCATGCACCCAAGGTGACTGATCGCATTCGGAGTAGCACTCCGAGTTTGGCACTTGCAAGTTTGCCAGAACAGCCGGAGAACACATGGGCGTGGCTCAAAAATAAAGAGCCAGGGTCGCGGTTTTAGTCTTTTTCCATTTACCAGGGTTCCATGTTGGGTAAATTTTTGACCCACAGCCACATGGTACCAGTAGCACACCCAAAACAGGCACAGCAAATACCTGAGGACCCGACGCTGCAGGTCCAGCACGCTACAAGCTCCGCGGACAGCGCGTTTGCCGTCCACCCATGGCGCCTTGGTCGGTTCTGTCAGCACAAACATGGCATCTGCTGGGGCACGTTTAACAGGGAGATGCTTCAAAATGGGTGTGTCTTTTGGGGGAAAAAATAAAGTGGCTGGCTTCCTTTTGGTTCCCCCTTCAAACCAAAAGAGAGGTTCCTTTAAACAAGACACGTCCAAATGGGTTTGGCGTCCGCTGTCGCTCAAACCTCCCCGCCTCGCCCAATGTGCGGCGCTGGGGCACCAAAAGGCTGGCAAAGCGGGCGGGGCTGTTGGAAGAGGAGCCTGGGTCGGAATGAGACAGGGGTGGCTTTTGCTGCCCTTGCCTTCTTAAGAGGCACTTTCAGCGCCTTTGGGGGATTGTACGGATTCTCTCAAATAAAGTAGTCTAAAGGGACAGCGCGACAAACCTGGGAGAAAAGCTCTTTCTGGGTCTGACAGTTCTTTTGACAACTGGAGTGTCGACCCTTTCACCACCCCAGGTGTTGCTCTGAAACAAGCCGTTGAATAGGAGGGTCTGGAAAAATGAACATACCTATTGTCATGCTCTGTTGGTTTCCCGTGGCAAGAAACAACACATATGGAACATGTCGCAGTTGTTCAGTGACCCTGGTACAACAAAACATGGGAACCCTTTTTGGGCTTGACCATGTTTAAGCAAAGCCATGAGGTTAAAGAGGACTCGGTGCCACTGAGCAACTTCAAACATGTAAGATGCAACTTCCCCATCGACTGCTTTTAGGTTTCCTTTCAGGACAACCCGTCGACCCTGGATTCATCACCACCAGGCATTCCCCTAATTTCACAGGCCCCCATACCCCGTGGGCCCGTTGGCTTCCGAAGCGCGGAATCTGGGCTAATGTTAACCCCGGATCAATGAACCCCCGGTTGATTGCTAGGGTGGTGCCCCCTTTTAGTGGGGATTCGAGCACTTTTGGAGGGAGCACCCCCCTAATGGGACGGGTTTAATCCTGGGTTAACATTCTGCACCCAGCACCCACTTGAGGTCCCAGCGTACCTTCGGCAGCGCAGCAGCAGCTCCGCCGAGAGGTGGCCCTCGTCCCTCAACAGCTCCAGGGCCATGAGTCGAGCGCGCTCGGCTTTTCGGCCGCCGAGAAAGGTGCCGGAGCGGGGGTTCTCGCAAAGGCCTCGGATGGCTCGTTGGTCTTCTGGGGAAAGCTCAGCTATTAGAAGAAACGCCAAGGGGTGCTCGGAACCGCCCTTTTGGTTCAAGGGTTGGCTTCATAGTGCGGAACTTAATGGTTAGCTTTCTTTTGGTCTCAATGGACAAAAGCAACGAGTGACATGGGGCCACTCTGTTGAAAGATTAGCATGGACGCTGCTTTTTTGTTGCCCACTAAACATGAAGATAACCAAACAACTAACACACTCAATCAACAAACAAGAGCAGTGAGGTTCCACCAAGGATTGGACGAACGGATACCTTCTTATTTTGGCGTTTGTTGAAGGAACGGCGAAAGTGAGACCAATGACAAATACCACCCAGCTGCCGCCCCTATGAGGTTTGGGTTGGAACTCCCCCAGTAAATCTTGCACTGGGGGGACTACCTCTGCTTTTGCATTGGTTCGCGCTATTTAGTGACATGACAAAAGAGACATCCCAAGCAACTGGGATACTAGAGGCTAGAGGCTGGATCCATGGAAGCATCCTCAAAATTAGCCCCCAAAAGGAAGCTTCAGAAGCCCTCTGAGTGTGACTTTTTTGGGTGGAGAATACCTAGCTCCAAATTCGACCGAGCAGCGTGCAGCCTCTAGCTCCACTTGCCGCAACCATTCCCGCAGCTTCCAAGAAGACAAGGCCGTTGCTGCCGCTGAAATGGCCCGCAACAAGGGGTCCACAAGGACCACGGCCTTGAGGACAAGTCGAGCAAAAGGGGCGCTAACCTCCCGAAATGACAGCAAAAGAACCCTGCACAGGGTGCCCTCTTAGGAAAATAGCCTTCCAGAACCCCTGAGGTTCTGTGTTTGTTTTCGGCATTTGGGACGGTAACATTGGGAGTCTGGACCCAGGGTGTCAAGATAGTCAGATAGGGAGCCTGGAACAAGGGTGAAATAGAAGAGGGATAGACAGGTCTGGCAGAAAGGAGGTGCTACGAGATCGGAACAAAAGGGTGCCAACCTAAGAGGTCTCGTGGCTTCCAGAAAGGCTCTGGCCAGAAAGTTTCCCACCAAATTGGTGATTTGGAACCCGGTGGCAAAGTGACTAAGTTCGCTTCCTGTGGACCCTCCACAAATCGCCATTCCAAACCACCAATTAAGGGTTGCCCGAATCTTGCCACATTAATCCCTTCCCCCTAATAATAAACGACGCCCCCCCCCTAATAAAAACAATACCCGGCCTGCAAAACAATTTTTATTATTAGGGGTCCCCTGGTTCTGGAGGGCAGGTTTTGGAGGTACTTCTTGTTCTGTGTAGGCTTGTTTGCAACTGTGGTCCCCAATAATAAAAGACAATGTAGACCCTAACAATAAAAATTGTTTGCGGGGGTACCATTTGCTTTTGGGGAGCTTTTGGTTTGAGGCACCCTTTGACCTTGACCACCAGCCTCTGTAGCTAATTAGTTAGTTGGCACAGCCTGCCGGTCTCAAAGGAAACGTACTCCCGGAGCTCTGGCTCGAAAGTCGCAACTTTGTAGTGCAACCGTAGTAAAGGAAACGTGCTCCCGGAGCTCTGGATTGAAAGTCGCAACTTTGTAGTACAGCCGTAGTAAAGGAAACGTGCTCCCGGAGCTCTGGCTCGAAAGTCGCAACTTTGTAGTACAGCCGTAGTAAAGGAAACGTGCTCCCGGAGCTCTGGCTCGAAAGTCGCAACTTTGTAGTACAGCCGTAGTAAAGGAAACGTGCCCCCGGGGTCCCCCTAATGGGGCTGGATTTGAGTACGGGCAGGAAAATATCTACTTTAGGATTGGTTTAGTATTGGCTATTCTAAAAGTAGTATTCCCGGATTTGGGACTTCCGAAACAAATATTTATTATTAGGGAGACCTTTATTAATAGGGGGAAGTGATTACCCAAGAAAAAGACGTGCCCCGCAACGTGGCAGTGAACACTTCTCAATCTCCTTGGCCCTTTCAGCTCAACTCTGCAGAGAAGTTCTTCCTACTTGTTCATAATTGAAAGGAGCTGCCCTTATCGCGAGCCAAGTCCTGGACAATCCAAACCAGGGTTGGCCAACCTTTGAAACACCTCGAAGGACATGTTCTTGAAACGGCCAGGTGGTTAGCAACAGGTGACAGGGGTGAGGAAGGGGACGCTTTCCATAAGGCGTCCTGCGTCTTTGGGTGACGACATCTCCAAATCTCTGCACTGTCTGACGCGTGTGGCCTTAGCTCATGAAATTTCCCGTTCGCAAGTCTATCGATCTCTGGCTAGGTTCCACTTACTCGTTGTCGAAAACCTGGATCCCTTTGAAAGGGTAGAACATTGGCCCTGGACAAGCATGGAACAAATAGGAACAGCCACAAATCAGCTCAGGCGCCGTCGTGGACAAATCTGCAAAGAGATCCAAGGCCGAGCGCCACATGCCGCACTGCGCGCACGCCCTGAGTGCCGCCGTCCGCCCCGCCTCACTCCTCGGAGTCACAGCTTTCCCTTTGGCGTTTGGAACTGGCGGCTTGGCGGCTAGGAGGGTTAGGCCCTTTCCCTTGTTTCAAGCACCAGGGTTTCAAATCACCAAGAAACCAAAGGAGATGATTGCTTTCCGTTTTCAACCATCGCTTAAAAAAACGTCTGTTTCAACCTGGTCTCCAGAAAGGAGCCGTTCTGATTGAACCACGCACAACTACTGATCCGAATCTCCCCTTAGCATAGCCGCTCGGCAAGGCTGGAGATTTGGGGCCTTGTTCACTTCATATTTGACGACGCTGGTGGCAGGAGTGCTTGGCGGGCGCACTTGAGCAGGCGCCCCTATCATTTCGCAGGCGCGTGTGTGCAGTGCTGGGCGGGTGAGCAGGGGTTCTTATCATTTGCCAGGCGTGGGCGAAGTGCTGGGCGGGTGCTTGTCTTGAGCCTTCCAAAATGCAGCGCGCACCAGCGAAAATGAGCCCCTGAATGGCCGCGGTTCCGGGAGGTTGCGCGCAGTTGAATCAGAACGTTTCCGTGGCGCACGGTTGGGGCAGCGGAATGTATCCAAGCATAGTGCGCAAATTGGGCGCCCTCCCTTTGCCAGTTGATCATTCCACTAAGTTTCAAACGCTGGAGACCCTTCCAAATGGTTCGTGTTCTGCAAGTTTCCTTTCCAAGCCATGAAGCAACAACATATCTACCAACCCTTGGAAACCAAAAGCGCAGGTGTCTGTCCGCACAGCTGGGTCACAACCCAAACCTGCACAGAACTCAACCAGCACCAACAAAGAAGTTGCGGGAACCTACAGCCGCCTATATATATATATTTATTTATATATTTATTTACTTATTTATTTATTCAGTTATTTATTTATTTATTTATTTATTTATTTATTTATTTATTTATTTATTTATTTATTTATATTTCTGTATATACACATGTGCGCAAACCTCCAGATGCCCACATTTTGATTCTGCATGAAGCTGGGTGGTTCTCAACTGACATCGGCCCTTGGGGCAGGAGTGTGTGTGGGTGCTGTAGAAGGAGGGTCCATGGACAAGCCCGTTTGGGTCTTTTTTTGGCAGGGACCCCCCCCCAAAAAATAAAAACACTTCTGGGGTTTGCTTGAAAACCAGCAAGCACAGGGCACCCTGCGCAAAAAGAGACACCCAGCCAGCTGGGTAAGCCCAGCTGGTCAATCCTCAAATGGGTTAGGTCCATGGAGCCCACCAGACCTCGACGTGGGCGGAAACAGGCTGGCCCAAGAGGCCAAGGGTACAACCAAGCAAGCAACCAGCAAACCAGCCAACCAGCCAACCAACCAAGCAACCGAGCAAGACTAAGGAAAACAGCAGGAACAAACAGAACCGCAAGCTCAACAACCACCGGTCCCTTAGTTCGTTTCGCTTCTCCGACGGGGCGCCCGGAAGGCGACACGTGCAGCGCCCATCTCCAGCGACCCGCTTTCTCACAGCCCGAGCTGGTGGCCGCAAAGCTGTACTCGTCCGGCGCCAGCCGGACAAGGCGCATCACCAGCCTGAGACCCCCAAATCCCAGCCATGTAGATCCCCAGCCATGGGAGAAAAAGAAAGAGCACCCCCCTCAGGTTTATTCTTGGGTGGGATTGACTTTAAGCCCTCTCCAAAACAAGGGAAAGGGCACTACTGGGTGGATGGAACCGACATTTCCCCTAGCCGCACCCTAAGAAAAACTCACCGGCCAAGGACAAACAGGTGATGCTTAAAGCCGACAAAACCTGAGCTTGACTAGGCGGATAATCCATATTGGGCTCATTCAAGTAGCATCCTCCAAATGATCCTTGAACTGGTGGTCAAACGGAAAATATGATCAAGGGACATATATATCCTTCGTTGTACACTTGACTCCGGATTCAAATAGCATCTTGCTGTTTCATATGCGTGTTTCCCCAAAGGTCGGGGATTCCCTCTTAAGTGATCTTAAGTGGGAACCCTCGATCACAATCAACCAAACAGTTCTTGCTCCGGGATCAACATGCCCTAAGAATTGCTAGTGAAATGAAGATTGCCCTGTGCTACCTCAATGATATACTTCAACGATACCCAGTAGCCACTCACGACTCACCAAAGCCTTGCGCACGATTCGGGAGAAGCTTCTGATGCCCGTGGCGTGAGACCATGATTTCAACGGGCTAAATGAAAACCACGATCATACTACACATGGCCCTTCCTACGAGCAGCAGGAACCGGCGTGGTACCTGGAACATCAGTCTCCTCTTGGAGGGAGCCCCATGTTGTGAGGGAAAGTCTTGATTCTTCTCCCACGATCCGCAACTTGGTTTTTAAAGCTAGGCTTGAGATCCAGCAATTTGCGGCCAGTTTGCTTCCAAGTCTGCGAGAAGTGTCCAGTATTCCAGTAGCACCCTGAGAAACCATGTGCCGTAAGACTTGCCATACATCTGCGGAACCAGGGAAAAGCGCGATTCAGCAGAACCAGACATGCCCCGAGCGAACAAGACTCGACATTTGTCGGTTGAAATTAATCGTCTAAAACTAGCTTAGACATACAAGCGGTTATCAGGCAAATCTTGTCAAACCTCAGTATAACCTCAGTTGCTTGAGGTTTGGCGCCCTACGTGGGGTGCTCTAGGATTGACAGGCCCAAGAAAAACCAAAAGGAAGTTCACACCATTTTGATGGCTTCCGTCTTTCAATTTTAAGACGCATGTCCCCTTTATGCATCACCCAATTCCAACAATGGGGCACCGGAAAGCTGATGGTTAAACCCACCCAAAAGGGAAACAAGAGAGAGTGACCGCTTTTTACGCGCATGGCAACATACCACATTCGAAGACTTGTCAACTGGGCATGTTTGGGATCTGTTGCATACCTGGCTTCATTTTGGCCCAAAAAAGATGTTATTGTTGGGCCCCCAGTTCGAACAACCCCTGGCTGGTGTTTTTGGCAGCCAACACTCGAAAAAAAAAAAAAAAAAAAAAAAACAAAAAAAAAAAGAGGAAGCCAGCAGATGCAAAAAACAATATAGCATGCGACGAGCTTTGAAGGAGAGAACAGGAAAAGCGAGATGGGCGTTTCCAAAAACATGAAGGCAAGCGGATGTTCTTCTGGATTCCCTCGCAACACCATTTCGGTCCCGAAATCAGGTCCCTTGTTGGCCACCCTCCATTTGGGTTTTACTTGACGGAACCTGGCGGCACGGGAAAGCAAAGCCCATTTGAGGCTCCGGACCTCTTTCCCAGGTGGCCGGTGGATATAATGGTTTGATCTGTGTACTGAAACGGACAAATTTAGAACCCCGCGGAGCCCACCCATCACAAGGGCCTTGAACCAAAAATCGACACCCGAAAGCAAAAAAAGAGAATAGGGCCTGGGGCTAAGGGTTCGGCCTACAGCCCTGCTGCTTGAGAAATTCACGAAAGAACAAATTGAACCCGAAAACAAAAAGAACCATTGAAAGGGCTTCTTAGAAACTACAGCCACTCCCAATCTGAGAAGCATGGCTTGCAGGGCTTGAGGCCAGGCGCGGGCCTTGTCACAGGAGCCTCCGCTCGCCGGAGCCGGAAGGGCACCGGAAAAAAAAAAAAAAAAAAAACGAAGCCGGCGGGAAACCCACCAGCCAGTGATCGGCTTGCCACTGATGGTGGCTTGAAGCTCTTGCTTTTGGAGAGGGAACATGGGGCCACCCCTTAACCACCAAACCACCAATCAGAGGGAAGCTGAAATGAACCACACAGACCACCAAACAATAAGACACAAACAAGGCTAGCAACTGGAACTCCGACCAAAAAAGCAATCGGCTGAAAACACCGCGCAAAGAGAGGACTCGAAAGACACAGTCCCCAAAAGGAATCCTATTACCCATAAGAGACCCAATTAGTCTCCATTATACTAATTATCGCGAGCCGATTTGGGTGACGGATGGGTTTTTTTATGTCGTACCCAGGTGTGACAAGCCCTTCCCCCGGCAAAACAGGGCAACCTAACCTAGTTTCATACAAACTAACCTCTGGTTTGCCAAAATGTGCAAACTCAATCTCTCGGGCGCATTTAAAAAAAAGCTCCTAGCATCAATACTGTGTTGTCTTATGATTGGGGCTTAAATCCAAAATCTAAAAGTCTAAACTTAGAGTCTAAAACGCTACCCAGGTGTGGCAGGCCCTTCCCCCGGCAAAACAGGGCAACCTGACCTAGTTTCACACAAACTAACCTCTGGTTTGCCAGAATAGTGCAAACTCAGCTCGTGGTCATGGCAGCCGCCGATACAGACATCAGCCGGACCTTCATTTTCTCACGCAGGCCAAGTGCACAACATAAACCCAAGCATCGTGCATCATATGTAGTAGTGTCATCCACCTGATGTGTTCACTGTTCAATTCCTTTCACTACCACGACATTCACATAATACTAGGAAGGCTCGTGGCAGGATAGTGCAGATATAAGAGAAAGTAAGTAGATAGTCTAGATTAGATACCGGACACTTAGTCTGAACTTGGTATCGATTGTTTCTTCTAATGGGAAGATACTAAAGAAAAAAGATACAGCAAAAAACAAAGATAACACAGAAAAGAAGTTAAAACATAAAAAACAGATAAACAAGATAAAAAGGACAAAAACAAACAGTTAAAAACAGATTAAACAACGATTACAAACATGTTAAAACAGATTAAACAAGATAAACACATGCACAGAGTTGCAAAGAGCTTGCCCTGCAGTAGAAGACATGTTGCAACAGGTAATTAGCAGGGAAGGGGCCGGATAAATCAATAGTTGCGACTTTCGTGCTGGAACTGCGGAAGTGTCAAGCACTTTTTCTCTCATGACAGACTAACAAGAGCCCCCCCTTACATACCTCCTTACCAAGATTCGCGCTGCGTGGGGCGTGACATACCTTTAAAAAGTCATAGCCAGATATAATCATCATCCGAACAATGGCATCATCCTGGCGCAATAATATTTGTACCTGTTACAGTGAAATAAGTATCTGAAAATCCCCAAACGTAAAACAAATTAAGAGGGAAAACCTGGCTTTGCAAAGAACAGGTTTGGAGCGGGCCGCTTTTTCCATTTAGTTTGGGTTCATTTAGTTTGGGTAGGCGGTTTGGAGGGGGCCGGTTCTCCGTCTATCGGTTGCTGGTTTGGAGGGGCCGCTCGATTCATTTAGTTTGGGTTGGTAGTTTGGAGGGGGCCACTTTTTCCATTTGGTTTGGGTTGCTGGTTGGGAGGGGCCGCTTGTTTCATCTAGTTTGGGTTGATTGTACTAATTTCACGTAATTTTCGTCGGTGGTTTGGAGGGGTCCGCTTTTCCATTTGATGGTTTGGGGGGGGGGTGCGGGGGGGGCGGTTTTCCATTTCTTTGGGTTGCTGGTTTGGAGCGGCCGTTTGTTTCATTTAGTTTGGGTTCGTTGTGTGGAGGGGCCGCTTTTTCCGTTTGGTTTGGGTTGATGGTTTGGAGAGGCCGCTTGTTTCATTTAATTTGGGTTCGTTGTGTGGACGGGCCGCTTTTTCAATTTAGTGTGGGTTGATGGCTCTAGCTTTATTCAATTTTCGTTGTTGGTTGGGAGGGGGCCGGTTTTCCATTAGTTTCGGTTGCTGGTTTGCAGGGACTGATTGATTTATTTAGTTTGGGTTGGTAGTTTGGAGGGCTCCGCTTTTTCCAGTTGGTTTGGGTTGATGTTTGGAGGGGCCGCTTGCTTCATTTAGTTGGGGTTGGTTGTGTGGAGGGGCCGCTTTTTCCCTTTAGTTTGGGTTGATGGTTCTAGTTTCAGGTGGTTTGGAGGGGGCCGGTGTGTAATTAGTTTCGGTTGCTGGTTTGGAGGGGCCGCTTGTTTCATGTAGTTAGGGTTGGTTGTTTGGAGGGGCCGCTTGTTTCATTTAGTTTGGGTTGGTGGCAGTTACCCAACTTGGGTCGCTCAAGTCATGCTTCTTTACTTGGGAATTTAGGAAAAACAAATTAGGTCAACATCCAGAGCCCCTCGAATCTGAGTTCCTGGACTGAAGGACAAACAAAAAAGGTCGATAACCCTGGCTTGGTTGGGGAGACCAACAAAGTTCAAAAAGTTCAAAACACCGGGCCCCCAAAGTGATGTTTCGGGGAGTTCAAAAAGTTCACAAAGTTCAAAATCCCGGGCCCCCACAGTGATGTTTCTTTACTTGGGGAGTTCAAAAAGTTCAAAAAGTTCAAAATCCCGAGCCCCAAACGTGATGTTTCTTTACTTGGGGAGTTCAAAAAAATCAAAAGTACAAAATCCCGAGTCCCAAAAGCTTCTTTACCTGGGGAGTCAAAAAGTTCAAAAAGTTCAAAATCCCGAGTCCCAAACGTGATGTTTCTTTACTTGGTGGGTTCAAACAAATCAAAAAGTTCAAAATCCCGAGCCCCAAACGTGATGTTTCTTTACTTGGGGAGCTCAAAAGAATCAAAAAGTTCAAAATCCCGAGTCCCAAAAGTTTCTTTACCTGGGGAGTCAAAAAGTTCAAAATCCCGAGCCCCAAACGTGATGTTTCTTTACTTGGTGGGTTCAAACAAATCAAAAAATCCAAATCCCGAGTCCCAAAAGTGATGGTTCTTTACCTGGGGGGTTCAAAAAGAAAAATATCAAATGCATGTTTTTGCACAGTGGTGTTTTTCAGGGCCTGTCACTGGCCTGCTTGGTCGGCCTGCTGCTTTTCATGGAGTGGGATTTCTTCAGTAGAGCTTCCCATTTGCTTGTTGTCTCTAGCTGCCATTTATTTGGGGGAAGGTGGATTTGTTTCAGGGCCTGTCACTGGCCTGCTTGGTCGGCCAGCTGCTTTTCATGGAGTGGGATGTCTTCAGTAGAGCTGCCCGTTTGCTTGTTGTCTCTAGCTGCCATTTTTTTTTGGTGACGGCGGATTTGTTTCAGGGCCGGTCACTGGCCTGCTTGGCCTGCTTTTCACGGAGTTGGATTTCTTCAGTAGAGCTTCCCATTTGCTTGTTGTCTCTAGCTGCCATTTTTTTGGTGAAGGTGGGTTTTTTTCAGGGCCTGTCACTGGCCTGCTTGGTCGGCCTGCTGCTTTTCTTGAAGTGTGATTTTTCCATTGGGCTTCTAGTTTGCTTGCTGTCTCTAGCTGCCTTTTTTTTTGTGAAGGTGGGTTTTTTTCAGGGCCTGTCACTGGCCTGCTTGGTCGGCCTGCTGCTTTTCATGGAGTGGGATGTCTTCAGTAGAGCTTCCCATTTGCTTGTTGTCTATAGCTGCCATTTATTTGGGGGAAGGTGCATTTGTTTCAGGGCCTGTCACTGGCCTGCTTGGTCGGCATGCTGCTTTCTTGAAGTAGGATTTTTCCATTGGGCTTCTAGTTTGCTTGTTGTCTCTGGCTGCCTTGTTTTTGGTGAAGGTGGGTTTTTTCAGGGCCTGTCACTGGCCTGCTTGGTCGGCCTGCTGCTTTTCTTGAAAAGCATTTTTCCATTGGGCTTCTAGTTTGCTTGTTGTGTGTGTGGCTGCCAGTTTTTTTTGCAGTTTGTTTTTTCAGGGCTTGTCACTGGCCTGCTTGCTCGGCCTGCTGCTTTTCTTGAAGTGGGTTTTTTTCCATTGGTAGGGTGTCATGACCGCGTCCTCTGACAGTGCGGTCTTGATGATGTCATCAGGTGTCGGCCTCAAAAACAGCTCCTCAAACCCAAAATCGTTTTTTTTATAACACTATGTGACTATGTGTGCATAAAGTGTGGAATATGCAAAACCTGAGGGCACACATGCATAACTTCTGCATAACTTCTGCATAACTTCTGCATAACTTCTGCATAACTTCTGCATAAAAAAACATGGGCTGCATAACTTCTGCATATATGCAGAAGTAATACTGATTTTAGTAGGGCAACTTCTGCATATATGCAGAAGTTGTTTTGTCAGTGACATAGGCTGCATAAAGCAATTCCTATGCAGAAGTTATGCAGAAGTTATGCAGAAGTTATGCAGAAGTTATGCATAGGTTATGCGTAAAACGGTTTTTATACGCAACAATCATTGAACAATACATACGCCGCGCAAAAGTCGCATAGAATTGTACCAAGTTGTCAGTACTAAGAAGGCTCGCAGTCAGATAGCTTGGAAATAGAGGATAGTATGTCAGACATAAGTCTGTTTATCAGGTGGTTAACCTATGTTTATCTTAGATATGTTTGGCTATGTTCCGGCGGATTTATAGTAGACTTAGGAGTAGCTACTCGGGAAAGTAAAAGATAATAAGTTTTCACATATTCTCTACTAAAACATATGAAAGATATTAAAAGATAGTATCTTTTTTGTTTTATCTTTGTTTATCTTTTTTCTTTAATCGTTTTGTATTTGTTTTAATCTGTTTTTACCTTTTTCAGTCGTTTTTCATTGGGGTTTGCCAGTTTAGATGGCGAGCCATATGTGCTTTTCAAGCAAAAGGACATTGCTACTATTACGAGGCGCATCAGCTGTATTGTGATGAAGCCCTCCAAAAAAGTCCCACTTCACCAAAAGCAGCAGGCCGACCAAGCAGGCCAACTACAGGCCCTGAAAGGGGTCCAGCTTTCGCAAAAAAATGGCAGCCACAGACAGCAAACAAATTAGAAGCTCCACTAAAAGAGAACCATTTCACGAAAAGCGCCAGGCCGACCAAGCAGGCCAGTGAAAAGCCCTGCTGCGCAGAGAAAACAAGGCAGGCACACACAACAACCAAACTAGAAACCTAATGGGAAAATCCCACTTCACGAAAAGCAGCAACCCGACCAAGCAGGCCAGTGACAGCCACACACACACACAACAAGCAAAAGCAACAACCCCCAGCATCCCCAGCAACACACCGCCAAAAAAAAACGAGGGAAAAACTGTAGTCGGGGCACGTTGGGCCTGACTACAGTTTTTTCCCAACCGTTTCCCAAGCATTTCTAAGGCCAGCGTCCCCAGCATCACCAGCAACACCCCCAGCATCCCCAGCAACACACCGCCAAAAAAAAAACGATGGAAAAACTGTAGTCGGGGCACGTTGGGCCTGACTACAGTTTTTTCCCAACCGTTTCCCAAGCGTTTTAAGGCCAGCGTCCCCAGCATCACCAGCAACACCCCCAGCATCCCCAGCAACACACCGCTCAAAAAATGATGGAACAACTGTAGTCGGGGCACGTTGGGCCTGACTACAGTTTTTCCCTCGCGTTTTTAAGGCCAGCGGCGCCAGCAACACCCAGCATCACCGGCAAAACCCCCAGCAGGCCCCAGCACCCCCAGCAACACACCGCCTAAATCATGAAGGTAAAACTGTAGTTGGGGTACGTTGGGCCTGACTACAGTTTTCCCCTAGCGGTTTGTACAGTGTGTGAACAGATTTTGCGAACAATGGTGGCTGGTCGAAAAGTCTGCAAATTGTTCAAAAGATGTTGAACAGATTCTGAACTGACAGCAAGTTTGCAAGTTGGTGAAAGGTGGCAATAAGATTGTGAACAGATTGAGTTGGTAAGTGTTTGGCAAGTTTGGAAAATGTTGGCAAATGTGCGATTTGTTGCAAGCTGGTGAAACACGTGAAACAATGGTGAACTGACAAACAAACATGAACGTTTGTGAAAATATAGCAAACTGCTGGACATTTGACAAGTTTGCAAAATGTTGGCGAACTTGCGAACATTTGGCTAGTTGGCGAGCAAATGGTGGACAGATTGTGAGTTGGTAAAAAGATTGTGGAAAGATGGTGAACTGCCGAAATGTTGGCAAGTCGGTAAAAAGTTGGCGAATCGGCGCTTTTGTTTGCAAGTTTGCAAAAGAGGGTGAGTTGGTAAAATGATGGTGAATAGATGGTGGGTTGGTGAAAAGATTGTGAAAAGATGGTGAACTGCCGAAAATTTGGCGAATTGGCTCTTTTGCTTGCAAGTTGGTAAAAAGATGGTGAGTTGGTGAAAAGATGGTGAACAAATGGTGAACTGCCAAAAACTTGGCAAGTTGGTGAAAAGATGGTGAAATTCCTGACCTCTTGGAAGTGTTCCACAAGTGTTCCAGTCCTCCGAAGAAGTGTTCTGGAAGTGTTCCAGCTGTAACCCACCATCTTTTTACCATCTTTTCACAATCTTTTCACCGACTTGCCAATTTTTCGCACATTCACCAAATTGGACCAACTTGCCAATTTTTCGGTAGCTCACCATCTGTTCACCATCTGTTCACAATCTTGTCACCAACTCACAATGTGTTTGCCAACTTTGTTCACTGACTTGCGAAATTTTCGGCAGTTCACCATCTGTTCACCATCTTTTCACCAACTCACCAACTTTTGCCAACATTTCGGCAGTTCACCATCTTCTTACCATCTTTTCACCAACTCGCGACCTGTTTACCATCTTTTCACATCTTTTCACCAACTGGCCAAATTTTCGCTTTCGCCAACATGTTGCAAGCTTGTCAAATTTGCAACAGTTTGCGATCTGTTCACCATCTTTTCACCAACTTGCCAAATATTCACCAGCTCACAATCTGTCCACCAACTTGCTCACTTTTAGGCATTTCACCTTCTGTTACCAACTTGCAAATTGTTCACCAACTCACAATCGTTTCACCATCTCTTCGCAAACTTGCCAAATTTCACAAACTCGCCATCTTTTCACAAGCGTCTCACCAACTTGCCAGATTTCCACCAGCTCACCATCTTTTCACCAACGTGCATTTTTGTTGCAACCCACCGTCTTTTCACCTTCTTGTCACCAATTTTGTTCTACAAAGTCATCTTTTCGCCATCTTTTCACCACTTACCAAAAGGTTCACCAACTCGCCATCTTTTCTGTTGTCTGTTCGCAAATTTGGCAGACGTTCACAGACTCCCGTTTTTCCTCAACTTGCACACGTTTCACAAACTTGCAAACTTTTCACCAGCCCACCATCTTCTGACTCTCAATCTTCTCACCGCTTTCAAACTGTTACTCTGCGCTCCTTTCACAACAGCCCCACATTTTCACAACACTCTCACCTGCTTACTTCTCAAGCGTCACCAACTTCTCGCCAGTGTTCACCACCAACTCACCATATTGCGTTATTACAGACGACACCAAAAGAAGTTTTAAACACTCCGAACCTACCCGCAGTTCAACTCCATCCTCGCTGTCTAAATTTAAGCATGGCATGAGACTGAGGCGGGGCGTTGCTTGTGTGGACAATTCAAGTAAAATTGAGTCACAAGAGGCCCTTGCGAGCAATGATTTGACGCCTCATTTTGTACTCAGTGATTACATTTCTTTGTGTAGGCAACCAAAGAAACCACCCTTTTAGAAAAAGCAACATGGCGAAGAAACACTAACGTGGGGGGTTGCCTGGGATCGCCTGGGATATGTATATATGTGCATATATACACACGCATATGGGATCGTAACAAGATAGGGGAACCCCAACCAAACATACGCTAGAAGAACGGGGGGGCGAAAGCAAAGTTCGCTCAGCAAGCTTCTCTGCGCAAGTTTCTGAGCAACTTTCTCTGAGCAAATGTGTCTGAGCAAGTTTCTCTCACATTCTCTAAGCAAGTTCTCTGAGCCAGTTCTCTGCGCAAATTTCTCTGCACAAGTTTTCTCTGCGCAAGTGCTCGGCTCAAAAATTATCTGCGCAAGTTCTCTGCGCGCTCTCGCGCTAGCTTCTTTCATGTTTTGCGCCCGTCTACCAAAGAAAAGAAATCGGTGCGCTGATGCGCTGAACGTTCAACCATATGTACTTTGCGAGGAGACTGAGTCTACCCGAACAAATGAAACCGTCTGTGCTGACTGCTAAAAAACAATCGTATGAACAGTGCGTGGAGTCTTGTTAAAGAAATAAAAAATAGACCGTGCTCAGCGCCCGTTTTGTTTTTTTACCTTCGCGCATGCCCTTGACACCTGAATGCGCCTGATTGCTCTGACCATTGAAAATTGACGTATAATTCTTACCCAAATCGGCTCGCGATAATTAGTACTCCATTAGCCCCTATTTGGATTTTGAGGCCCCTATTTGGAGGCCCTTAGCAACCATAAGAATCAAGCAGGAACATCGGAATACTAAACCGAAACAACAAACAATACCAACCAACGGAAATGCTGCAGGAAAAAAGCAACATCTGGGTCTAGCAATAGCCACATCTTCAAAAACATGCCATTCATGGCGGTCTAAAGGGAACTCAACCCCTTAAAAGAAAAAAACGTCAGCCCCTCAAACGTTCACTTCGGACCCCCCAAAAAACCTTCTCCTCCCACAAAAAATGCAAAACTTGGTTGCTCTTGACCCCTCTGCAACAAGTTTAACTCTTTGTGGGTCCAATAAAAAAATCCCACCTGTTTCTCCCAACAAGTTAAAGCCCAAAGATCCGTTACCAAATAGCCATAGTGTAAAGGACTAGCACTAAAAAACAACTGCAACCGGCTGAATGCATGCACGAACCTAAACTTCGAACAACTCAGGCGCTGATCATCGCGTTGAAGCAGTGCTCGTTCGCTTCGAACCCACGCGCTCTCCAAGCGTGAAGCATCTCTGTGGCCCACTCCCAGTGCCGAAACCTCAGCGCGCAGTGGCTGCAACGACGTTGAGTGAGCTGGTTGGTTGGATTGTTTGTTGGTTGGCTGGTCGGCTGGTTGTTTGGTTGGCTGGTTGGTTGGGTGGGTTGGTGGGTGGCTTGGTGGGTGGGTGGGCTGGTTGTGTTTGTTTGTTTGATCGATTGTCCGAGTTTGTTTGTTTGCCTATCTTGTTTGTTTGCATGTTTATTGATTGATGAGTTGTCTGTCTGTCTCTGTCTCTGTCTGTCTCTCTGTCTCTGTGTCTGTCTCTGGCTGTCTGTCTGTCTGGCTGGCTGGCTGGCTGGCAGGTTGTCTGTCTTGCGGTCTATGGTGTTCATTGCTTTTTTTTGTTCATGCCTGTCTTTCTTTCTTTCTTTCTTCTTTCTTCCGTTTATTCTTTCGTTTGTTCGTTCGTTCGTGTATTTGTTTGATGTTTGATTGTTTTTGCTTGTTTGCTTGCTTGTTTGTTTGTTTGTTTGCTTGCTTGTTTGCTCGTTTGCTTGTTTGCTCGTTTGCTCGTTTTGCTTGTTTTATTTGTTTGTTTGATTGTTTGTTTGCTTGTTTTCCTGTTTACTCGCTTGTTTCCTGTTTACGCACGTGTTTGTTTGTTTCTGTGATTGGCTGTCTGCTTGCTTCTTTGGTTGCTTCTGTGCTCGCTTCCTTGTCTGCTTGATTGATTGCTTGCTTGCTTGCTTGCTTGCTTGATTGATTGATTGATTGATTGATTGATTGATTAACTGCTTGCTGGAACCACCGAAATCGGGACTTTACACTGTCAAGGATTCCTCAGGCAAATCTGCGTAACTCCTGGCCAGAAACTCCTGCACCGCGGCAATAGCTGTGCTGCAGCAGATTGCGTTGGGCACCAAGGCGCCTGTGTCAACGTGGCACGGACCTTTCGGTCACTCACTTTGAAGATCAAGTTGGTGGACATCATGGACTTGCATCCAGCAGTACTTTTGCGAGGGCGAGTTTGAAAGTCACATGTGTTGAATTGCCTCTGGTTGTCTAACTTCCTATATGATGTCAAACCTAGATTATTTAACTCAGTGGATAGGGGCGTGTGTCTCCCAAAACTAAAAGTATTCACTCTTATATGGGACACCCCCCATTCATCCGCCAGGGGGTTGCTAATCCGGGGCTTCGCACTACTTCCGAAACCATGATAACCAGCTATTTTGTCGGTGCAGCCCGGAAATAATCCCGAGGACCAAACAACTTAGCAACCGAAAGACATGCCAAGAGCAGTGAAGATGACTTCTATGTAAGAAAAAGAACAGAAGAGCAAATATTCCAGTAGTAATAGATTCCCTTCACAACCAACAGGGGCAAATTTGCAACATATGTATATTCCTTTCAGCAATCCCGGGTTTCCGGGGTCAACATTAGGCAGTTAGCTGCCCCCGCCTTGAGCGGCTTGGGCCAGGAGCTTTGTGCCGCTCTGCCAGCGTTGGTCCCGCCGGCAGCTCCGCAGTCCCGCGCCCAGACCGTGCAAACGCGCCAACGACACCGCGAAGAACCAGGGCTGAGTGCTCCTAAGGGTCATGGCCCGTGGTCCCGATTCTTGGTGGCTATGGCCCGTGCAAAAAGGCGAGCTTTTTGCGGGTGAGTGGTAGACCCAAGCATGAGTACAACCAAATAGCATCCATGTGACAGGTTATGTGATGTGCTGTGGCTCTGAGTCAGTGAGTCACAAAAGTTCAAATGAACCACACGTCGATAGGAAATGAAATGCCCAACGGGATACCTAACCATATGCAAAACCACGAAGAGATGGTCGACTCACAACCGATCACCGGGTGAGATTGCGGGTTACCCAAAAAGAGAGTAGGGCTCCGAACGAAAATCTGAGGGGGTTGATGGGTGCTGTCTTGAACCAAGTGACTTACTTATCCGTCCCCTTGCGGTGTCCTTTCCCCTGTTGCCCAGTGACCCTGGCATAAACTTCAATTTCAAGTGGGAACCCACCAAACAAAAGGGACTTACATAGAAGGTTCGTCTAAACTCCCCTGTTTTTTTCAGCCTGCCCGCTCACCAGCGGAAAACCCACATGCAAACCCAGAGGTAAGTCCCCTCATCATCCCTCATCCTTCATCAGGGATTTCATGGCGGGAGAACCTGATGCAGGAAGTTGACAAACATGGCGGAGATAACATCCATCTCTAGGAGTAGGAAAGAGAGACCAAAATGAACAACTTTGGATTGGGAACCAAGGGATTGTCCATCTCGTGTCCTAATCAAGGGATTTATCTTATCCCACCCCCATCCAGCCCTCATGGTCTAAATCAAAGCGGGGATGGGGATAAAGAGAATGGAAAGGGATTTTGTTCATCTTGGAATTGTATGGTCGTCAATGTCCTGTCTCATCCCGTTATTTGTTTCTCCGTTTAAGACTTGACAACGGAATGACGATAAAGACAAGTAAAGAGAGATAAACAATAAGAGACGTATCAAGCTGGGATAATAATAAAAGACATAAGATGATATAACTGATTTGTTTTAACATAGTGATCAACAAACGATAACATACAAAGAAAAGGGCTAGAAGACCCACTGAAAAAGGGGCCAGAAGACACAATAAGTATGAACATCGAAATACTACAAGTCTAGATGTCCAATCAACAGGACGACGAAATGGGAATCGGGGACGTATTCACCAGGGCTATGCACCTCCATGTTGTTGTGTTGTTTCCTTTGGGGTAGCCCGATTCAAATTGATTTTTGTGTAGTTCATTCCCGGAAAAAAAAAGAAGCATGTGCCGGATCGCGGGCGCGCGGCTCCCCGTGAAATTCTCAACCATTTTGCGGTGGCCACGCAGCACTCCAGGGGTTGATTCCCCATTCTGTTCCACCATCGTTCCTTTCAAAAACCGGCCGTTTTCTGTGGGTTTCCGGAGGTTAGAAAGAAAGACTTTTGGAAAGAATGGACATGCAAGGAAGCTTGGTTGCTTTCTGCTCCCCGGCTAAAAGTTTAACTTTTAGTGGTTTAATGGAAAACCCATTAGTTGGCAAAAAGTTAAAGTCCTAACATCCAAGCAAAACATGCACCAAAGGTACCCCTAGAAGTACCCAACGTCTGACGGCACTCGACGATCCGACGTCGCGACAAGTGCCGTCACCTGGCGGCATCCCAGTCGGCTGCCGCAGGGCGCGTGCCATGGGCCGCCAGGCGCGCCAGCAGCGCCAGACCTGCAGGGCACTTGCTGGGGGCTACGGCCCCTTGGGGTGACCTTTACAGCCCAAAAATGCAAAAACTCTTGCAAGAAACTGACTCATTTTTTTCAGCGTCCCGGCTAAACATACAGAGAACCAAACAACCTAAAACTTTAAAACATGCCAACAACAATGAAGGGAACGATTTCATCAAAAGGGGGAAGTGTTTGAATTGCTGGGCTGCGGCTCATGTTGTTGGTTTAGGCTGCTACCCGCTTTTTTAATTGAGAGGTGTCCCTTATCCTCACGTGGGAGGCCCCCCCCACCCCCCTATTAATAGGACGGTTTCTACTGAAAGTAGGCAAAGTAAACATAGATGGCCCAAATCGGTGTCAGCATCCTCCATTTCCCTAAGTCGCGTGGAACAAACAAATTATGTCCAATAGTGATTGCCCTGTAAAACCAAGCAATTGGGGGGACCCCTTTTTGCGTTCCATGTCTCACTTCCTGAGTGGATTGGCAAACCAAACCACCAAATTGGCTTGCCGCTAAAATGGCTGAAACCCCAGAAGTGACTCAAGTCCAAAACGGAACTCAGGGAGTGAGACCGTTGATTTGTAGGGGAGCATTCTTTAGCAACTGGATGACATTCACCGCTGCTTCTGTGCGAGGCCTTGGGCCCAGCGCAGCCGCGGCAGCACCGAGGGCGCGGAGAAATCGAAATCGGCGCAGAGGGCGTGGCGCCAGGGGAGGAGGCAGGACAGGGAGTTGTACCTGGGCTTGGGTGCAATCTGGGCTGCCCTCAGATCCCCCGCTAAAAGCATATATTATTATTATTATTTTACTGGGTTAAATGGAAATCGCCACTAAGCACTAAAAAGCTGAAAAGTTAAGGGGATGGCTGGGAGCCACCAAGGAATGGGTAACTTGCAAAAGCAAATTGAACAACTTGTTTTTGGGTTGGAACTTGCAAAAGTGGTGGGACCCCACCATTCTTGGTTGAAGCCCACTTCTTGCACAAAAGGACCTGGGTGGGAACTTGCACCCACTGGCCCCTGTACCAGTGCAAAGCTCAATCAGTCTCATTTGCGGCCAGAACGAGGCAGCCCCGCCACTCATTTACAATCCCTAAGGGCCCCTTGCAAGCCCCTTTCCGCCAACCACGGTACCCCATCGCGAGGATGTTTCTCCCTGTTTGGTGCTGCCCACTGGTTTGGAAAGAAAAAACATAACCCTCGACGGCTGGAAAGCCGAACCACTAGCTCAGGGTGGCCGTGGACGACTCATCTCCACTTCCTTCCCTGGTGGAGCCTGAGAAAACCGCTTTCACCAAGCTGGGACCAAGGAGGCAACCCCCAATTTGTTTTCCCCCCAGACGTAACTTTGAGAGCACCTGAACGTGTTGATGTTGATTCTTGGTTGCTGAAAAAGCTGAACTCTTTATGGCTCCAATGGAAAACGATCTGTGTCCCAAAAGGTTGAAGTCCAAAGATTCAACCGAATAATTAGCCATGAAGTCAATCCGCCCAGACAAGGGCAAGGGAGCTGACCAAACCAGATCCTTTGCTCCTGATCCTGTATGCAATTCCACCGGTGGACTTGGTTTGCATTCCCTCCCTGCACCACGTACTGACCCTTATATAGCCAAACAAACAACCAAATAAAGAGACGAAAAAGCAAAGAAATAAATCAAGGAAAAACAAATAACTAAAGAAACCAACCAACCAACCAACCAACCAACCAACCAACCAACCAACCAACCAGGCAGGCAGGCAGGCAGCCAGCCAGCCAGCCAGCCAGCCAGCTAGCAAGCCAACCAGCCAGCCAAACGACCAAACAACCAAACAACCAACCAACCAACCACCCAACCGTAGAACCAAATGGTCAGGTCGCATCTTGGCATCACCCTGGGGCCACTCCTGGATCAGCGCCAGAGCCGGCTTCCAAAGGCCCTTCGCCTGCGAAACAAGGCCTGAACAAATCGCTAGTCAAGCTATTAGCTTCCCTCCAAACCTCAGATGCCCAGCGGCCACGGGGAAAAAAGAGCGCCGTTTTGTTTCAAGAAAAATGGTTGAGTTTAAAGGGAACCCTTACCGAAAAACACATGGAAAAAAGGCACCACTCTGCAACGGAGGAAAGGATGGTTTGGAGCCCGGTGGTTTGGTGGTTAGGGCTGGTTTCCAACGTACCCTCTACAAGATCGCGGGGTCAAATCCAAACTCAAACCACACATCCAAAACCACCCATTGGAAAATAACCTGAAAGCCATTCTGATATGAGTCCAATGCAGTTGCAGACTTTGAAAGAAATCATACTGCTTCAAAGCCATAGGGTTCAACGCTTCTTTACCAATTCTGACTGGGAAAGTTCATGGGGTTTTCGACACCTCCCCCCAATAAATGCACCATTGATCGTGCACCCAGAAAAGCCAGTATGAAAAACACATGTTTGATGGCCCGATACATGACTTGTGGAGTGGGGATAGACTACTATCCAATTTGGAGGCGACAAGGGAAAGCATCCCCAAAGTACAACCCCTGAAAACGCAACCACTTTAAGCCAGCCCGCATCGTGGCTGGCTAAAACAGACCTTGTGGTGTCCTCAACCGAACCCCTGCTTGGTTGTCTAACACACTCTGCTTTAGGCCCGGGACCCCGCAAAAGTTGATTTGAGAATCCATTTCTAGAGAGCACCGCCCAAGTCTCACCCCGCCTCATAGCGCGCCAAGAGCGCCCCCCGCAGCGCCAATGGCGGCTCGACGCCGAGGCGCAGCAAGTTGGCCGCCGCCGGCAGCTGGTCCGCCGCCCTCAGATGGCACCAGTCCCTTCATGCGGCCGTCTTTTTGCAGCCCCCCCGGAGGTAGTCCTCATGGCTTCCGGTTAAAGCCATGAGATACGAAAGGTACCCTGAAAACACACGCACCCATGCGGGGATCAACTTGTGCCAACTCTCACCCAACTCTCCACCTTTCACTGAAGATATGGCTAAAAACGGGCCCAAGACTCAAGCAGCTGAAGAAGCCGCGCCGACCTTCATCTGCGCTTTCCGCAGTCACCAGGCAAACCCGCTGCCAAGGCCCCACCGGCAGTGGCCAGTCCCGCGAAAGTGACGGCGCTTGCTGCTGTGAGGTGCGGACCAGGGCGAACGCATTTTCCCAGGGCCTCGGAACACCAACAGCCCCGGTTTGGCTTCGGAAACGCCTCACCCCCCCCCCCCCCCCGCCATCCAAGGGCTCACGATGGCAAACTGTGCTTCCTGAAAGGCAAGGAGAATCTTGATGAATGAAACCAACAACAGCAAACATATAAGAGGTGAAGAAATGATTCAGTTTACGGAGAACTCCCGTGATTCATCCCCTCACACCATACAAGAGCAATCGCGCAAAGGAAAGGAAGAACCCACATCTGCGCTGATTTCGGCAACAAGATGCAACCAGAACAATTTGAGTCACGGCCAAAGACTGGTCCGCTGGTACCAAAGCAGTGTACAACCCTGTTGAGAGTTGGGAATATCTCACTCGACTGGCAAAAGGCCCTTGTCCAAGGAGCAAGCTTGCTCCCTTGCTTTTCCCACGTCCCAAAAAGTACGCATAACAAAGGTACACGGGAGCTCAATGCACGTGCAGACCATGGAACCCAATTGAGGAATCTGCTTGTCCAAGTGTTCAAATTCCTGCGCCACTGCGCAAAAAGTCTCCCTGAAAGAATGGCAGCCCTTTGAGGAGTCTTGGTTGGAATCCTTCAATGCGAGGCCTCCAGCACAAAGGCTCAACCTAAGTTCAAAATCAACCCTTGCTGCCGTCTCCTTCGGACAGAAGTAGTCATCCCCACTAACCAAAACGGGTTCATTGAGCACTCAGCTTGGATCTTGGGCCCAAACAGCTGGGATGATACTTTAACACCAAACTGAGTCATCACATGTTACAAGAATAATGGTAGTAATTTAGGTCCTTCCTGAGTAGATGGCCCAACAAAAGTCCGAACTTTTTGTTTACCACCAAAATGGGCTTCCCAAAAAGTTTAAAGTCCAAGCACTGCAGGGGAACTATGCACCCCCCAGCATATCCAGTCTTCAGCGTCTTTCTCCGCAGGTCCAAGGCACATGTCTCTCCCGTTCCTCACTTGCAAAGGACTGCGGCAAAAAGGAGTGCCCGTTTCCTAGAATCAGTGGCCATGGGGAAGAAGCGGGGCGCTCTTGTTTCGGTCGCCTGCTTTTGAAGGGAAACCTTACAAAAGGAAAAGCGGAAGGGGGGGGGGGGACACATACAAAAAAAAAACGGCACCACTGAAGGTCTGGGTTTTGGCTGATAAGGGGATAGCGACCTCCACAAAATGTCCAAAACAACTTGTTGAACCTCCGAAGCGTTTCCGGCGCCCCTGGAAAAGTTCTCAAAAGCGAGGGGCCTTTTTAAGGGAGAACAGAGGCCACACAGAAAACACACAAATAGACCAAAAGGAAACCGAATGAGAGCGACCAGGAAACAACACACTTCAGGGTTTCTCCAAAATTTGGGACTCCCGTTCAAGCGGTCGGTTTCTGCTTGGTGGCCTCAGGGGGCACGAATGGAATCCACCAGGATAACTTTGCTTGGATGCAACCATGCTTCATCTTTCCCATCAGCGGCGCCCTCATGTTTTCTCCTTCCATGAGGTGCAGCGCTCGAGGCCAAGAGGTGCTGTGCGCCTCTCACAGGCCGAAATCAGTGATCAACCACGCCGAGGTCCCAAGATTCTTAGGAGAGAATCCAAACTGCACACAACAGATATAACCTACCAACAAACAAACAAATCTAGAGGAAACATTCGAGTTGATTGATTTCCAGTCTTTTTAAACCTGAGCATCGCCAACTTCTAGGCAAAAAAGGCGAGGCGTTCGTGCCCTCCCAGGACTCAAAGTCGACAGATCATTGGGCGGTTCCCGAAGTGATGCCGGATCCCAACGGCTAAATGGGAGAACCTCTAGTAAACCAGAGGTTTGTTCATCCTGGGTTCAAAACATAGAGGTAAAAACATAGAGTTGAAGTTTGAGCTTGCAGGCCAATATATTTACATGTCAAATAGCGCGAGGGAGTGCCCAACGGGAGCAGCCGCATGTCAGCTCATCGGTCTGTTTTCTGCGTGTCCTGACGTCCAGCTCTTTCTTTGCGAGCGAGCCCCGGGTCGAGCCCTGCAGAGACGAGAAGTTTGACAGAGAAATGCCGAGCAGACTGCAAATACTTCACAACCCTTGGTATGGTGACAAAAATCGTTGTTTGTTTCAGCCCCCTAAAGATAAACAGAACCATGACAAAACAATGCCAAAAACAGCCCTTGAACCCTAGGGCCCCCAAAGCTTAGAAAGAGCTTAGGGCTCGAGGGATGACTTGCTTACGGCCCGCCTCAGGGCGAGAAATAGAGACCCGAATGAAAACAGCTAAGACTGTGGTGGTTTGAAGGGTTTTTGTGCAGTGGCACTTGCTTGACCAAACCTGAACCCCCGGACAAAATAGAAGGGTCAGTTGAAAACGAACGGATCACCCAAACAGCAAATGTTGGGAGGACAAAAAGCCTGGGAAAGCTGATTGTTTAACTTTGGTATGGCGGCTTCCCTCAGTGCTGCAAGCCAACCACAAAACGACCAAACTGGTGAATTGCAAGGCCCCTGGTTCCCTTGCAACATCCAGGCGGCGCAGCGCTTTCCGATGCACAAGTCCCCAATCCTGCCACCCTCTGGACCTCCTTGCGGCCGGCTTGCAGGGTGCTGTCAGTGATTTCTGGATGGCCGAAAAGGCCGCATCCGGCCTCGGCCCTGTTCATGCCATCGCTTGCTGGCAAGGGGAGGGGCTTGCCCTTAGTCGCGTAAACTGAGGTTTGCCTTTGATGCCCTGGCGCCAAAATAAGGGAGTTCTCGGTAGTGGAACAACCATGTTTCGAAGGGTTGAAAGGGCAAACATCCCAAAGAAACAACCAAGCCAAGACATGTGCAAATGGTCACAGATTTCATGCCCTGTCTCCCTGTCTCCCTGTCGCTGCTTTGAAGCCCCGGCCTCCATCAACGCCAGAAACGAGGGCAGTGTGGGCTGCAAGCGCCGACAGGTGGCGACCTTCAGGGAGTTTCCTGAAAGGCACCGACAAACCACGCGGCCCGCGGGCCAGGGTCGGGCAAAATTGGCTGAAACGCATGGACGGATGCCCACCTATGATCAGTAGGCTCCACCTAACATACAGTTAAGCAATCTCCCACACTGGACAAACCCATCAAATGGTTTAGGGCCAAAGTGAGAGGGCCCCTTAGGGAAATGAAGAAGCTTGCTTAACTGGCTCAAAACGCAGGCTGGTCGGACCCTGGCCCCGACCCCTCCATGAGTTCCTTGCAAAAGGGGAAAGAATCCTTTGAAGGAGCTCCCAAGCACAACCCCAGTTTATTCACACCTCAATCCCCGTTTTTAAGGTGATGAACAAAATCCGCATCTATCTGCCTGGCTTTGTCACCTTCCCTTTGCTTTGGGGGAGAAGGCCGGGGTGTGGGGCCAGCAAACATGCGAGGACATGCAGCCACAAGCGCACGTGCATAAACTGCCAGCTGAAAGGACAATCACGCGCACCCACAACAAAAACACAAGCAATAGATAGGCGTGGGTTCAGGCGGTATAGGGCAAGGGCTGGTTTAGATTCGGGTAGGTTTACGGTAGCATTAAGCGAATGGTTTGCAATGGGCTTTAGGGTGAGCTTGGGGGCTTAGATTAATGGCGCCTCCCGGGCATGGCACAGGAACGTCTGATATCTTTCCCAAACGCAAACGTCACCCCAAAGGATGATCTACCGTGTGTGTGCGTGTGTGCGTGTGTGCGTGTGTGCGTGTGTGCGTGTGTGCGTGTGTGCGTGTGTGCGTGTGTGCGTGTGTGCGTGTGTGCGTGTGTGCGTGTGTGCGTGTGTGCGCGTGTCAACTGTTCATATTAGTTGCGGCCAACTGGTTGAGACCCACTACAATACGCCCTCTCCTTCACCACTAAGGGGTTGGCTTCCTTTCTTCTGGGGGACCGGGTTCCCTGATGAATCACCGGGGATTTATTCTGCAATGCTACACATTCTGCGTTATTTGTTGAAAAGCTGAATTCAGGAATCCATATTCACTGGGGGATTTCTTTGCAAATGTCTCTATATGTCCAAAAGTAAAAGTAAGGGATCGGATCCCCAAGTAAAAGACCTTCATGGCTTTCGCTCGCTTTCCCCGAAGCGGTGCGCTCGCCTGCAAGAGCTGCAGGGCGTGTCGCCAGGCGGCCGCCCGCGCGCCGGCCGCCATGCCCGCATTGAAGCCTCGCCCGGCGATGGATGCGCCCGGGGCAAGGTGCGGTGCGGTTCAGCTGCTTTTGGACCCGGCTAAAAGCTGGGGGAATGGATCCGTCTCAAGAGAGGGACCCACGTTGGATGCTTTATTTTGGTTAATATATATATATATATATATTTATAATCATTATTTTTTGAGAGAGAGGCCTAAGGATGCGGTTCATTGGGGCGCCTAAACATGAAAGCCATGGCCCCCAGACCTTTCCCACTCCGGGTGGCATCTTTGGGCCAAAAACTGAAGGAGTGCTCCCATTTGGCCCCAAGCTAGCTGCCCGTGAGCCAGTGAACAAAACATAAACACAAGAAAGCAAATCAAGCGACAGGCAACCTCCCCAAAACCCCTTCCCAAACGCCAAGCAACGCGTCACCCTTTCCTGCCTTTAAACAAAGCAATGACTCAACGTAGGGTCCCTGAACCAAAGCCCCCGGGACCTACGGTCAAAGAGTGTTTGCTGTCTTTTCCTCTTTTGTGCTGGGTATTCAGTCTCGAAACTAACATCCAGGTTGCTCGGTGGACGCATCGACCGAGCCCATGGCACAACCAGAACCTTGCTGCTTTCAAAGCCAAGTAACAAATACAAGCCTTTCAGGGTCAACTTCCGAACTCGCTGAACCTAGTTAAACCAAAAATGAAACGGACAAAGGTCAGCCCTCACATCCAAGACGCACACACAAACCCACTTGTTCAAGCTTTTTGAAAAGAGAGGGGGTCGGAAACCACGTGAGATGCATGCCGGGCTGCAAGCGATGTCCGAATCGGTCACATCTCCTCAGTGGATTCAATGAACAGACCAAGTGAAGTAAACACGGCCATGGCAAAACCACCCCACAAGAAAAAAAGCTTCTGCTCATGGTTCGGACAAACAATACTATAACTAACTATATATACTATATGGCCAAACAAACCGCGGTGGATACCAGGCTTCAACACAATGATTTCCGATCAACCGGCACAAGGCCGGCATTTCTCCGCAAGGGGATTCTCACATGACATGGGAGCATTCCCTACTGGCCGCCCAGGCCTATCTTATTTCTCCCAAGCAAATGAGAAAATTGAGCTTCCGTTCGTTCATTGTCAACTAAAACGCACCTTGGGATTGAGGTGGCTTCAAGGGCTACTTGGAGGTTAATCACTCCCCACTTGCCCATCGACTCTGGTCGAAAAGAGAGTTGGTTGCCCTTATGGGCCTTCGAAGGCTCATGCCCAAGCAACAAAAACGAGCCCCAGGGGCCAAATCGCTCAGTCCCACTGGGCTCCACAGCCACTCGCGAGCGAGGTGCCCAGGAGCTCCGAGGCCAAGAGCCAGGGGCCGCTGAAGGCCGCGAAGGCAAAGGCATCGGGCTCCAAGCCCCGCGGCCGCAGCTGTCCTGGGCCCCAGAGCTGCGGCGGCTCCGTTCCGAAGGCCCGGTGGTGCACGCGGTTTATCGCCCGAAACGAGGACAAAGCGGAAGGCTTGGAGGACGGATCTTGCGCTCGGATCGTCTTTCAACAGGTGAACTGTTTGCTGGTTGGAATGGAACATGAAGCAACCCCACAAAGCCCTTTGGCCTCACCAAAGGACCTGGACACAAACGGCTAGCCGTTTTGACTTAGTCGAAACATAGGTGAACGGAGCTACAGCTCCATGTGGTTTGAACATGTTTTTGAATTTATAACAACCACGACATCACCCTTAGAAAAGAGTGCGCTATGGGGGGCTGGAAGCCAACGAGATAAGGTCTGAAACCCCCTTGCTACCCATGCTGCCCGTGCTTCCCGTGCTGCCCGAACAAAATTACCCAGCGTCTCTTGAAATTGGGAGCTCCATTGTGGTCGGTTCCTGTTCAGGCCCCGTGCAACCATCCAAATGGGTTCTCCGTGTTGAGACCCACCCTTGCCCTGCTTTGCGGAGACTGTCTTTCGCTGCCGTCTGCAGTCTCGTTTCCCGAGAATAGGGTGACTCTTTTTCGGAAAAACTCACTCGCGTCACCAAAGCAAGAATCCAAAGCAACCAGAAACCTGGGCATCTTTGAGGGTCACGTTTGGTAATGAAGCGGAAGATATAGTCAAAAGTCAAAAAAAGTCAAAAAAAAAAAGAACACGGCCACAAGCCGAGCGGCGAAAGAGCTTCAAGCTCTTCTGCCACTGCTGTCTGCGCCCCAAACCTGAGTTCAGGGCTGCGCTGTCGAAGCGCCCGCTCTGGCCAGTGATTTGATTGTTTCTATCGGGTCCAGGCGAGGAATATGCCACTGAATCCATGGTTGCACGAATGACCGGAACCTGCCGTCCTTTGGCTAAAAAATGCTAAATGTCAAATTAAGGGTGGCTTGGTTGAGCAACCGTCACATCATTTCAGGGTTGTCTACAAGGTCCCTCAAAAACGGCACCTGGTTGTGAAGCATGAATCACCTTATTGCTGTAGTGGTTGCTTCACCACTCAAGTGCCCCCAAATTGCTAAAACACTCCTAGACATGTCGACCAAGCCGCACATCGTGCGAGCCCTGGGCGCCCACGGATCACGAACTCAACACCTCCATTCGCTCAAGACCCCGAAACAAATGCAATTGGAAGAGAAGCCTGCGGAACCTCCGGCTCTACACCTGTTTCGTGAGATCAAGCGTGCAGATTTGGACAGGAAGCTCAGGCGTCAGCATGCGTCAGTTCACACGCCAGATCCATGGCCCGGATGGCCGGGCCCCTGAAACGACAAACACCACTCCTCCGTTTCACTTGAAGTGGCCTTTCACCTTCGTGTCTCATTTGAAGGCATCAAATGGGTTCAAACTAGTCACCAGGAATTGGACCGAAGGTTTTAGTCCTTTCCATGGGGTTACCCGATTTTTGACCACCACACCTTAGATGGGCTTTGGACCGGGACTCGGGACGGCTGCGACCAAGCAGCGCTGAATCTCAGCGGTCGCTTCCCGCAAGGCGAGTGCATCCCGCATCCACGCGCCATGGGGCTGGTGAATCTGACCCAATCGGGCGGAAGTGAATCAGAGTGGTAAGCTCGATTTTAGTTCTTGCTGGGGAAAATGGCCTCATCCCGTACCGGTTGACCAGCTGGAGGTAAGCACATAAAAGTCTACCATTTTGTGATGTCCACACTATTTCACTAGGGTACACGCATCCTGTCAGCCCTGCTTGCAGCGACGACCATGGCTGACAAAGTGTCTTCATCTGCCTGAACAACTTCAAGGTCACGCGGAAAAGTGCGAGGTGTCAAAAAGGAATGCTCCTTCTGGCGACTCGTGGGCCAACGCGGGCAAACTTTTTGCCAAACCATCTCTTCGGCAGCTGGTGTGCTCACAGCGCTGCTTTGGGCTTCAACCGCTCGAGCAGTGATCCACAAGATGCCGCGGGTCACCGGGAAAATCATGACACACGAGCGGCTTGCCTTTCCTGTCGCGCATGTAGCGCCAAGTGAGCATGCAGAAACGTCTCAGAATTGTGCACTTTCAGACACACATCATGGAAGACTGATCCCTACAAAGTAGCCCCAAATCCTTTGAGCCTTGTGCATCTTCCTGCCCCATTCATGTCAATCCCCCGCTTGATCACCCTGGTGGACTTTTTGGTCGGTTCTGCCCCGGTAAAGAGTCCCCATCTAGATTGAGAAGCCCCCCCGCCCCATCAAAAGCAGCCAGGACTTCTGGTCTATCTGGGGTTCCATTACCGTTGGACATCTCCGAAACTCAGTGATTTATCAGATTATGCCATGACCCACCCTTTTGTTTTGGTGGATCCTTGTCTTCCATTTGGGATTTGAGGGAGCCCTTTTGGCGTTCCATTTAAAAAGGACACCAAAAGGACAACGCGCAATCTGTTTGCGGGTCCAATCCCTATCCCAAACAATCCATGTACTCAACATATACCATCATTCAACCCACTTGTAGGGTCAATGTGGGTAGCTAGTATATACAGATATATATATATATATACATTCATTACCTACATGGATTGCTTGGGTATTTCCGAGCCATACGAGCTTCCTCAACTGGCCACGCTTTGGGCCAGTGCTCTCAGCGCTTCCTTGCGCACTTCGTAGGGCAGCTCCGCCCAGGCAAGCGCCACTCGTGGATCCTGGAGGCCCGAGTTTTGAAGCTTGAGCCATGGGGCACCCGGTTCAACGACCTCGCTTTTTTTGTTTTTAACATGCGCCGAGTCTTCATAAAACCCCCCCCCTTTTGCGATTTGTTTAAGCATCATGGTGTGCTTCACCCCTTCCGGAGAAGAAAAAAAGCGGCTGCTGTTTCCCTTGAAACGGAGAACAAGTGATTTTGTGGCCAGCGATTTCGCCCCCAGCCCGCCTCCGGCGCAGCGAAGGCGGCGCCGGCGGTCGCCGAGAGCTCGGGGCAGAGGTTGCCGGAGGAGACCATGGCCATGCCCTCCTCGAAGGGCCACCAGACCTGAGGCACTTCCAGGGCTAGTGTCTAAACCCCCAGGTGGGGGTCCTTTATACTTTCCTTCAAACCACCAAAAAAAAGGGACCTCAAGAAAAACACACCCACTTTGAGGTGGAAAGCCTCAGCGGAAAAGAAAGGAGATAAACCAACAAGAAAATAAAGAGGAACAAGTAGAAAGAATGAGATAAATTTCCAGAGAGAAACACAGAGAGAGACAATGAAAGAAACGAGAAACATAAATAAGAAGGAGAGAGAGAAAGATAGAGAGAGAGAGAGAGAGCGAGAGAGAGAGAGGGAGAGACAGAAAGCAGGGGAAAAGAAGCGTACTCCAAACTATGGCTCTTATACTTTAAACACATCCGCCACCCGGCTCTGCCGGCTTTGCTGGTACTCGGCGGCACAAACTGGCTGCTTGACTATGAACAACATGATCGAAATTTGCCGGGTAGGCCACAAGCAATCACCTTGAAGCAAGCATGAGTTCACAAATGTTGACCTTGCCGCACATCTCAAAAGGTGGGCGCCAAATAAGCTGCCCATCCCAAACCCCAAGCACGTTCCCAGCTCATTAGCCCTGTGGTGTTGGGAAACCTCCCATCTCCGCGGTTAAGGCATTTTTTCAGGGGCAAAGCCTCCCTGGACCTTCAGCTGCCTCATCCAATTGGCTCTTGCCTTCTGTGTGAGCCGGGCAATTTGCACCAACGCCCTGCCAGCTTTGATCCTATTCGTTGTATGGCTGGAAGAGTCCAGGTCTTGCGGCACAGAAACGGGTCGGACTAGTGTTGACGTGAAATGAACAATTTACATCTAATTGCAAATGCTTCATTTGGCCATGGGTCAACATCCCGTACCCCCCAGTGAGCATCCCAATCCCCACTAAAAAAGACTAAAATGGGTGTGCACCCACCCCAAAATGGTACCATTGGTTTTGACCCACAGCCATTTGGTTCTCCGGCAGGTCTGTGCTACAAAGGTGGCCGAATGTTGCACACATCCAGCTGCTTTCTTCACCAACTGGGTACTCCTATTATGGTGCAAGGCTGACTTTTGAAGACCCATATTCGATTCAGGCCGGTTCCTAGGCGAGCCAAACCTGGTTTCGGCCGTTTCCCAGGCGAGCAGCGCCGGGTTTCGGCGACATCCACCGCCGAAACCAGCGCCGGCGAATTAAGCCCTCGCCTGGTAGCCCGTCAGAGGGTCGAAGTTCGTCTTCCCGGAGGCAGCGGGGCGATTCTTGCGCTTCCGGCCCAGGAAGGGCTGATACTCCTCCGCTTGGCTGAGGTACTCCAAGGTCCTCCGAACCCAAAGCCAGGCCCAGATCCCAATAGTGGTCCTTTGGGGAAAATGGATGGATGATCAAACCAAGAGGTCTAGCGCCCTTTGTTTCTCAACTGAGCTGAACAAAAAGGACACCTACGATCCCAATTTGCAACTTTTCGACTTTGGGCAACTCGGAATTCGAAAGCTGGTTCTGGAAAGAACGCCAAGATTAATTAATCAAAGCCCTGGCTGATTCTCGCGACTGGCAAGTCGCCCCTCGCCGGTCCTCAGTGAGTCTCGGGGCACCCAATAAATGCAGCCGCGAGGGCAGTACTCGCAAGCCTCCAGCAGCTCCTTTGATAAGCGAGGAAACCTCCAAATTTGTCTGGGCTTTCCTTTCATTTGCCTCAGCCCCGGTAGTGATAGAATATATCCTTAAAAATGCCCTTTAGCCATAGGTTCCCTTTACCAAAAGGGGAAAACAACCGTTGGTTTCACTCGGGAACTGCTGCCACGGGGTCATAGAGGGAAGGAGGAGTTTCTTTCCGCCTCACATACAGTTGGTACATCGATTCAAGAAATCAGCACAGCAAGCTTCTGAAAATTATGGCGAGCATCGGGAGCAAACCTATGAAGGTCTGTTGGGGAGTAGCGTTCCTCAACGAACAGTTGATATTTGTTAACCAGCCTATTTGGAGGATCCCCTTGCAAATCATGTGGTTTTCGGATGTATCATTGAAGGATTCCTCTTAATTCAGGTTGAATTCGATTAAGTGCGGAACATGTTTCGGGGTCGAGCCTTGCCCTGGATCCTGAATGGTGCACAGCAGAAAGATCGGCACCCTACAGATCATCCCCTAGCGACTGGCATCCTTCTCCTTAGTTTCTTGCTAAATTTGGACCAAGGTTTGTTGGGTAGATGTGAATTTGCCCGGCATGCTTACTCTGCCTTCGCTCCTCCTCCCCATCACCCCATTGGGTGTGCACACGAGCTGTCCGCCCGCCGCCATAGTTGTCCGCACCCCCCGGGTAGTCGACGATATCGAAGGTATTCGGCGCTGCGTCCACCTCGTGAACATCGCCGGCTGAAAGATCGCAAGAACGCCACACCTTCGACTCCCAAGGTGTGGTCAACTCTTGCCATCTAGGAATTGCTCGTCGTTCCGTGGTCAACCCTCCAATGGAATGAGGGACCCTAGCGCCAGGCTTCAAACACAACCCGCCAAACAAATTGCGGCTGGCAATGCTTGAGTTCGATGTAGATGTCGAACCCCAAATGCTCCCCAATGTCGACCGTGAGGGCACTCAGCCACATGGAAGGCCCAACGTGATGGCCCTTGCACCATTCAACTTGGAAATCCCTGCCAACATCTGCCAGGCCTCGAGTCACTGCAAAGTTGGCCCGTCCAAAAGGGACATGTAGCTTTCTCAACTGAAAGGGCCACCCCTGTGAACGGCTTTCTAGTGGTTGCTACAGCAACGTGCATACATATATACCATCTACGTACCGTATGCCGCTTTTCTAGGTTGCTTCCGCTAGTCTAAAGGGCATACATGGTTAGGCCATGTTGGGGAGACATAGGTGCTAAGCAGCCATTCTCCACAGTTGGCCTGCAACAATTGAACAATTAAACATTAAACATCCGTCTTGGCGTCCTGGATTCAGCACCTAAAGGACACTCTCACCTCCATCCCCTGCGCAGCTTGAGCCAAGGCGCACAAATGTTGCAGCTGGTGCACGCCACCTCATCCACAAAGAGGCTCCTGGGCCGAGCTTTTTGTCGGGTTGTCGGACGACGGACTCCCTGGGTTCAAGTCTGGCGGGTCAAAAGCTGCAGCTGGATGAGTTGTAGCTATGGCAAGTAACGATTTCTCAGAAGCCTAACTCTAAGAAAGAAGCCCTCGTCACGAGTGAGATTGCAAACACAAATCCTTGCTGAGGTCACAATAGTTTGCGCAGAAACAAGCACCATCAACAAACAGGTACCTTTCCTCCCACTACCATAGCACCCAACGGCGGGTACCTGGAAGATAATGTTTCTCTTCAAGGGAACCTCTGTCAGGTGCAATGTTAGCGGGAGGTAGGCTAAAAGGTGTGAGCATGCTGGCTAGCGGCGAGTGGCTGACAGCAGCCCTTTCTAACCCGCAAGTTTAAGGCTGCTGGGTGGCTCAAACCAAACAACTGTGTATTCTGGAGGTGCTTCTCTGGAAGAACAGGTGACACATTTGGGGTTGTTTCAGCACCTGGTGTCGGTATCCTTTTGAGACCCCTTTTCGAGAAACAAGGACCCCTTGATGAGTCGAGAAACCCACGTGCAACCAAAACGAGGTCAACATGTAAGTCCTGACCGCTTTCGGTGCCGAACCGGAACCTTATGCGTTCTGGCTTTTGCAAGCCCTTGTTCTTGCTGGGAGTTTGCCCACCCCATCGGGTGCTTCCATTTCTCATTCCCTTCTTTGCCAAAACGGAAAAATGCTACAATGGACCATCTCAATCCCTTTGCTTTGAGGGAGTTAAACAAGCAATCCTTGAATTTCTCAATTCCTCATATATTTTTTTGATATTGAAACCTTGTCGATTTCGATCGGGCTGACACACCTTCATCGAGGGGAAACGCTTGCTCTTTTGTTGCCATGCTTCTCTTTTTGTGTTGGGTAGGGTACGGTAGGGTGAAGTAGATCAGCCTACGCCCTCCCAACCAAAACACATATCGTTGATTCTGGTTCATACATATCTGCGAAACGCATGCAACATAACCTCCCAACAAAAATCCAAGCTTGCCTAGCCTGGCCATAATGCATCCCAAACAACATGCCACAACAAAGATCCCAAGGTTTTCCAATTTCCCCTCACCCAAACATCCCAAAAACGCCTCCTCGGTTGCTTTCTGCTCCCTTGCTAAAGTTTAACTTTCCGTGGTTTAATGGAACACCCATTAGTTGGCAAACAGTTAAAGTCCTAACATCCAAGCAAACATCCCAAAAAACCCTCGGTCCATATATGTATGCGAACCACATGCAACATAACATTCAAAAAAAGGATCCCATGTGTTCGCTTCCTCCCTTTTCCTCATCCAAGGCTCTCCCGCGCTTCATGGCGCTCACCGCGGCTCTCCAAAGGCACCTCTGCCCAGCCGTCCCGAGAGAAGGCGATCCTGAGAGTCCGGCGGCCAAGTGGGGTGCCGTCTTTGAGGTTGGACCCGCCAA